CGCAGCAGCTCGGAACCGGGACTCTCAACTGGTGCTGGTTTAACAGACCGTGTTAAAAGTTACAGCTTAGTCCAGCGTGGGCGTGTGGGTGTGAGATGAGATGATTAATGTGTAGAAAATATTGTTCCTGTGTGGCTGAAATATGTTTCTGCTCCTGACTCCAGATGATTCGCCTGATCTGTAACAAACCTACCTGAACCTTATTAGAGTGAATCTCAGTAGACCGGATCTAATCTGGACCTGGTGTGACTCGAGTCGAGGGCTGGGAGTAAGAGGCCTAAATGTGTCCGGAGGATCGAGTATCATTTTATTCAGGGTTCAGGTCTTTATTTAACTCTGATGCTCTGAGCAGTTTCCCAGTTAGACTTGTTAGTTAGAATCGTGGAGACACTCTGACTTTTAGTCACCTTTAATAATAATTACAGCACAAAACATGGGAACTATTAAGGCCAAAAAAAACGTGGTTCAGCTAATCGTCCCGTCCTGGTCCACGTTCATACAGTAAAAATGCTCCAAAATGAGTGTAAAATAATTTCAGAAGCTAAAAGTTTAATTCCTCTGGAGAGTTTCCCGTCTGTCCTGTCAGATTTATTACTACAGCCTCAGGATGTTTGCTGTGACATCACTGCACACATGGAAACGTTTAAAATGACTGACAGCAGCCTCTGTCAGACTCGAGCCGCCGAGCTGCTTCATGATCAGGTTTTATATCACGTCAACACTTCTGCCCATATTCACTCTCTCTCTCTCTCTCTCTCTGCTGCCAGTCAACACTTTTATGTTTCATTCACCATTTAAAGAGCAATGCTCCAGGTGCAGGTGCTACCTGGTGTTTAAAGGGAAAGGAAGCTGACACTCTGATTGGTTTAATTGATGTTGCGGCCAGAACACACCTATAAATAATTAAGGCCGGAAGACGACAACTAGGGATGCAACTAACGACGATTTTGATATCGATTATTGAAAAGAATAATCAACTATTTCGGATCATGAACCGTAAAGTGACACAATGCCTCTCATGTAGCTTTTAAATTAAACCTGAGGTTGTTTTAGGCATGTGTAAATAAAATAAATACTGCTTTCAACGCAGCGCTGATGTTGTGTTGTTTTAGTAACTTTACTCCATTAAGCTGACGGTGTCGTTACGGCCCGATGGCGTCGTGAACAAATCGATTATTAAATTTGTTGTCAACGAATAGGGCTGAAACGATTCATCGATTAAATCGATTACTAAAATGCATCGACGCAAATTCTTTGCATCGCACTAAATATTTTAATAAAAACACCAAAACTAAAAGTCTGTCAGTAGCATCCTGTTTCTGCTTTGCTTGACTGATGAGAGCCAATCAGGAAGCCAAACGTGAGCGTCATCGTTTTTAAAGAGTTTGAGCAGCGTTTTCAAACTTCTCTGTTTTAGTCTGGACGGGAGGCGGAAACGTAGTATTGTGGATGGAGCCTGATTAAAACAAGCTTCGTCTCCACCTCTCACTGACTGACTCCTCCACCTCTGTGATCCTAATAATGAAGCGTCTCTTCGTTAGCAGCCTTCAGGGACTTTGCCAGCTAATTATCTGACTCCGGCCTGCAGCGTTCCCCTTTAAACCCTCGTGACTCACATGTTAAAGTCTTTGTGGCGTCTGAAGGATTTCTTCTTTTCCCTCCTCCGTCACTCTCGCCCGCTCTTTGCAACCTCCATCCATTATTGTCGGAGCTGCCCTCGGCGCTGTCTGTTACTGCGCCCACATGAATGCCATCGCTCGCATTACGCAACAGAAAGAAAGGGAGGAAGGAAGAGCAGCACTAAGAACAGCCCTCCCCTCTCAGCCTTTATTCACCTCTTTCTTTCCCCCTGCGCTCCTCTAATGTCTCTGCCTGCTTTATTTACAGACGACCACATGTAGCCTGTAGCTTTATTTCCTCTCCCGTCTGAGCTTCACATGTGGGGGGGGAGGTCGCTTAGATGGGACGGCTGTGGTGCATGTTGGGATCTTTTCACAAAGGAGGTGGAGTGTATCTATAAAATAGTCCCTGAATGTATTTGCTTCAATTATATCTTAAAGAAATCGTGATAAATGTTTAGTACAGTTTCCTAAAACCCAAGATGACTTTGTCTTTTTGTGTCTGTCCAACAGAAAGATATTCAGTTTATATTGATATAAACAGCAAAAGTTCACCCAGAGGAAACTACAGACAGAGAATCATGAATATATTTGCATTAATATGAAGCTCTTTACAACGCGCCTCTCATCTAGTCATCGTGGACAGTTTTGGGTTCAGCGTCCTGCTCATACGTGCACTTTGACTGGCCCGGTTTTTAAATTTCTCAAATATCGGCATCAGTATCAGTCGGGCTGTAGTCTGCATGCTTTCAAGGCTGTGATACTTACGAAGAACCTGTGATACAAAGGAATAGAGCAAGGAAGAGGAGAGAAATAAGCTGATACAAGCAGACAAATCTTTCACTGGGGCCACTGATTGGTGGACTAACTCAACCGTGAAGACCCGTCTCTTGGTTTGTGTCCCATTCTCTTAAAATCTTCGTTGTTTTACTTCATAAATTGTCTCATGAGTTCCACACTTGATCAGTTTCGAGGCTGGTTTGAGCCCATAGTTGCTGTCAGTTTCACCAAAAACCTCACAGACACCTTTTGAAATTCTGAAAAAATGCAAATCTTTCCTGCAGCTGTTCACTTTACATAAATCTTCAGTTTCAAAGAGCCCTGGTGAAAAGAAAACGTATCACGTAACACACACACGTATGAAGCTGATACGAGGCTTTGGGAGGATGATGTAGTGCAGTTTTTGATCTGGGACTGAAAGGGTTAACGGTATCGATGCTCACCTGATGAACACACACCCGGGTCTGCAGATTTGGTGGAGTTTTGTGGGCGTGACCGGCGTGTTCTCAGGTGTTGTGTCCTACCTGTAGCTGCAGGTCGACGTCTGACTCACGCGGTAACACAATAATCGGATTCTCCCTCCAGTCAAGTCCAGACACAGCGGAGAACACCAGGTATTTGTTTCCCAGACAAACTCACGCTTTCTGCACCGTGACCTCCTGAACGCAATCAATTAAATCAAAACTAAACAAACAAATAAACAAAGGTGACTTTGTGACATTTTTATGAACTAAAAACCTCCGGAGTGAAAAAGAAGAGGCGCTCGATCACAGAGCAAAGGCCACACATTTAATGAGGTCGTTCTTAAATGTCATCTAGTAATTAAATTGATCTGTGATCGATCACGAGCGTTAGTTGCTTCACTGTAACTTGTCAGAGCAGCACGTCGGGGAAAAGGTTACCCAATAAATCCACCCCCGCCATGCAGTCAGACAGGTTATGACCCGACACGCCGGGGTAAAGAAAAAAGGTGATTAAATCAATTAAAGCGCCTGTGAAGGATTATTGAGATGTCGGGTGTGGGTGTCGGTATAGTCAGAGGTGTAACCAGCAAACAAACAGGAGCCTGCAGAGTGTATAAAAGAAGTGGTCGTAGCCGCCGTGACGTCACCCGTTGGCTTGTGGACTACAGTTTTAAAGCCTCCAGGCGGTTTTTGGTCATCGCCATCTTGGTTTTTGGGAATCAGACGTGACCGGACATTAAATACAAAGTAAAATGTTAGTCGGGTCACATTTTATTTGTCTTGTAAAGTGGTGAAGACATAAGGGCACATTTGGGTCACGAGAACAAGATGAGAAGATATTTTAATATTATTTTGAATAAATATTCGATGCTGAAATATATCAGTCTGTGGTTCCTCCCCAAGAAGACTTTGAGCATCAAACACTTACTTTCCTGCATTCTGGAGACATTTTCTGCAGCAATTTATGGTGGAAATGTCTTTATTTATATGAAGGGAAACAAAATTAAGATGGCAGGTAACAATTCAAAATATAAAAATATAAAAATCAGTAATCAGCAGCTTGTTGCTTTTTTTAGACAATGCACATTTGTTTCTTCTATATTTCAGCTGCATCGCATGTTTTCTTATTGTCCATTGTTTCATTTGTTATTTAACATTTCTCGTTGCTGTTGTTCAAAGCATGTTTAACAAAAGCTTTCAAAAAGTGATGGAGACATTCAGGTTTAAGTCGCCCCCTGCTGGCCGCTAGAGAGGACGCAGGTTTAAGTCGCCCCCTGCTGGCTGCTAGAGAGGACGCAGGTTTAAGTCGCCCCCTGCTGGCCGCTAGAGAGGACGCAGGTTTAAGTCGCCCCCTGCTGGCTGCTAGAGAGGACGCAGGTTTAAGTCGCCCCCTGCTGGCTGTTAGAGAGGACGCAGGTTTAAGTCGCCCCCTGCTGGCCGCTAGAGAGGACGCAGGTTTAAGTCGCCCCCTGCTGGCCGCTAGAGAGGACGCAGGTTTAAGTCGCCCCCTGCTGGCTGTTAGAGAGGACGCAGGTTTAAGTCGCCCCCTGCTGGCTGCTAGAGAGGACGCAGGTTTAAGTCGCCCCCTGCTGGCTGCTAGAGAGGACGCAGGTTTAAGTCGCCCCCTGCTGGCTGCTAGAGAGGACGCAGGTTTAAGTCGCCCCCTGCTGGCTGCTAGAGAGGACGCAGGTTTAAGTCGCCCCCTGCTGGCCGCTAGAGAGGACGCAGGTTTAAGTCGCCCCCTGCTGGCTGCTAGAGAGGACGCAGGTTTAAGTCGCCCCCTGCTGGCTGTCAGAGAGGACGCAGGCTTTCCCCCAATACTGATCACAGGAGGAGGATGCAAAAAGACAAAATGGACGATGAGGAGGGAGGTCTGATTCTGGTCCATGCTGAGTTTGAATTTCAGGCGCTGTTGTCGTCTCTGTATCGTCTGCTCGAGACTCTCTGTCTCTCCTGTTAAACTTCAGAGGGGTTTTTAAATGTAGGAGGTCTCATCCGAGGAGACGGAGTGATCTGGGAGCTGATGTGGTGGCTTTTACTGCGTCTGACAGGGGCTACGAGCATTTTATGACCACTTTGCTGTGGGTCGTTTATAATGCTCTCTCTCTGTCTCTGTCTGTGACCTTTGACCTCTCAGGTTTTCGGCCCTGCACCACGCTGCTCTCACAGGGACCACGGAGCTGCTGTCGGCCCTGCTGGAGGCCCAGGCCACCGTGGACGTCAAGGACAGCAACGGTTAGACACAAACTCAAACACACACATCTTGGCGTCGTCGTGGCCCAGGAGTCTTAAGAGGTGTCCCGGTTAATAATAACCTGTCGGGAATTTTCCCACGGTTTATCGTTAAACCGGTAATCGTCGCTCTCTGATACTTCCAGTTTATTACTGACTATATTCTGAAGGTTTTTACAGAGGGGTTTATTAATATATCCTTCACAGCCTGAATTATAGAACATTTTATTCCCAAAAACAGGTCGGAAATTGTTTTTTTTTTTTTATCCCAGTAAAAGTATTTTCTGATTTATGGAGTAATAAAAACAGAGATCCAAAATCCCTTCTGTAAAAACATTTGAGTTTAATGTGTCAACAAAATAAAACAATAACTTTGACTTAATTCTTGAAATAGATGCAAGTTAGCACATATTTCATTAGATACTGCCTCATTTGCATATTTAAACATAACATTTCAGAAAACCTGTAATACAAAAAATATTTGTCTTAATGTGAGTAATCAGCTAAGAAAGTTTCATGGTGATATCTATACGTTAACGTTTTTACCCTATTCACCCACAGCGTCTCATCTTAATCGGTTCATTAAGAGCAAATGTCATTTTCCTTTCCACCGTCCAGTCACGAGTCACATGACCTGTTTGTGTACAGACAGTAGACGGTATCAGATTATCACATCAGATTAACAGCTGACTCGACTGTGTGTGTGTGTCACTACTCTACACACACACACACAGTCAGACTGAAGCACATCAGATAAAGTAATGTAGTATTGTGGCGGTAGTGAAGACATAAAGAGTATAATTAATGAGAGCTGTTTTGGTACCTAAGTACAATTTTGAGGTACTTGTACTTCAGATTATTTATACAGAATATAATCAACATATATATTCTTGTGTATTTTTACAGATTAAACTACCCAGCAGTATAAAAAGCATAAAAAGTCATTAAAATGAGCTCTACCAACTGCAACTTTAAAGTGATGAACACATTAATGCATCAATAACAAAATATAAAGTATCTCACAAAAGTGAGTACACATTTCAAATTGTTGTAAATATCTGATTATATCTTTTCATGTGACGACACTGAAGAAATGACACTTAGCTACAATGTAAAGTAGTGAGTGTTCAGCTTGTATAACAGTGTAAATCTGCTGTCCCCTCAAAATAACACATCACACAGTCATTAATGTCTAAACCGCTGGCAACAAAAGTGAGGACACCGCTCACATTTTTGTAAATATTTGATTATATCTTTTAATGTGATAACACTGAGGAAATGACACTTTGATACGATGTAAAGTAGTGAGTGTGCAGCTTGTATAACCGTGTAAATTTGCTGTCACCTCAAAATAACCAAATTGGAGTGTACTCACTTTTGTGAGATACAGTAGATTATTCTGAAATGGGCCATTCTCCATAATGTGACTTCTTCCACAACTGATTGATTAAAGTTTATCCATTGAGTGGGTGACTTTTCATGGGGTAAATGATAAAGTGTGTGTGATCTGTGCAGGAATGCGTCCGCTGCATTACGCAGCCTGGCAGGGGAAAGCTGAATCGGTCCTGATGCTGCTTCGCTCAGGAGCGTCAGTCAACGGCGTTTCCCTGGACGGACACATCCCTCTGCACCTGGCGGCGCAGTACGGACACTACGAAGTGGTGAGTTCAAACATATCGTACGTCACTATGTGTCTGCTGCCTGTCCTCTCTCCTCTCGCCGCTCGTTTATCTGTTTGACTCTAAGACACGAGATGCCCTTTTTAGACAGGATGTTCACGTTATTTTGTCCGTCCACGACATGTCTGCACCACACTTTACAGCTTAGTATTGTATTTGTTGCAGATAAAGGAGGCCGTGGAAAATAAACATGTTTTTCACAAAACGTTATTTAAAGACACACAAGAACAATGTCTAAATAAAATAAAGCCCTAAAGTTTCCAATCAGAACAATCCGGTAAAATAATAAGTAAAGAACCTGATCAGACAGTTTTATAGACACATTTCTGTTCATTACTTACTCATTACTATCAGTAGAAGGATTGTTTAATGTATTTTTAAATTTGGCTGGTTCATTAATGATGAGGAATAATAATCTGATGAGAGAATACATATTAGTACAACAGGCACATTTTACTGCTTTAATACTTTAAGGTAGGGCTTGTGATTGGCGAGCAGGTCTGTCACACAAGGACGACAGCATGACTGTTTAAAACGGGTCAGATGTATAATTAACCTACATTTTTAGGAGATTTGGGGTGATCAGGTTCTAGGTGGGGGGGGGTGTGATCAGTGACGAGATGTGAGGGGTGGCTGGTGAAATGAACTGCAGGGGTTTTCTGTATTATCACACAGCTGTTACAGGTCAGGAGGATTAAGATGAATCTAGTTTATGTTTACAGTCTGCAGCTTCACAAAGCGTCAGATTAAAAAACACTACACACATCAACATGTTGTTTGTTTATTACTCTTTACCCCATACAGAGGAGGAAAGTAGCTCATTTATTTAAGTACTGCACTTAAATACTGGTACTTCAGCTGAGCAGTTTTTACTTCTGCTGTATACATTTCGGAATTTTAGTCCACCCCATTATTAGAGCTTACTTTTCAGATCAAGGCTATTAATACAAAATGTGATGCACAACATCTGCTTCGTTTTATATTATATATAAGTCTTATTTTATATCTGCTGGAGCATTAAGAATAGAAAAGAAAGTATTTTCTTTAAATCTTCTTTCTCGTTTCAAGTTGCAGAAAAGGTTTGTGTAGTATTTTTTAAATAAGTTAAACAAATTAAAAACAGGTTGAATTTTTATGACTCAATTATTGGCTGAAAAGGCATATAAATGATCAAAGAAGGCCGCTGTTCTGCCTAAAGTACATGTTTTGATACTCTATTCTACTCTTCACCCTTTACTTAAGTAAGATTTTGACTTCAGGACCTTTACAAACATACATACATACTACTTTTCCGTAACACACTTAATATTGTGAGTAGTTTGTTTGCTGTTGTTGGAGCAAGGGACTCTAATTTATGGATATAAATTTATAATATTCATATTTGTGTAAGTTTTTAAGTCTGTGCACGCTCTGCATGGTGGTAACAGCGGGAAAGCAAAGATTAAATTTCATCTGTCTCCTCTTTTGTTGTCTTTTTGTTTGTTTTTATACAGTTTAAACACAGTTCCAGCGTTAACAGTCCGCCTTAAATCCGCCTTAAGTCCATCTGTTTTTAAAGCTGCAGATTCCACTTGAAGTCTTTTTTTATTGCACCGTGTTGAAATCTCCTCTTCTGTCGCTGTAATCCGCCCTGCAGGGTCCCTGCAGAGATAAAAACACACGGCGGACGGCTTTGTTTATTCAGCCCGAGCGTGTAACAACGTCATCTGATTGGCTGAGAGGAGGTGAAACATTATCCACATTACAGCATCGACCACCTCCGAGGGCCGAGACGCCCACAACACACACTCAGGCTAGCAGTTTCCCCCTGCTTCCAGTCTTTATGCTAAGCTAGGCTAACCATGTCCCGACTCTGAGTCCAGAAATGTTCCTTTTAAATTTACAGATGTTTTAACAGTTTTTTCAGGATCCCTGGTAGAATTATTATTATGTCTGTTATTTTACAATCATTGGGTATTTATACAAATATCATTACATTTTCTTTTGATTATTACTTTGTCAGACATTATTATTCTTGTTTTATTTTATGTTATTTATTTATCGTACATCCACACATTTCCTTGGTCACATTCAATTGTACAAACATTTATACACACTTTAACACAAACATACTGTAAAACTTTGGTTTTTCTTTGCTTAAATCACTGAACTCACCCGGCGTATATCTTAGTTCCTTTGCCATGCCGGTAAATCTGAATTAATTCTACTTTGGTACTCATTGTTTCCATACAATGAAGTAAACTGTTGAACGACTAGTATCATGTTCATACTGACATAAGTTTAAACATTTGTATTTGTATGTGCGATCTGAGCAGCTTCAAGAGGTTTTATGAATCCAATGAATTTCTGAACGATTAATCGCTTTTAAATCGAAATTACAATTATAAAGAACGCGATTAGCTAGTGACCCGTTTTAAACATTCATGCAGTTACAAATTCATGCTGCTGTCGTCCTTGTGTGATAGACCTGCTCGCCAATCACAAGCTGCACGCATCTCAACTCACCAATCAGAGCGGCAACAGGGCGTGTACATTTTACAACAACAAACGAAACTGGAGGAAAACGTGGGATAATGGCGCCAGCAGAGCCGACACACACAGCGTCTGTGCCGCGGTTTTTGTCCGGCGTCAACTCGCGCTGAAGTGTTTCAGCAGCGGAGCGTTTAGCCTGCACGTTGTTGATGTGTTGTTAATTTGTCCTTTCTTGTGCTTCAACTACGAAAACAGCTCTCTGTGAGCCCGTTTCGCTCTACTGTGGTTAAGTAGCAACGTAGTTTAATTGTTTCTTTTTTGTCTGTTTTAACTGTGGTTATTGTTGACGTCTCTGCACAGGGTGATTTTGAAAATCGACCGGATTCTCTTTGCCGTTCTGTGTCTGACTTCCTGCCCGTTTCATCTGCTCTGTGCTGCTTGACGCGGCTTCCGTCAAAAATAGACAGTGAATATTGAACTTTAGCTAAACTTTTAAAAAAATTGCAAATCAAATCTTAATCGCAATATCTGGCAGAAAAATTAGATGTTTTGCCCAAATCGTTCAGCCCTAGTCCAATGAACTCCTGTAAAAACCAGGCTTCTAATTGAAACCTGCGTTTATTTGTAGCCACACCAGGACAGTAAACGGGACAAGCGTTTAACTAGGACTCTGCTTTTCATTTCAAGTTTTACGGTATGCAAACGCAGTCCCGGATGAACATACACAGCATCCCCGTTTCTTTCCTTTGACTTTTTTGTACCTTGTTTTTCTTCTCCTTCGTCTTGTGCTTTTTCATGTTGTAAAAATAAAATAAAATGTTGTGTTACTGTGTGTTTCAGTCTGAGATGCTGCTGCAGCATCAGTCCAACCCCTGTCTGGTCAACAAGGCCAAGAAGACTCCTCTGGACCTGGCCTGCGAGTTCGGGAGAGTCCAGGTGAGCTCGTCTGTTCTTTTTGTTTGTGACATGAGCTGAAACACTGGACCGACCTCTCACACGGTAAATGATTGAACTTTCGTGGGAGGTTTAAGATGATAATCGGGGCTGGTTTTGGGGTCAGAATGAGTCTCTGGGGGGGGGGGGTGAGTGTTAATGATGGTTGGACAACACACGGCCACAGCTGGACAAACAAACACACACACACAGGGGTTAGATTGCGTTGCTGTGGATACTTTTCTCTCTCTGTCTGTAAACATCACTGTTATCTTTGCATTGTCTCTTTCTGTTGATCTCTCTCACTCTGCTGGTTTCTCTGTTCTCGCTCGTACTTCATCGGTCTGACGCACATGTGGACGGATTACTGCATTGATCCCACTGTGCAGTAATCCACCCATAGATGTGTGTTAATTTTTCCTCCCGAAAAGTCCAGAGAGCTCAGTCAGGAGTAGGATCGTCCTGATCCAAGTCCCTTTAATACTGAGTATATCCGCCCTACAGAGAGCACAGCTGCAGAAAGCAGCTGGAATCAGTAGTGTTGTAGTCACGACCGCCCATATCGAGACCGAGACCAGAGTTTATCGAGACCAAGTCAAGACCAAGACTTTTAGGGGATGAGACCAGTTCCCCACATTACATGACGCACAATAAAATGTAGAACGAGATCAGAGGTTCTTCTCAAACTGATCTAAAAGATCCACATTCCCATTAAAACACCCACATACAAACACTAAGAGCATAACGTAAGCGTCTTTATTCAACACTGCTTTTCCATGCTGACCATCATGCAGAGGGGTTTAATCAGGGTTATTGGTTGCATTTGGAGCAATAAGTTTTACATCCAACCAAAGTTAGGATGTTAACCAATAAATCAGACAATGCAAAAGCAATTTATTGATATTCCCAAAGTTGACTGGTCTTGAAATAAAATCCTGAGTCCTCAATGACCGAGACAAGACGGAGTAACAAATGCGGTCGAGTCTGAGACGAGACCAAGACCATAAAAAAGTGGTCTTAAGACCGGTCTCGAGTGCCACAACATTAGGAATCAGTAAAGAAGTTGAAATGTGTTTTCTGGTTGTGTTGCTCCGTTTTAAGGAAAGATTATTAGATCATGTATTTATTTGGCAGCCGCAGCAAACACTGATAACTTCCTTTATTCTCTGTTTAAGATCTTTTAAAGAGATGATGGACTTTGGAGATTGAGTTTGGTCTGCTCATCATGTAGTAGAACAGGCTAGATTTTCCAGCCTCTGGATCTTCAGTCTGTGGTGGAAACTCACACAACAGCGGGCCGAGGGAAGCTTTTAGTTCCTGTTCCCGGGTACTTTTGGTGGAAACGCGGCTTTAGTTACTGTCCACTGCTTGCCATCCTCTTTGGTTTGACTTGTGTGACTTGAAACTGAAGCCTGACCCCCCTCCCTCCCTTCTCCACACACAGCTGAGATATCTTTAGTGTGTATGTGTTCAGGCCTCAGCTGCCACACTCAGCTGATGTCCGTCAGGGTGTGTCGTCGGTGGCAGCTGCTGTGTTTCCATGCAGCTCTGTTTCACCTCCTCCTCACAAACCCTCCATCCAAAGCCACAGCGCTTTATTTTCAGAGTTGAAGTTACTGAGAATTGAGGAAGGACTTTACACACACACACAGTTAGGGAAGGATTATTACGCAGGGCTGCTGCGGCTCAGTCATTTGTACTGTAGATAAGGAGACGCGCTCGCCTCGCCTCGCCTCGCCTCGCCGACACCGTTTGACAGTTTCTGACTCTGCAGAATCAGAACCAGAAACAACTTTATCACAAAGGAGTTTTTACACATTCAAGGAATTTGCTTTGGTGACTCGGTGTGTAACAATAGACATAAACCGATGAAACAAACAAGATATACAAGTTATAAAAGAATAATCAAATCTAAAGCTTACACAAACTCCTTTGTTCCCTGTGTGATAACTCTAAATCGTCTGAGGTAACCTCCCATTTTAGGGACTGTCTTATGTTTTTAAAGTGTTTTTAGTGCACTGTATGTACTGGTCTCATTTTATTTTTTGTGCTCGTGTTAAGGAAAAACATCTGATCCTTATGTTTAATCCTGTGCCCTGACCGCAAGTCAAGTTACCCACTTGGGATAATTATAAATGAAATGAACTGAACAGATGCGTGGTAGCTCTCCTGTAATTATTGACAACTTGTTTTAAAACGCTGTAAAATCGTAAAATTTGTTTTAAGTGTTAACAAACAGTTGGTGACAAACAAAACAAACACTTTTCTAACATTTTTTGTAGGGATGCGCCAAATGTTCGACCACTGAAATTAATTGGCCGAAAATAGTAAAAACAAATAGCACTTTCGGTGTTCGGCCGAATAAGTCAAAAGTTTGATTATATTTTACCGAACAATTACGTTGACATGTCGGCAGTGTGGAAGCATTTTAGCAAGTGTCGCCGTTTGCAGCACATCCGCTCCATCTGTGGCTGACTTGTTAGAAAAGAAACGCTTTGAGTGTTTCTGTCACTCGTCTGTGAGAAGGAGGTTAAGCTAGCAACACCTACATTTGGAGTGCACACGTATTCAAGCCTTTACGGTAAGTGAAGCGGCCCAGAGCGAGCTGACGGGCAGGTTAGAGACTTTATCCTGTCAGTTTGTCTCTTTAGTATGAAGAGAGGCTGTGAAGTCTTCATGTTACAACATTATTTATCAAACCGGGTCGGACTGGATGAATTTAGCGCGAGGAGGATGTGACAACGTCCGGTTTTCAAAATAAGGCGTCTGTACAGGATGGAAATAAAATTAATTGGATTATATTCACAGAAAGTATAAAACATGTTTCATGTGTCCATTAAAAGTAAATGGACTCATGTAATTTGCTTTACAGGACCCTGTCGGGCCCCGGACCCCCCCACCATAGTCTCTCCACATCCTGTGGGAAACACTGAGGAAAAAGCACATTTCAAAAAGGCAAAATAAATGGAAAAAAAATTTAAAAACCTTGTTCGGTGTTCAGGAAAGTTTTCATTATATTCAGCCAAGAATTTTCTTTTCGGTGCATCCCTACTTTTATACTAAAAGTAGCTTCCAGCTGTGACTCACTGCGTCTTCTGCCAAACATCTGGAAGCACTTGTGGTGTTTTGGGTCACTGAGGTTTCACCACATTCTCACCTGCAGGGCCTCTGTGTGCTGGTCCCTGTTGTGTCTCGTCTCTGGCTTCATTTAGTCACCTCTCTTTCTCCGTGTGGTGGTGATGGTGTAATGGATAAGGCGCATGACTTTGGTGTGAGAGACCCGGGTTCAATCCCCCACTGTGAGACATCCACCATTGTGTCCCTGAGCAAGAGACTTAACCCCGCTTTGGATAAAAGCGTCAGCTAAATGAATAAATGTAAATGTCATCTCACCGACTTCCCTTCTCTCCTCCATCCAGGTGGCCCAGCTGTTGCTGAGCAGTAACATGGTCGTGGCGTTGTTGGAAGGAGAGAGGAAGGAGCCGACGGACTCGGCCTTCACAACGCCGCTACACCTCGCCGCCCGCAACGGACATAAAGACATCATACGGTGAGAACACTTAACATCTGTATTTTTACTTATTATTCTTCAGAAAGTAATAATATTTATCTATTTCAGGCTATAAAAGTAAAAAAAACCCCTTCAGAAAAAGTGACGGACCAGCTTCATTTTAGAAATGAATTCACTTTATTGGAACAATAGTTAAAGTGATAGAAAGCGATTGTCATCTAGTACACTTTCCTCACGGTTTGCTAGCTCTCTGTTTTGTGTGTGCTCTGAAAAGAAATCCGGTTTTCCTACACAGCCCTGGGTCTGTGAATGGAACACAAAGAAAGTGGTGTGGATCTCGCCACAACATTGTTCCAGCCAATCAGCGACAGGTGGCGATAGTGCTCGAGCACAGGAGTGATGAGGGGAGGGGGGCAGTGAGCGAGAGAGAGTTCTATACACCGACACATTCAAACATGCCGGACTTCAGCCACTGTGAAACAGCCAGAGAGGAAAAGGTCTGACGAGTATAAACAGAAAGCGTTTCAATGCTGGAGAATCCTCAGAGGTTTGAAATTTTGGGGGCGGAGCTTTTGACGGAGCACTGAAGAGAGGGGTGTATTTGTTTGGAAGTTCAGTTCAAATATCAACAATCCTTCTGCAGAATAATTTACTCTCCATTTAAACCCGAGGAGTCAACAATCAGCCAAACTGAAAACACTGCAGCCTCTCATGCCTCATTCTTCGTTTAGCTTCGTTTGCTGCGTAATCGCGCTAACACGTGCTGGACAACAAAACAAGTCACGTTCTGGTAACGCAGAGTTACCTGGATCAATAACTGTAAGATTATTACTGTTTTGAAAATAGTAATTAAGGTTCCCATGCATCCTGGAAAACCTGGAAAACATTTGACCAGTTTTCAATGTCATGGAAAAACATGGAAAATGTGAGAAAAAGTAAAATGTTCTGGAAATCTATTTTAACGTAATGTTGCGGCAGCGTTGTGAACACACGAGTCAGGTCACATGGTAGCACATGTGGGAAGTGACTGAATAATGTAAGTTGCATTATCCTCCAAAGGTGAGTATTAGTCGTTTTTATTAGGTTTATAGATAAATGTTTTCTTTTCAACCATTGCACACCTTTAAAATCAGACTTCCACAGAGAGGAACATATTTATTTATGACGTGATCCCCGTCTGTCATACCAGCTAGATCATCACTGTAATGTCCTGGAAAAGTCCTGGAAAGTGATCTCTAGAAAAGAGCGGGAACCCTGGTAATCCCTAAGAAAGTAAAAACCCGGAGAGCGGCAGTTGTTACGCTCCACGTGTCCAGATAAACAACTCTTTGCCTGGCATCAGAACGTTTTGTGTTTGGTCTCCGAGGTGAGGCTCTGTCTGTAGGGGCCGGAGGGCGGGGCTCCTGTGGTTTGTGGTTGTTGACCACTGAGCCGGGACTTTTCTGTTGGGATGTGGGAGCATGAACTCTGGAGCTGGTTATGTCTCTTCTTCTTCATGCCTCACATTCCCAGCTGAGCCCTGAAATACACTACAACATCCCTGTGACCCAGTTTTACAGGGCTTTTATCCCCGGTGTGTGTGTGTGTGTGTGTGTGTGTGCAGTGGAAGCTACCAGCCACATTTTACACCAACCTGCTTTATAATAAAGGCAGAGCTGCTTCACTAACTGAAGACATTAGCATCAGAAATAAGAATATGAGAAAATAAAGGCACGGCAGCTTTATTGATAGCGCACATTTCAGTGCTTTACACACTGTAGGCAAAGAAAATTATCTATAATTTGATCTATATAATTGACCCTTCACTAAGCCACGCCCCAATAACACAGCTGGCCAATCACAGCGCAGTATAGGACTTGCTCTAACTAAATCCATTAAATCTAATTTAAAAAGAGTCGTTTTCGAGGGGGTTTTTTTGGCTGTATTTTTCTAAAATCTGGTCAAACGCTGTTCTGAACGCGTTCACAAGAAGTGAAAGAACCAGTAATAAAACCGTAAAGACGTTAGAGCTCAGGATTTCTCTCTGCTCAGGTTCAGGACTCACAGGTGTGTCTCTGTTTCGTTTCCAGGCTGCTTCTGAAGGCCGGCATCGACATCAACAAGACCACCAAGTCTGGGACGGCTCTGCACGAAGCCTCTCTGTACGGGAAGACAGAGGTGGTTCGACTGCTGCTGGACGTAAGTTCATCTTAGAAGAGTCAGAATACACAGAGCAGAGCGGTGGTTACCTGTAAAGTGCAGCGATAGCTAGAATCAAGTAACAGACTCATATTTTCAGAACTTACCAGGTAGGTCAGCTTCCTTCTCTCCCAGCAGCCTCCTGTTGTGTCCTGTATAAATATGAATATCAACGTTTTAATCCCACATTTTACAAGTAAAAAGTTCATTCAGTAAAAGCAGTTAACTCTGAGCTCCTCACACCGGTGAACGGCTCCGTTATCAGAGCAGAATCCGATCCGAGACTCCTCGCTGCCCGGCGTCCCCGTCCTCTTCACAGCACTGTCTGTGACGTCCGGACAGTCTGAACGCTGACAGGCTATCGTGACACAGAGTCCAAAGTGTCATTTACTGACAGAGGAGCAAAGAAATCAGCAAATCTTCACAGTTGAGAAGCTGGAATCAGAATTTGGACGTTCTTTTCTTTAAAAAATGAATCAAAACAATAAATCCATTAATAATATAGATGTCATTTACGCTGGGGACACTGGGGACATGTCAAAGCATAATTTGTTCTGAAAGCGTTCTGAAATGTAGCTTGCAGTTAAATAACGTAATGTTTTGATGCGTCAAAGTCCACTGGAAGCGTCTCAGAAGCGCAATTTCTTTTTGTGTCTGTTTTAACCTCGTTTATTGTTGTTTAACGAATCGGGATTCTCCACAGGGTGTTTTATTTTGAAAATTGCCCGGATTCTCTCTGCCGTTTTGTGTCTGACTTCCTGCCTGGCTCGAACTGCTCTGTGCTGCTTGACGTGGTAAAAATAGACCTGCTACCTGTTCTCTGCAGAGCGGAGAGCCGCTTCAGGGACGCGCTGCGGCTGCGTCTGGTGGACTCTAAAGCACTGACTATGATGGCCGCGATGAGCCGGAGTCAGCGGATTTTAGGGGTCAGATTCTGTTATATTTATATATTTGGAAATGTCACCTGCTTCCTGAATTTTGTGTTTCCTTTAACATAAATAAAAACATTCCCACCGCCTTTCAACACAAAGCGACGGCCTTAGTGTCAATTAATTTAAAAGTTTACAACTAATCGATTAATCAACAAACCGTTGCAGCTCTATTTTTGTCGCAGAAGTATAAATTGACCTTAAATATCACCTCACAGAGCAGCTGGCAGGCTGTAGAACAGTGAATGTTTTTCAGGGTTTTGTGACTTAAGAACAGAGCTGATTAAAAGTCATCTGAGCGACGTTACGTGACGGTGAAATCGCTGCATTCGTCTTTCCTCACTGACCTCAGATCAGATGTGGTTTTAACCAGACCCTGAACACCAAACTGCACGTGAACATGTTTAACATCACAGAGACGGGTTAAAGGACAGAGCTCGTGTCTGAAGACAGTCCTTGTGTTTTGTCCCCGCAGGCCGGAGTGGACGTGAACATCCGTAACACCTACAACCAGACGGCGCTGGACATCGTCAACCAGTTCACCACGTCGCACGCCAGCAGGGACATCAAGCAGCTGCTGCGAGGTCAGAGTTTTACTGCTGCCGCTCTCCTCTTTCTGTGTCTGCAGATTCACCTGACTTGTGTTTAAGTTTTGGGTTATGTAACTCTTATCATTCAGCTCTCGCAGCTTCAAAGAGCAGCCTCAAATTTAACAGAGCTGTATATATACTGTGTGCGCGCTCTGCTCTGTAATCCTGCAGCCTTTTGAAGTTCCTGTGGGAACAGACTGAGGGAATAATGAGCGGTTGTGTTGGAGAAGTGATTTAAACATGGACGGAGACTTTCCCGTCTTGTTTACTGGAGCACTGTGGAGATGAATGACTCGCACACACTCATTCATTATTGATGTGTGACCGAGGATCTGCCTGGTGTGTTCACACTTCTGCTTTCCATCAGAGTTTAAAAAACAAACTAATTCAGGATCTTATTTTGGTAACGAGCACTGTCTTCCTGTGTTTTTTGTTTGTTTGTTTTTTTATAATAATAATAATCTTATTAATTAGTTGTAGAGCTCTTTTCGAAAACCGTGTTACGAAGTGCAAAAACAATAAAACAGACAACAAGATTCACAATAAAATCATGAAAACAAAAATAAAAAATAGAGCAAACTAAAATTAGGGATCCTGAAATCCTGAAAATTATTAAATGTTTGGTAGTTTTGAGCAGGGGAGAAGTTGTTAAAGTGAATTATGCAGAAAAATATAATGATTTTTTAGCAGAGGTGTCCAGAGGGTGCAAAATTTGAGGAGGGCGTAAGAGTTAAGAGGGGACTCGTAATATAATTTATGATTTTTACAGATTCACTTTTATCGTCCATGAAGACTTCACAGCCTCTCTTCAGGCAGGACTCTCATCCTGCAGCACTTGTCTTTGTAAAGAGACAAACTGACTCTAACCTGCCTGTCAGATCGCTCCGGGCCGTTTCAGTTACCGTAAAGGCTTGAATACGTGTGCACTCCAAATGTAGGTGCGGCTAGCTTCATCTCCTTCTCACAGACGAGTGACAGAAACACTCAAAGCGCTTCTTTTCTAAGAAGTCAGCCACAGATGGAGCGGATGTGCTGCAAACGGCGACACTTAAAATGCTTCCACACTGCCGACATGTCAACGTATTTGTTCGGTAAAATTTAACATCCCTAGTTCTTACTGTGTGTTTCCTCTGATGTACCTGCGACAGGCTCCCCTCCCTGATCAGGTTTGGCTCAGCCATTGGTATTTTCTTGGTGGGTTTTACTGAAGGGTTTTATCTCTGACCCCCCAAGATCTAACTGTGGATGTTTCCTCGGCAGATGCGACGGGTGTTTTGCAGGTCAGAGCTCTGAAGGACTACTGGAACCTCCACGATCCCACTGCCCTCAACATCCGAGCCGGAGACGTCATCACGGTGAGACGCTTCAGAGACCGCTGACACGGTTCACTGAGCTTTTTCACGCCTCCTTCATCCACTCGAGCGGTTAGTTACAGGTAGTGGATCCTCTGGTAGACACAACAAGAACACGTTTGGTTTCTTGAAACCTTTCAAACCAAACCTGAAGCTTCATTTGGAGGAAGGACATATATAAACAAAACTAAAGGCATAAAGACAGATTCACCTGCCTCATGTTTTCAGTTTCTTCTTAATTATTTTCTGCACAACAAATAACATAAAGGCTTCTTATAAGATAATTCTTGTTTATTACAACTTGGGTGTTTTTGTAGATTTGAAAGCAATAATAAACTCTTCATCTGTAACATTTATGTGGGACTGTACACGTGGAAGAACAAAAAGAGGAAACACGGAGCAGGAAAAGGAAATTATAACATTATACAAATAAGATTTGGTAAAAGAGAAATAAATTCATGTGTTTGGAGGAAAAAAAAATTTTATTAAAAGAGAGGTAAAGATGTGCATTCAAGTACTATAAGTCCGCAATCTTAAATATTAAAGGGGACCTATTGTACTTTTTCACATTTCATATCAAAACTTCAATAACGAGGTAAAAGTATTTAAAAAAAATCCCTGTGAGCCAAAACCTGAGATATCCCCCTGTTCTGAACGCTCTGTTTTTTCTACTAATGGCTCGGTATGATGTCATTCCGAGCCAAATTTCCATATATGGTCATTTGCTCCAGGCAGAGAATGCTGGCCACGCCCACAAAGGAACATGCTGCTCTATCCCTGCGGCAACCTGGTAAACACATTAGACATTGGCCAATCAGAAGACAGTGGGTTTTGGAGGAGGGGGCCTTAAAGAGACAGGAGCATCTACAGCTTGTTTCAGACAGAGGCTGAAATGAAGGCCTACATGAAGAGACGGTATAAGACAGAAGATTATTTTTTTGTACTTTGAATCATGCAAAGCTGCCATACAGGAGTCACAGAACTACAATATAGGACTGGAAAAGCAGAATAATGGGTCTCCTTTAAAACAAAAACATCTTGACGAAAAGAACATTAAAAAAAAGGAGGAGTTACGAGTTTTTGTCCATTTCTTTATATATACAGAGTATATGTACAGTATATACAGTCCCCTCCGAAAGGCGGTAAGGCAAATTGTTTTTGTTGTTCACTGAAGACTTTTGGGTTTAAGATCAAAAGCAGAGACAAGAGTTCAGAATTTCAGCTCTCATTTCCTGGTATTCACATCTAGAAGTGTTCAACTCAGGACTTTTCACAGTTTTTATTAGACCACAGCGTTCTGAGGTGAGCAAAAGTAAAGGAACAAATAATCTTAAAGTAAAAAACATTTAATATTTGGTGGCAGAACCCTCTCTTGCAATAACCGCCTCAATCCTGCGACCCATCGACATCACCAAACTGTTGCATTCTTCATTTGTGATGCTATTCCAGGCTTTTACCGCAGCTTCTTTCACTTGTTGTTTGTTTCGGCGTGTTTCTCCCTTCAGTCTCCTCTTAAGGAGGTGAAATGCAGCTCTGTTGGGTTCAGGTCAGCTGATTGACTTGGTCAGTCTAAAACCTTCTCCCCCCTGATGAAGTCCTTTGTTTTCTTTTGTGTGCTTTGGCTCATGCTGCAAGATAAACTTCCTCCCCATTAGTTTCAATGCATTTCTCTGTAAACACTTCTGAATTCATGCTGCTGCGACCATCATCAGTTCCATCATCAGTAAATATTAATGAGCCTGTTCCAGAAGCAGCCGTGACATTAACTCCACCAGGCTTCACAGATGTGCTTCGGATCATCAGCACTTCCTTTCTTTCTCCACACTTTCCATCACTTTGCTAGAGATTAATCTTGGTCTCATCAGTCCATCAGATTCTGCTCCAGAATGTTTGCGGCTCATCTTTGTGCTTCTTTGCAAATTTCACTCTGGCCTTCCGATGATTCTTGCTGCTGATGAGTGGTTTGCATCTTGTGGTGTGGCCTCTAGATTTCTGCTCTCTGAGTCTTCTTCCAACAGTGGATTGTGATACCTTCACCCTGCACTGTGGAGGTCGCTGCTGATGTCACTTCTTCACCACTTCTTTTTCAGGACGTTCAGCACAAATTGTTGTGCTTGCTCTGCCCAATGTTTGTCCAACGGCTCTGCTCGATTTTCCTTCTTTTCTCAGCTTGACAGCGGCTTGCTTTTCTCCCACAGACAGCTCTCTGGTCTTCATGTTGGTTTATCCTCTTTAACAGGAAATGCAGTCTTTATAGGTTTGAACCAAGGATGAAAACTTAGACTAGTCATGCAGAGCTATTTAATGTTTGGATCAATCAGCCTAAAAGGCAACAAGAAACATCTGTCAGTCACATGTTCCAATAGTTTTGCTCACTTGAAAAATGGGTGGGTTCAAACAAAGGCTGGTTTGTCCTGAGTTGTTTAACACATCTAGACGTGAATACCAGGAAATGAGAGCTGAAATTCTGAACTCTTGTCTCATCTTTTGATCTTAAACCCAAAAGTCTTCAGTGAACAACAAAAGTTTGCCTTCCCGTTCCGATACTTTTGGAGGGGACTGTATATAAACATTGTATTGCTTTCAAAATTTAAATGACGATTTGACCAGTTTTCTGAGATGCATTTACATAATATTAAAAATTATTTTTATATATATGCAGTTAAATCTTTGATGGAATAACTGTTATTCAATTTAAACTTTTCCAGATCGTGCCAGATGAAACCTCTTTGATCTTTATCCTCTGTGCCTTTTTTTAAAATTCAAGTCACCAAAAATACATGACTATATATGCTCACTGGCATTGTTCCCTACAATCTTTAATTAAAATCGACAGTGAATATGTTCCCTCTCCGGGTCCGATAACCGTGTGTTGCATCATCGAGAGAAGCCTTTACGACCTGCTGTGAGCTTGGTGAGTACAGTGTGACTGATGGAAACGACAGGATCCAAGTTGTCCGTGGCGTCGCTCTGTTTGAAGTCGGACCTTTAATGTGGGAACGAGTGAGTTGAAGCAGCTTTCAGAGGCAGGTGGAGACAAGTCCAACGCACACACGCCTTCCTCTGAGTGCATCACTGGGGTTTGTGAGAAGCATCGGAGGAGGTTTCTCAGCTCAAAAACCATCTTTGTCTAATGGAATTCCCTACACATTCGTTAATCAGTGAATATATGATGCATCTTTCACATATCTTGCTAATCGCTGTCTGACATTACAACATTAAACCAGACCTAGGTTATAATTGTTTCCTTTTGACTTTTGTTTTAAAGTTCAGTTCAGTTTTCTTTTTTTAAAGGCTTAGTTTTAGTTTAGTTTTTATCAGTGTCAGTTTTGGTCTTTTTTTTTGTAATATGGGGTATTTATCAGGGGCAGGATGAACAACAATCCACCAAAGACAACTACAAAGGATGTGTGTCAGCTGCCTGGACCGGGGTTAGCTTCTGTTTCGGGGTCGGGGGTGCTTGGCGTTCTCCCTTACCTTGCGAAGCTAAGCTAGGTTAGCCTTCTCATGCAAGCTTTTGAAACAGACTTTTAAATTTGTGGGATTTTTTTGCCCATTGAGAAATGTTCCTCATTTTCATCCCCCTCCACTGCGAGGTGCTCGCTCTTACCTGAGACACAGTCATTTTCAAAGCAATCCCAAATGAGAATCTGATGGTTTCCCCCCCAGAGTTTCGCCGCCATGATGCCAGTTGAGATGCGTGGACTAAAAACCGGCAGAGCTAAGAAATTGGAAGATGGATTTCTTATCCAGCCAAAACTCAGTTTTTGGTTTATGTTTGCAAACAGACAGTTTAAGTTAGTTATGGTTGGGTTTTTTTCGTAAAGTTGCGTTTTTATTTTATTTCACTTAACAAACTTAACAAACCCGCTTAGTTTTCGTTACTTCGTTATCTTTCTTTAACAACGATAACCTGCTGGTTCGGACTGAAACATCTCAGCAGTTGGTGGATGGATTGGGATGAAACCTGGTTCAGACCTTCATGTTCCCCTCGGGATGAACTGTTATAACTTTGGTGATCCTCGGACTTCATCTAGCGCCATCTTCTGCAGTGCTGGGCAACATACTCAAGAATTGTAATAGTTACTTTTTCACTTACCGTAAAACGTTTAATAGCTGAGTCCCAAATAGCCGCCTATCCCGTTTACTTGCCTGGTGTGGGAACACATTTTGACAATTAAACGCCTGGTCTGGTTTTTATGTAAGTTCTGTGGATGTATAAAACCTCTTAAACCCTGCAGGGTCATCCTCTTTAGCTGCTTCTAAGCTGCTTAGATTGTTAGTACAAATATTAATGTTTAAACGTATGATCAATATGTCAGTGTGGACATGTTGAACATCGTTCGATCGGTTAGATTCTCCACAATTCAATAGTTCAGTTCATTTAAGGGAAACAACAAGCCCCAAAGTCTAAGTCTCATAGATTTACCGGTGAAACCTGCCTGGTACAAGAGAGGAAAGGAAAAAAAGTGCCGACTGCCGTCACCTTTGAAGCGCTCGTTAAGTCCGAATGTGTCCGTTCCTTGATTATTTATCTTCCTTCAGTCTTTAAGGGTCCACCGATCAAAAGAATCAAAACAACTTTTCATAAAAATGAATTCAAGCTGTGAATCCTGTCATGTGAAGTCCGTCGCTCTCTGTCTGCTGACTTCTCTCATCCTGCACCCTGTTGTTGTTTTCGTGATGTTGCTGCCTTCAAAATAAAAGCGCATAAGCCGTCTGTCGGAGCTATTATTTGATCATTTTTAAAGAGTATTATTCTGTTTGAAATAAATAAACTGTTTCATAGTAGTTTCAGTTTTGTGCAAAAGGAATTAAAGGCCTGTCCCAAATGGACGTCTGTCCCAAATATATGCAGGGTCAATTCAGTGATTTTAGCAAATAAAAGCCCGGGCTATTAATCAAGTATTACTCCTTAAAAAACTATGTAACTATGTTACTTTACCAAACTGAAAACACTGCAGCCTCTCACACCAGATAATGCTGTATAATATATGATATATATAGAAAACTTGACTTTTTAACTAATAGCATATTCATAACAGCAGCAAGGACTGTGTCTTTTACAAAACATGTAACATTTAAAGTAATAATATTACAGTACACTGATTATCAGGTCAACATGTTGATGTATCCAACACTTTGGTTTTTGACCTAATAAACTAATGATATTCCCATCAGCCTCGGCTGTACTGTGTGTAAGATGGTCAACATGGTAAACATCATGCCTGTTAAACATTAGCCTGTTAGCTTTTAGCTCGAAGCACCACTGTGTTTAAGTTCAGCCTCACAGAGCTGCTGGCAGGACTTTACTCCTTCATACAAAGCAGAAAGTATTCTAGTTTTCTTGTCTTCTGACCTGTTTCAGCTTCCTTCATGTTGTAATCCCGGTTGATGTTTCCTTTAAATGGCAAGCAGTGGAAGAAATATTGACATCCTTTACTTGGGTAAAAGTACCAAAATACGATAAGTAAAAGTCCTGCATCCAACCCGTTACTTAAGTAAAACTATGTAAGTATTATCAGCAATTATATTAATTAACTATATAAAAATATTATAATATTAACAACATTTTCAGACTTGTACTTTCACTGGACAAGAAGTTAATGGAAAACTAATCTGAAAAGTAGCTAGTAACTAAAGCTGTCAGTCAAATGTAGTGGAGTAAAAGTACAATATTACTCAATGTACTTTACATTTGTACTTCTGTAAGGTTTTCGTCTCAGCTGCACCTTCTGACCTGTAAATGATCAGTGACTGTTCTCTGATCAGGCTGATGAGTAAAGCTGAAGGTGTTTAACTGGGGGATGTGATGCAGGCGTTGGTCTGAGGCTTCATGTTGGGACTCGTACTAAATAATAAGATCCAGTAAGTTCTGTTCTTGCATGAACAGTAGAAAAATCCCTTTAACCCTTTTTTAAACTTGGGATCACTCATTCACATCATAAAACCATGCTCCTGTATCCTCCTGCAGGCTGATATTTAAATATTTGTGTGTGGGGGGGGGGTTAGGCACTTGGGGCCCGTAGTGACCTGTGGCGTCCCCTGCAGGTGTTGGAGCAGCATGTGGACGGGCGCTGGAAGGGCCACATCCACGACACCCAGAGAGGGACGGACCGAGTCGGCTTCTTCCCTCCGTCCATCGTGGAGGTCATCAGCCGGCGAAATGGTCAGTCACGCAAACATCCAGCTGTTGAAGGTCGTTAGAAACACAGGGAGTGAGTCTTTGGTGAAACCGACAAGGGACTTCCTGTCTGTGGCTCTCAGCTCCGAAGCCCAGTGGTTCCTCCAGGAGACGTAAACCTCACAAATATATGGTTTCATTTTTAAAAAAGGCTCAGTAATTCTGTTACTGTTCCTAAAACAGCTGCTCGCTCCATTAGAGACGAAACAGTGTATCATGATTTTAGTGACATCAATTATCACGGTATTGATAAAATGAGCTGAAAATGATCAAAACACTGTGGAGAGGTGTGAAGGGCCAAAAAATGGAAAGATATTAAATAAAAATGCCTTTTTTTATGTGAACAAATAAAGTTCTCGTTCAAATTAGAAAAAAAACAACAGTAAAATAATAACAGCCAAAACGTGTGTAAACCTTTGAAAACCATATTATATGCGCATTAAAATTAAAGCTGTTATATATAAATATTTATTATTATATGAGTAAATTCAATGACCCCATGCACAAAGTTATTTTAAATGAAAACGAAATGTTTGTTGGAGACTAAACTGTGTTACGTGTTCACGTGGGTGACTAGAGTCTGCAGACAAACGCCGCACACAGCAGCAGAACAACGAGTAGAGTTTTTACAGACAGACCAACCAAAGCTAAAGATAACTCACCCTGCTTCACTGTAAGGTCATTTTATTCAGTCAGGTTTCTCTCAGCACTCTTATGAAAACCAAAACACTTCCACCAAGTTGTCATTGACCCAAACAAACCCATGTTGCATGCTTAAAGCACAGTAACCGGACACGGTTATCATGATAATAAACATTTGTACGATATTAATAACCTTCAGGAACTTAACCCTGGTTCATCATTAAACAGGTAACCGTTTCATCCCTAGTTTCTATCAAACAAGCAGGAGGTGAAGTAGTGCATTTGTTGGGCGGACAGTGTTGGACAGTTACTCTAATAATATTACTTTTCCCAGTAACTAGTAGTTTAATTAATTACTTTTCTAAAACAGTAATATTATTACTAGTTACTAAGGCAAGTAACGCTGCGTTACTGTTACTGAACGAAAGGAAGAAAGCAGAACGAGAGAGAGAGGCGTTCTTTCCACAGCTGTAAATAGCAGCTGACGTTATTGTTTCACAGTCGAAGATGCAAAGAACATTGTTGTCTGTTGTAAACTCTGTGCGACCAGCAAAAAGCTTTCAACCGCGAACATTTCTACATCTGATTTATTGAAGCGTCTGCTGAAGCAGCACAGCGACGTGAAACTCGCAGAAAGAAAGTCCAGCAGCTGCTGTTACTGATGCTTGGACTCGTCGGGAGAGAGTGGCGTTAACGTGACGTTTTGTAACTGCTGAAGACTGCTCTCATAAACAGGCTACATGTGCAGTAAAACCGCTGTTTAAACGTCGGGATTTACTTGCTTTAATTTTTTATTTCAGCCGGTGGCATACTCCAAAAAAAACCACACTCCTTGCTGCTGTTATGGATATGATGTTAGTTAAAAAGTCGCTCCCTCTTTCTCTCTCTCTCGTTAACACCGCTGCACAAACCCGTCCAACGTTCAAACGTAGGACGGGTTTGTGTCAGTATGTGGGAAACAGTGGAAAATTTATCGTAACATAACAAGTAACGTAACTAGTTACTTTCATCACCCAGTAATAAGCAAAGCAATAGTATTACTTTTTTTAAGGTGTAAGAAGTAACTAGTAATATATTACAATTTCTGAGTAACTTGCCGAACACTGGCGGCGGATGAATGTGGCGCTCTAGTGGGTATTTGGGGCAGCAGGTCGGTGGATGTGGGACTGAGTGGGAATAAACTACAGTGTGTGAGGCTCACTGATGGGTTTAATGAAGAGGAGACACAGATACAAGAAAAATATAGAATAGCTCCAGACTTTTAATTTTACGTAGTGGGCGCCATCGCCACATCTTCACCCATTCGATGGTCAGTGGTTTGTTTCACTTCCACCTTCATCTCATCACACAGGATGTTAAAAACTAATCCGCCTGCTTTCAGACCATCCCATGCTTCCACTTCCTCTCTCCTGCCTCCTGCATCCATCTCTCCATCCATACCACATAATGACTGACCTCCACCTCTCACCATCAGCTTGATAACCTCCCCCCTCCTCCTCCTCCTCCTCCTCCTCCTCCCCGTCTCGCCCTGTAGGGGGCACCCTGTCCCGGCACACCTCTCTGCCCACCCAGCGCCAGCAGCTGCTCTCCAGAGCCCCCCTCTCCTCCAGCCTCAGCTCCGCCCCTCAGACCGACGACTCCTACACTCTGTACGCACCCCCCACCCACGTGGTGCTGCCGCTAGCCAACGGCATCACTACCAACACAGGTACACACTCTCAGGACACACAGATATACAAGCTACAGGTACAGCAGTGAGCACCTACGTTTGTGGTGATCATCTTACCTACAAGCACGCTGGAATCTGAGTTATGGTCCGGGTTATAAAGTGTATTTGCTGCTCCAGAACCAGTGATACACTTTAAATGAGCTTTAACATACAAAGTTGTCCAGCTAGCAACCAAGCCAGCGAGCTTGCCAACTGCAGGTTAGAAAACTTTAGCTTTTCACCCTCTTCAGTAACTCTAAACCTTAACCCTAATCTCTTTAAACCAAAAAATACTCACTGGTAAATCATAAATCTCACCTTTTGTGTCATTTGTTCAAATAGAGAAGGGTTTAGGGTCCCTCCTCTTCTGGTGGACCACCATGGGACCCGATTGCAGAGAAAATATCTACGCTAGACGGACAACAAATTATTTGATCTTGTTTGAATTGTGCCCTGAATTATACACATGATGTTTGTCAGTTTGAAATACAAGTTTGCAAGTGAAGAAAGTCGCAGTCTGTCGTAAAACTGTCGAAGTGTAGGGTTACAACATGGTTACAGGATTGTCTATTGGTCATTACACAACACAAGGTTTTATAAAGAAACAAACGTTTGTAGTTCCTTCATGCTACACACACAGACCTTAACAGATAATTAAATGTGTGTTAAAATATGGTAACATTAAAATAAATGAAATAAAATAGAACAATAGGCTACATACTGTACATGCACTTATACACCCTGAATATTCTGCAGTGCATGTTTTGAATTTGCATCTGGAAGAATGTAAACAGCAACAAACAGATGATGACATGGTTTCTGTGTTTGAGCAACAAGCATCATCGAAATAAAACCTCTCATCTTACCAGAGTCTGTCTCTGACAGACTGTGAGAGCACGTAAATAGGTAATTACAAAGACCACAAACCCAAAAGTTGAGTATTTGACATCATAACCTTTTTTCTCAAAGACTGAAGCCAACGCTAGTGAGGCTAATGTTTCTGAAGCTAACGTCACTTAAGCTAACAATACTGAAACTAATGTTACTGAAGCCAACGCTAGTGAGGCTAATGTTACTGAAGCTAACGTCACTTAAGCTAACAATACTGAAACTAATGTTACTGAAGCTAACGTCACTTAAGCTACTGAAACTAATGTTACTGAAGCTAACGTCACTTAAGCTAACAATACTGAAACTAATGTTACTGAAGCGAACGTCGCTTAAGCTACTGAAACTAATGTTACTGAAGCTAACGTCACTTAAGCTACTGAAACTAATGTTACTGAAGCTAACGTCACTTAAGCTAACAATACTGAAACTAATGTTACTGAAGCGAACGTCGCTTAAGCTACTGAAACTAATGTTACTGAAGCTAACGTCACTTAAGCTACTGAAACTAATGTTACTGAAGCTAACGTCACTTAAGCTAACAATACTGAAACTAATGTTACTGAAGCGAACGTCGCTTAAGCTACTGAAACTAATGTTACTGAAGCTAACGTCACTTAAGCTACTGAAACTAATGTTACTGAAGCTAACATCATTTAAGCTAAAGATACTGAAACTAATGTTACTGAAGCTAACGTCGCTTAAGCTACTGAAACTAATGATACTGAAGCTAACATCATTTAAGCTAACGATACTGAAATTAATGTTACTGAAGTATTGAGTATCGTTAGCTTAAATGATTATTTAAGCTAACGATACTGAAATTAATGTTACTGAAGCTAATGTCACTGAAGCTAACGTCACTTAAGCTACTGAAGCTAATGTTACTTAAGCTAACATCGCTTAAGCTACTGAAACTAATGTTACTGAAGCTAACGTCGCTTAAGCTACTGAAACTAATGTTACTGAAGCTAACGTCACTTAAGCTACTGAAACTAATGTTACTGAAGCTAACATCATTTAAGCCAAAGATACTGAAACTAATGTTACTGAAGCTAACGTCGCTTAAGCTACTGAAACTAATGATACTGAAGCTAACATCATTTAAGCTAACGATACTGAAATTAATGTTACTGAAGCTAATGTCACTGAAGCTAACGTTGCTGTAGCTTTCTTCACTGAAGCTAATGTTATTGAAGCTAATGTTACTGGAGCTAATGATACTGAAGCTAATGATACTGAAGCTAATGTTACTTAAGCTAAAGATACTGACGCTAATGTTACTGAAGCTAACGTCGCTTAAGCTACTGAAACTAATGTTACTGAAGCTAACGTCGCTTAAGCTACTGAAACTAATGATACTGAAGCTAACATCATTTAAGCTAACGATACTGAAACTAATGTTACTGAAGCTAACGTCACTGTAGCTAACGATACTGAAACTAATGTTACTGAAGCTAACGTCACTGTAGCTTACTTCACTGAAGCTAACGTTATTGAAGCTAATGTTACTGGAGCTAATGACACTAAGCTAATGACACTGAAGCTAATTTTATTTAAGCTAACGATACTCAAACTAATGTTACTGAAGCTAACGTTACCGGAGCTTACGTCACTGAAGCTTTATTCACTGACGCTAATGTTACTGCAGCTAACGATACTGAAACTAATGTTTCTGAAGCTAACGTTACTATAGCATTTGTCACTGAAGCTTACAATACTAAAGTTAATGTTACTGAAACTAACCTCACTTAAGCTAATGATACTGAAGCTAATGTTACTAAATCTAACGTTACTGTAGCTTTCTTCACTGAAGCTAACGTTACTGAAGCTAATGTTACTGGAGCTAATGATACTGAAGCTAATGTTACTAAAGCTAATGTTACTGGAGCCAACGATACTGAAGCTAATGATACAGAGTCTAATGTTGCTGAAGCTAATGTTCCTAATGCTAACGTTACTAAAGCTAACATTATTGAAGGTAACGTCACAGAGCTACCATGTGATTAAAGGACCAGGAGTCGTTGGATTAAACACATCAGATGAGACACGTGTACGTGGAACAAAGCTAAGTTACCTAGCCATTAGCAAGCAAGCAATAAATGTTAGCTTAGCGTTACAGTGCTAACATATTGGTGACGTATATTATGTGAGACAAGAGATGTAGTTCTTTCTTGACTTAAATTATCTTTTAAACTGACAAACGTGTTTAATTAAAGGACACAATTAAAAAGGATCAAAACATCAGTCCCATGGGGCGGAAGAGGAATGGGAGGGTCTTAGAAGCAGCACTTGAAAGCTTATAGAAAACGTTAAGTTTTCAAGTGCTGCATCTTCTCCTCATTCTGGTGGACCAAGCAGGGGGATGAAATTACCCACTGGTACTTGATTAATGCTTTATCAGATGTGTTTTCAATTTTTCAGTTTTACAGGAGAAAAGACTTCAAGGATGAAGACTAACTTGTTGGTTTTCTATGATGCAACAGTCAGAAATGAGGATTGATCTTTCTCAAACCTTAGCTAAGTGTTAAAGTGGCCTGTTTCTAACCCTGATTTCAACAGGAAGTATCATTAATCTGCATGGAGTTCCTAAATCACAGATCAGCTCCAACAGTGTCCCCCTCAAACAGTGACCCGGTTAAAGCCTTTTCTATCTAATCTTTGTCCTCCAACACACCTAACCCCTCTCAGTCAGCCCTCTCTGGCAGAACTCAGTCCATCAGGGTGTTTGTGTTTGGTAGGTTTGTCTCCGAGCCGCCTGTCTCGGTCAGAGTTTCCCTTCGAGGATATCTGGGTTCTCAGGGACTCGGGTCATGGTAAGAGCCCCACGAACGACAGCTTCTCCTCCCCGTCTGTTCTGAAGCTACCTCGCTGCCCCGCTCAAAGCTCTGCATCAGGACCCGGCACACCAAGACAGCTGAACAGAACTACTGTCGACAAAATGTGTTGGCTATGTGTGTAACATCATGTCGCTTCATGTTATCTCACGTCGCTACACATTATCTCACGTTGCTTCACGTTATCTCACGTTGCTCACGTTATCTCACGTTATCTCACGTCGCTTCACGTTATCTCACGTCACTTCACATTATCTCATGTTGCTTCACATTATCTCATGTCGCTTCACATTATCTCACGTCCCTTCACATTATCTCATGTCGCTTCACATTATCTCACGTCGCTTCACATTATCTCATGTCGCTTCACATTATCTCATGTCGCTTCACATTATATCTCTTCACACTTATCATGTCACCTTGCGTCCCTTCACATTATCTCATGTCGCTTCACATTATCTCATGTCGCTTCACATTATCTCACGTCGCTTCACATTATCTCATGTCGCTTCACATTATCTCATGTCGCTTCACATTATCTCACGTCCCTTCACATTATCTCACGTCCCTTCACATTATCTCACGTCACTTCACATTATCTCACGTCCCTTCACATTATCTCACGTCGCTTCACATTATCTCACGTCACTTCACATTATCTCATGTCGCTTCACATTATATCTCTTCACACTTATCATGTCACTTTGCGTCACTTCACATTATCTCATGTCGCTTCACATTATATCTCTTCACACTTATCATGTCACCTTGCGTCACTTCACATTATCTCATGTTGCTTCACATTATCTCATGCAGCCTCGCTTTGCCTCATGTCGCTTCACATTATCTCACGTCCCTTCACATTATCTCACGTCCCTTCAGATTATCTCATATCGGTTCATTCACATTATCTCATGTCGCTCCACATTACCTCATGTCGCTTCACATTATGTCTCTTCACACTACTCATGTCACTTTCCGTCGCTTCACATTATCTCATGTCGGTTCATTCACATTATCTCATGTCGCTTCACATTATGTCTCTTCACACTACTCATGTCACTTTGCGTCGCTTCACATTATCTCATGTCGCTTCACATTATCTCATGTCGGTTCATTCACATTATCTCATGTCGCTTCACATTATCTCATGTCGGTTCATTCACATTACCTCATGTCGCTTCACTCTATGTCTCTTCACACTACTCATGTCACTTTGCGTCGCTTCACATTATCTCACGTCGCTTCACATTATCTCACGTTGCTTCACATTATCTCATGTTGCCTCGCTTCACCTCATGTCGTTATCCATTGCTTCACATTACCGCATTTTGCATCATGTCACTTCAAATGATGTAATGCCGCCTCGTGTGACCTCGTGTTGTCTAATGCCACCTCATTTTGCTTTACATGATCTCACGTTGCCTCAAATCACCTCACAGTATACTGCCACATGCCACTTCACATGGCCTCGCGTCACCTCCTGTCACCTAATGTTGTCTCACATCATTTCACCTCATCTTCTGTCACTTCAATCGCTTTTCAGATCATCTCACATAACTTGAGTAGTGTGATGCAACGGCCTGCCTCACACTGCTTCATGTTGCCTTGCATCATCTCTTGTGACGTTGCCTTATTTCTCAATGTCGTAAACACTCCCTTCTTAGTGAGAGGATGTCAGACAGGTGTAAATGAATAAAACACACATATTACTCCAGTAGAGAAAGCTAAAGGGTAAATCAGCCCAAAGGCTTCTGATCGGAGCCAGTCAGTCACACAACAAAAACTACAGGTGAGGTTGGCAGACGGACATCTTGGTGTGTCGGGTCCAAACACTCTGTATGATTATGATGCGCTGTATCGTCTGCTTCAGGCTGAACTTGCGGTCAGAGCATTTGGCTGATTAATCCCTGTTGTTATCCTCCCTGCTGCCACAGGAGTTTGACACCAGCCCATCCCTGTTTTATCTCTCCTTATTTAAACTGTCACTCATCAAAATGTTGGGAGCCAGAAGCTTAGTGGGCTCAGTGAGTTTTACTGAACTAACTGAGGATCCTCTGATGTAGCAAGAGAAAAGCTCTCAGTAGAATCTGTCACAGATTCTTTGACTCCATGAAGATTTTATGAAGCTGTTTGCATGTAGTTGTCATTTCGCAATTCTCAAAGCCAGAACTAAATCCCTCCTTCTTACATCATTTGGTTTCATCATTAGGTTTTTCATAAATACACTACGCTTGAGCTTCAGCTTCAGCTAAATAATTATGCTTAGTTATAATGTTTTGAACTGGAAGTTTGTGGGATTTTAAACTTGTTATAACTCCTACCCTTCATATAATTATTTAATTCAGGATGTCATGTCCTACGTCTAAAATTGGAGAGAAAAGTGACATTCCAGATGCTCAACTTAAAAGCTTTTGCTGTTTATTCCAAAATTTTTTTCTTAACCTTTAATCGGATCATATCAGACTGTGACAGTGCATCAGTGTATTTAGTAGGGTTGAGCGAGTACTCTGTCGAAACAAGTATCTGGGAAAGATAATGTATCTGTTTCCTAATAAACTATAAATAAAGGAACCTTTAAAAAAGGTTCTCTTGCTTTTGTAATCAAAAACATTGCTCTGATGCTCAATTCTGAGGCTGTTCTGTAAATAGTTTTCTAATAAATAAAGCAACTTGTAATTAACCCATACCAATTTCAGCCTTAAATAACTAACTATCCCCAACATCCAGGTTGAGTACGCCCATTCCGAGTACGGATAGAGATAATTTAATTAGTTGAACAGATACAGATAGTGGTGTGCTCGCTCACCCCTTGTATTTAGTCATAAACTGTCCTGAAGGCCTGATGTTACATGACTGTCATTAACGGATTTGTGCCTGCAGCTGTGCTCCCCTGCTCGGCCACAGCACAGCTTTTATACCAGAAACCTGCATCCTGCCCAGCACCCCCCATCGTCCCCTCAACCCTTTGCCCCTGCAGACTTGTTGACCCTGTTCTCTCAGCCTGCTGTGACTCAACCAAGAGCATCTGCTGCTTCTTACAGCCTGACGCCGACCCCCTCTGCTGATGTGAACTCCTGCGTTCGACAGTCTGCCCCTTTCCCTCCTGGACGTCATGAGTTCACTTTTGTTTTTGTTTTCCGTTTGCAGCTGGAGACAGGAACAGTGTCGGGAGCACCGGCAGCGTCGGCAGCACCCGCAGTGCCGGGAGCGGACAGAGCACCGAGAGCAACAACGCATCCAACGGACTCCAACACAACACAGGTCACCATGATAACGCCAACAAGGTACACAGCCAGACTGATGCACCTGCTGGTCCATCTGGTTAAAGGATCATTTCAGCATTTTTAAACCTGGACCCTACTTTCACATATTGTTGGTGTTGAAATGACTCGTAGGTACAGAAAGTGTTGAATCAGTGCAGTAGATGCTTCTGAACCGGCAGCTGAACCGGCTGCGAGGTATTCCTTCCTGTCCAAATGGCGTCCACAGAAAGTGCTTCTTGTTGTCAGGTGTCTGACAACATCATGGAAAGGATCTGTATGAGGGACTCCGGGTGACCCTCTTTGTTGTTAACATGAAACGGAAGTCTCGCTCTGGAATCTCGTGAGAGGCGAGTTGTTGAAGGAAGACGCCGTCGGTGGAAACGAGGGAGAGGAGTTTGTTGTGTGCGTAGAGGAGCTGCTAGCATGACTTTATTTCCTAACGTTAGTCCAACACACCAAACTCCTCTCTCACACTCTGACTCACGTTTCCACAGACGTCTTCCTTCAACAACTCACCGCACAAGATTTACAGTTGGATCTGGTCCAGACTCGGTCCTCCAGCCCTGATGTGACTATTAATATATATATTTAAAATCAGAGCCTGATAATCCGGCTAAGTACAAACTATATTAATTATTTAAATCACAAAATAAAATGTGAGCAACAATTCAGACTATAAAAATTTTCATTTTCCTGGATTAATAACATAAAAATATTGTTTGTCTGCTCATGAATCCTGATTTCTTGGTATAAAAACAAAGGTTCCATTAAAGATGTTGAATTTAGTATTTAAACATGGTATAGGGCTAATTTCTTGTTGTGTCAGACTGATTCAGTTTGGTATTTTGTATTTTTGTGTGCAGCCGGCGCCCTCTGCTGTTGATTCTGCACACTTAGACCTCAGCAAACCGCCTGATCATCCTGCAGGTACTTTTCTTTTTGACTGTCATTTACATCTTGTACTGTTTTTTCACATTGTCTCCTGTACTATGTGAAGTTAAGAAAAGCAAAAATACTTGTGGACACTCTTGTCTTTGTGTTAGACTTCCTGTTACAGTCTATGGATATCAATATATGCTAGCTACTGTTTATATCTTTTTACTTAGAGATTTTTTTTATTAGGAAGTTTTTCTGTTATGCATACACGTCACATATCACAGGATATAAGCAGCAAAATCTGCTTTTGTTTGATCTCTTGTTACATATGCAGATTAAATCAAATCACTATTGAAATCGAAACCACACCTTTACCATTACATTTTCATTGAAACGTAACCCATTTCTTTATGCATGAAAACATTCTGAACATTATCTTTTAGGTCCTATTTAAATGGTTTCAAGATTTCTTCAGCTTGCTGTTTAAAGGGTGTATTATTTCATTTTTTCAACCTAGATTGGTTATGGCAGGGCAATACGCAACTTTAAGATAAAGAAAGTGGGAAGTTTCTACAGAATTACTAAGATAATAATAATAATACATTTTATTTGTAATGCACTTTACATTTGAAGCAAATCTCAAAGTGCTACAGTTAAGATCATAAAAGCAAGGTAAGAACATCAATATAAAATACAAATAGATAATGCAACAACTTGCAGGGTTAATTAAAACTCATACGTTCTGCTAAAAGTCAGATGGTCAGGGAGGGCATTACTGATCCGAGGAGCAGCTGAAAGCCCGATCACCCATGGTGCTGAGCTTAGTCCTGGGGGGAAGGAGGCGGTTTGAGTCACTGTACTTGAGTCACTGATCTTACTAGTATCAAATACACCGGCTGAGGTCTGGTCTGGTGTCCCTGCAGGTGGGACTCCTCGGAAGCAGACCGTGACGGTGCAGAGACCTGCAGAGCAGAGTTTCTCCCAGCAGTTTGTTCGACCTCAGCAGCTCCTGGAGGGGAAGGTGAAGATCAGCACAGAGAGACCCAAACTGTCTTCATGCTGTCTTTTGTTTTTATTAATACTTTTACTTTGTTAAAAACCGGGATTTTGAGAAAGAAATGTGTGTTTGTACTTTGGTTGTGATGTAGGATGCAGAGGCCATCTATCAGTGGCTGAGTGAGTTCCAGTTGGAGCAGTATACTGGGAACTTCATCACTGCTGGTTATGATGTTCCCACCATCAGCAGGATGACTCCAGAGGTGACACATTTTTTTCTGTGAAGCCTATAGTCTTTTTTTATCCATGACTTGTGTAATTGTTTAGTCCTCTTATTAGATTTCCTTTACCTAGTCTAAAGGCGTGTCAAAGGCAATCCTCCCAATAAAATGCATTGTTGTTATTATTATTAAAGACTGATCATTTACTCTGCAAACTCACAGGTGTATTAAAATAAGGTTGGACCTGGTTGTTTGTGCAGCATGTATCAGACGGCTGACATATTCTATTCAAAAGGAAAAGTTCTTTGAAATTTTAAAAATTTGTTCACACTCTTGATTGAAAAGGTAAGTTCTGATTAACTTATGTGTCACCTAATAAATTAAATGCAGGAAGCAAAGCGCTGACCCGTAGTTACATTTAAAGGCTCTGAAATATTCTGCCCCTCCATTAGTAAAAATGTTTTACAGTGGATTTGGTGTCATGACAGCCGATAATGTGCTGCTGTCTTTCGTCATGTTGCGTCTGCAGGATCTGACTGCCATCGGAGTGACCAAACCAGGCCACCGCAAGAAAATCTCCATCGAGATCAACAACCTGAACATGCCTGAGTGGCTGCCCGAGTACATCCCAGTAAGATGCCCAGCCATTTACTGAATACACTGACCTCTAAAACACTGTGATACCAACTGATCTGAGCGAACTGTTCTTTCTCACAGTCTGATCTGGGCGAGTGGCTCAGTGCCATCGGCCTCCCACAGTACCACAAAAAACTCTCAGAAAACGGCTACGACTCCATCAGCATTGTCAGAGACCTCACATGGGAGGACCTGCAGGAGATCGGCATCACCAAGCTGGGTGAGGACACTTCACATTCACATTTTGGCATGTGCTTGATAGGACTGTTGAGTTTTTTACTTGCATTTTTCCCCCGAAACGGTAAAAAAGACACCCCACATCCCTATAGGATTGGGGCTGGATAGGGGTGGGAATCTCTGGGCACCACACGATTCGATTACGATTCAAAGGGCTGCAATTTGATTATAAAAGTTTATCAGTGCATCTTGATGCATCATTTTACAGGATCCCTGGATAATTAATTTGTGCATTAAAATCCAAAAGAAACATCTCCTAATTAGCTTAAAAGGACTAGTTTGCATCCCTAATTTACTTTATTAAGCTCAGCTCCATGGTCCCTCATTTCTTTAACAACCAGTTGTCAGACTCTGAAACTGATGAATAATTATCAGGATATAGTCTACAGTCTGTGTACAGGACAGAGCTGCACACCAGTTTAGTCTAAGCTTGTGACTAATGTTCTCAACCCCTGATTAGTAGGTTAGTTAGTAATGACGTACAGCTGATAATTGTTACTAATTTAGCTAACGTTACATAAATAAATAAATATGTTTAGCATCTTTCACAGGACCCAATGACGCGTTACACATAGTTACAGTGACATAGTTCCAGCAGTTGGGGAAACTACAGACTTTCATTAACGGGACACACTGTGACCTACGCTGCACGTTTGGTTCTGCCACTCGCTCTCTCGCTCTTACCACACTCGCACAGTGTGCGAGTTAAAATTATTACTTGCGCATTGATATTAATTGATTGATTGTGTGACATTTTAGTAGGGTGGTAATTCATCCTGCAGCGGTGCTGTGCTGAATACAGGGGAAACACTGCTGGTCTCTCTGTTGTGCGCGCTCTGCAGACGGTACCGGCGCTGTACTTCCGCAAGTTCCGCCTTTTGCTTTCGTCAACATTATGTTATTATTTAACATTTAAATAATCGATTTTTAGACATTTGTTAATCGATTCATAATGTTCCACGTCTGCATCGCGATGCATTTAAGAATCGATTATTTCTCCCACCCCTAGTGCTGGATCAAAAACAGATAGATCCGCACACCAAGTTTTTTTTCAGTTAAACTAATTTTAATAGCGGTGACGTATAGAGCACCGGTGCTCCTTTTAACTGGGGCTACTTGGTGTATCTGTCTCAACTCTGAATTTTCCCTCCAGGTCACCAGAAGAAGCTGATGCTGGCGGTGAAGAAGCTGTGTGATATCCAGAGGGCGATCCTTCAGGCTGAATCTGGCCAAGGCACACTGCGCCGCAGAGCCCCCGGAGCCCTCCACCTGGTCGCCATTGAGCCGCCTGACACGGCAGGTGAATGCTCTTCCCCTCACACCCCAAAGATGCTGACCTTCCAGGACAGCGAGTTGAGCGCTGAGCTGCAGACCGCCATGTCCAGCCACTACGGAGGCTGCGAGGAAGGCTTGGCCATCAAGCATGCAGTGGGAATGTACCAGAGTCAGGAGAGCATCGACAACCGGTCCAGAGGCTCTGGACGCTCCCAGGAACCCCCCACTGCTTCCATTACTCCCCACAGCTGGTCCCAGGAGAGTCTGGACGGCAGCCCCGCCAAGGAGAGAAACCTCCCAGAGGGCTGGGACCAGAGGCCTCTGCAGCAGCAGACGCTGCCCAAACAGGTGCCTCTGGGCACAGCAACCGTATTTAAGTACCCGGCAATCCCAGCCAAGCCGAAACTGTCTGGATCTCGTGGCTCCTCCCCTCATGGCTCCCCAGCATTAAAGGGTTTCAGCTACTTGCATTCTCAGTGTGGCTCCACAGACCTGAGCTCATCCTCAAGGCCCAAAAACCACACCATGACCCTGACACCGCCCAAGAAGCGCACCCAGACCACAACCCGCTACGCTCTGTCGGATGGAGAGCCAGATGAGGACGACGAAGACCCGGCATTTCCATCTGGAAACCTGTCATCCTATGCCACCTTGACCCGCAAACCCGGTCGCAGCCAGCTGGCTCGGTTAAAGTCGAGTCCAGAAAAGAACAGCAACGTGGGACGCAGTCAGTCCTTTGCAGTGCGTGCCCGAAAAAAAGGTCCGCCCCCTCCTCCTCCGAAGAGACTGAGCTCAGTGAGCAGCACCACCAGCGGAGAGCTGAGCGACAGCAGCACAACATCATCTGCTGGCGGGGTGATGACAGACAGTCCAGTGAGCGTGAGGAGCATCACGGCCTCTTTGGAAAGCAGGTCAGAGGAGAAAAAACACCCAGGACCGAAACCAGACCTCGTCCAGCAGGCGACGCCTATGCCCTCCCTCAACTCTGCAGGGCAGGAGCCCAGAGAGGCTGCCGGGGTAAGGAAGAGGGTACAGAGCGAGTGTATTTCCACCCAGACCAGCAACAGCACAGAGCCGGATCAAGGGGTGAGGTCTGACTCGGAGGAAGAAGAATCAAAAGGTCGTGGACTGGAGGGGTCCTCGTCCCCTCAGAACAGCTCCAGTGAATGCATCCCCTTCGCCGAGGAGGGCAACTTGACCATCAAACAGAGACCCAAAGCTCCGGGGCCACCCAGGGCTGAGGCCGTGCTGGAGCCTCCAGAGAAACCAGCAGCCAAGAGCCTGGAGGTGCCCGAGTTTAATCTGAAGGAGTCGGACACAGTGAAGCGCCGACACAAACCCAAAGACAAGGAGCAGGAAGGAGGCTCCCCGAGCAGGGAGGGAACGAGGGAAGCCGGGTTAGAGTACGGCGGCAGCAGGCCTCCGTCCCAGGAGGTCAGTCTAAGGATCAGTGAGGCCAGTCAGCACAGGCCGGCCAGTCCTGCAACAGGATCTCCCATCAAACCTCCGCTCTCCCCGAAACCTGCCGTGGCCCCAAAACCTGTGCGCCACAGTCTACTGGCAGCACAAGGTAAGATTTTTAGGTTAGTGGTTTTGATGTGTATTTGAAGAAAACGAGAATGAAACAATACAAATTAGCCTGAATCAAGTCTTGCATTTAAATCTTGAATACAACAAAAAATAAAGTATTATATCCTCAGAAGCAGCAAGACATTTCTTCATCTTGAGAAAGGTGGGCTCACCAGTAATGACTGAACCTCCATCTCACTCAAACCAAAACAAACTGTACAGTATCCCAACTTCAAGTCTGCAAAAATCATTTACCTTGAATCTGACCAGAGCAGTTTCAAATTATTATGGGTTTTACAATGAACAACATGCAACCGATGGTCTGATTATTCCCATATCTGGAGGTGATCAAATTTCAGAAATGTCCATTTAAACTTTGGTTATGACCCAGGACCTGCTGCTCCTGACTTGGAACATGTTGCTCTTGACCTTGAATTTGTTGCTCCTGAAGAGCTACCAGTTCCAAGTCAAGAGCAACAGGTTCCAAGTCAAGTCAAGAGCAACCAGTTCCAAGACAAGAGCAACAGGTTCCAAGTCAAGAGCAACAGGTTCCACGTCAAGAGCAACCAGTTCCAGGTTCCAAGACAAGAGCAACAGGTTCCAAGTCAAGAGCAACCAGTTCCAGGTTCCAAGACAAGAGCAACAGGTTCCAAGTCAAGAGGAGCAAGTTCCAGCGACTTGGAACTTGTTGCTCTTGAGTTGGAACCTGTTGCTCTTGACTTGCAACTTGATGCTCTTGACTTTGGACTTGTTCTTGATTTGCGACTTGATGCTCTTGACTTTGAACTTGTTGCTCTTGACTTGCAATTTGTTGCTTTTGACTTGGAACCTGTTGCTCTTGACTTGCAAGTTGATGCTCTTGACTTTGGAATTGTTCTTGATTTGCGACTTGATGCTCTTGACTTTGAACTTGTTGCTCTTGACTTGCGATTTGTTGCTCTTGACTTGGAACCTGTTGCTTTTGACTTGCTACTTGATGCTCTTGACTTTGGACCTGTTGTTCTTGACTTGCAATTTGTTGCTCTTGACTTGGAACCTGTTGCTTTTGACTTGCTACTTGATGCTCTTGACTTTGGACTTGATGATCTTGACTTGGAACATGTTGCTCTTGACTTACGACTTTTTGAGCAGGGCAATCTTGCTAGTGGCAAGTCCGACTATGTTTTGAATGTATAGCGGCGGTGCGGGGCAGGTGACGGAGTGGTGGGGAAAAGGGATCACGGTAGTAATCTTTACTCATTACCATTGATGGCAACGTTGCCCTTCACAATTGCTCTAAAAGTTGCTCTGTGTATCATCAGCTTTAGAACTTGTTGCTCTTGACTTACGACTTGATGCTCTTGACTTTGAACGTGTTGCTCTTGACTTTGAACGTGTTGCTCTTGACTTTGAACTTGATGCTCTTGACTTTGAACTTGATGCTCTTGACTTTGAACTTGATGCTCTTGACTTTGAACGTGTTGCTCTTGACTTACGACTTGATGCTCTTGACTTTGAACTTGATGCTCTTGACTTTGAACTTGACGCTCTCGAATTGGGACTTGATGTTCTTGACTTACGACTTGATGCTCTTGACTTACGACTTGATGCTCTTGACTTACGACTTGATGCTCTTGACTTTGAACATGTTGCTCTTGACTTACGACTTCATGCTCTTGACTTTGAACTTGACGCTCTCGAATTGGGACTTGATGCTCTTGACTTACGACTTGATGCTCTTGACTTTGAACTTGACGCTCTCGAATTGGGACTTCATGCTCTTGACTTTGAACGTGTTGCTCTTGACTTTGAACTTGTTGCTCTTGAATTGGGACTTGTTGGTATTTTACTTGTTGCCGTCTCTTCATTAGCTGGACTCTCCTCTCCATCTGTGACCGTCACTGTTGGTCAAAGTGTAGCCTTCACCTCTCCATCCGCTTACGGGTCCCCAGCTTCGGCCCCTCAGAGTCCCTCTCTGACAGCAGCCAGGCCTCAGGTGTGTGTAGTGGGTCCGGGTCTCGTCCCTGAATCGACCTGCGCGACTGAGGGGGTTCAGCAAAGACTGGATCAGACCAGCACGTCTTTGGAAGCAGCTCTGATGGCTGTGGAGAGAAAACTGAACCTGGAGGACCACCCAGACAGGTAGGCATGAATAAATATCCTGTCACAAGCATTTCTGTCTGTGATGGGGGTCGGTTTTTGACCCCTGTTCTTTCTTTAGCAGTTTGTTTCATGATCATTACCGCTGCTCTCTGCCTTGCGCTTTCCACATAGTCACATGGAAGGGCAGGGAGAACCCAGAACAGAGCCATACCTCCAAACATAACTTTCTGCGGCGCAAATATCTGTTTCTTTGATGAATGTTGTCCTGACCGAAATATTAATTGTTTGTGATGTTTTCTCACTAGTGGATCAAACACAGTGAAGTCGGCAGGGACCATTCTGGACGACATCGGCAACATGTTTGACGACCTGGCCGACCAGCTGGACGCCATGTTGGACTGAAGACTTTTCATATTGGCCAAAATAAAAAAATATTCACCCTCAAACTCAGGAAGTGAAACAGAGAAAGAAACAAAGGGGGAAAGGAGGGTCAACCGAGAGATTTCCCCACTGATGTTGTACTCTGAACCATATGACACAGGCAGAGCAGCGAAACTCAGACTCCTGTGTTGTTTCTCAGCCTGAACACCAGCACTTAATCTGCACTGTGCTTCCTCAACAAGGTCCTTTACTTTAACAGAGAGTTGATTCTGGTTTCTGTACGGATAGATTCACTTTTTTAACCTTTTTAACGCTCGTGTCGTCGTGTCTTATCAAACACGAACCGAACACGGAGGCAAAACTTGGACCAGCGGTGTTTTATCAGCTCACTGTGAGGGAAAACTCCTCCACAGATTATTATGATTCTTGTCATATACAGTGAAGTTTTATCTTTTTGATGTAATAGTAATAGAGAGCCGAAGTCCTGACATCACTTCCTGTTCAGCTTCTGTTCCACTACCTTCGGTCACTCGGTGCAATCTGTCAGTCTTTCTGAAAAGTGTTTTAAAGCAGCATTATGTAAGATGTGTTTTTGTGATGTTGTGCCCCAAACATTTCAGCCGTAGTAAGTTCTGCTGTACACGTGCAATTGTTATGATTATATTACTTATGATGTTGCCAACGTTGCTAACAGCCAAACATCAAGCAAGACAAGAAAACAATATTACTGACCAGCCCAACAGAAAGATGGCCAGCTCGCCGTCTGTCCTGCAGCCTTTTATTTCTCAAAGCCCTCGCCAACGTCCGGCAGCCTCTAGCTTCCTCTGGCAGCGTCCTCTTCAGTCCCTTTGCTTCTGCCATTAGTTAACGTAACATCCATAGAAGCTGCCGAGCCCAGTTATGTTTCCCGCTCGCCCGGCTTTGGCTCGACGCTGTTGCTTGAAACTTGGGTGGCGAGCTAGCCAACAAAACTAGCAACAGCATACGACGAAAGAGCACTTAACAGTAACATTACCAATGTCTGAGTGTGTTATCTAGTAAGTTTGCTAACATGAACTCCAGATTTATAGCTAGCAGCTAAACCTCTGGCAGATTTTTCTAGAGTCGTCAACTTTGCTAACAGCCAAACATCGAGCAATCGAGAGCAACAACACAGCAATATTACTGACTAGTCCAACAGAAAGAAGTCCAGCTCGCGTTTTATTTCACGGAGCTCTTGCCAACATCCGGCCGCCTCTTGCTTAGTCTCTTTTGTCGCCCACTCGCCTCGGCTCTGGCTCGACACCGGGTGCCGCTCTCCACCAGCAGCAGCTTAATGTTGCTTGAAACTTGGGTGGCGAGCTAGCCAACAAAGCTAGCAAACAGCAACCGGCGCAGGAGCACTTACAGCAACGTTACAGATGTCCGAGTACGTTATTTAGTAATTTTTCTAACATCAACTCCAGATTAATAGCTAGCAGCTAACTTTTCTTTGTTCTTTATTTGGATTTCCATCAGCTGCAAAAAACAATCAAAAAGGTTCCAGAACAGAAATAAATAAAGTCACATCTATATTTTAAAGTTTTAATGACTTTTTTAATTTTTCTTACTTTTGATCTACCTGAATTAAAGTTAGTGAAAGGCTGCTAAAAACAAAAATATTTATTAGAGGCCAACCAATAAAACAACTGAGATCTAAAATTAACTAATTACGTATAATAATAATAATAATAATAATAATAATAATAATGATAATAATAAGATCATGTCTGTGTTTATAACAGCCGTTAAACGACAATTGAAAAAGAAAACTGAGAGACGGAGCCGTCAATAATGTTATCAGTGGTGTCATTGCATAGTTTGTCCACTAGAGGGCGCTCTGCAGTTTCCCTGTTCAGGGGACAGATTTTTAAAACTGCAATATGTCATGTAATCTTGGCGAGGTCTCGTAACTACACCCAACACACGTTAGGGATACTCTTTGTTTATGTTACGTGTTTCTGAAAAGAAGAAAAACAAACTACATCGGCCGATATATCGGATTTAAAAAAACTAAAATATCAAAATCAGTCCTAAAAATCCCATATCGGCCGGGCTGTAATAATAATTAAACAGTGTTATTATATAGTTCTAAATGATATGCCATCCATATCAAGACACACTGTTAGTGGTTATTTGTGTTGTTCTGAACGTTAATGTGATTTATAAAAGCTCTTTTCTTCCTCGTGGAACAGAACCTGGACCGGCTCTCTGTTCAGGCTCTATCCTGTCTGACCATTTCAAAATGTACCCTTGTAATATTTAAACAAAGCAAAACATTTATTTTATACCAAGTACTTTTAACCACGTGTAGTTAGCCACATGGCTCAGTGTCGGCGTGTTTGTGTTCTTTAAAGTGTTTATGAAGCTACAGCAAACCCGTGCTCAGTCGTGTCGTTTCTACAAAGGGAAGCATGTTCAGCTCATTTCACGTGTGGACTCAGTCAGTGTGTACATTCGGAGACATGTCGGTGATATACAGACTATTTTTTGATATTCAATTTAGCCAAATTAGTATTTAAATTAGACTTATCTAAATATATATATATTGTACACCAGAGGTATATACAGGAGCAGATATTAAACCAAAGTGTTTGTACAGATTTTCTTCCTCTGATATTTTCACAAACATTTCCTTTGTGCAGAACCCTGATCTGTCCTCTTCCTGCGTGTTACAAGATGTTTATGAAATGTTGTTTTCCTGTGCAGCGTGTGGAGAAAGTGTCTGTGTTTAGCATGAAGAGACCGTTAACTCTGGTGTGTGAGGGGGGTTTGTCCTGCGATCATGTGACCTCTGTGTGAATGAGATGCACATTATTTTATTTTTACCCCATCAGCTTTCCAACAACTCAGCCTCTGATTGGCTACTACCTCCGTCGGTTAAAGGGTAATGTCAGTATTTTTAAACCTGGGCTCTGTTTCTACGTATGTTGGTGTTGAAATGACTCGTAGGTACGAACAGGTTTGAATCTGCTCAGACAACAAACTCCTCCCCCTCGTGTCCACCGGCGTCTTCCTCCATGGACGAATCGAATGACTGTGGTTTGTTCTGACGTGTCTGGACAGTGTAATTGGCCGTTCTCATTCCCAGAGCGTCAAATAGCTACACTTTGTCACGTCTTTTAGCGTCTGGTATCAACGCACATGGCTGCCTTTAGCGTTATTGGTCAAAAGTCTGAGTAAGTAGGTGGATGGGTGGGACAAAAACCAGACTTTCCTTTTAGAGATTTTATGTACTGTAGCTGGATTAATTTAAGTTACTTAACTGAAGTAACTTATTTCATGTAAGTAACATACATTTTTTAAGTCGAACCAAGATGTTTTCCTAAACATAACCAAGTAGTTTTGTTGCGTTTTACAACGTTAGCCACTGGTTTCATTTTGAAAATCTAACTGGACGTTCTTGCTAACTAGACCGCGGAGCCGTCCGCGTCCAAAAACAACGCTAAAGGGTCTCTGCAAAGCGTCCACATTTGACGCTAACAGGTTGGGAAAAACAGTCTGAGCCGTGAAGAAGCACTTTTTGTGGACGTGTCTTCTGCACGGGTTACAAAACATTTTGTACCTGCTAGTTGTTTCAACATCAAAATATGTGAAACAGGGTACGAGTTTAAAAAATAGGGATTATCCCTTCAAGTTTAGGTTTAGCCAATCAGAGACTGCGTAGGCGACAGGACTTGACACAAAGCTGGTGGGGGTCAAAAACGCGTGAGACGCTCTCAGGAAAATCCCTCCTCATCCTCCATGTTCTGCTGCTCGCAGCTGCGGAAAATTTAAAAAGCCAAATTCAAAAGAAATCAAACAAATTAAATACACAACACGTTCTGATACAAGTGTTTGAGTTAATCAGCTGATTAAAGCTCTGCTAAGGTCGACATCTCTGTATTATAAACTCTTTATTCCAATAGTTTTGAGATACAGGAGTTTTGATTTCCATGAGCTGTAAGCCTTAATCATCAATATCAAAACGATTTATGTGTGTTCTAGCATATGGAAGTTTCACTTGTTGGATTAAATTACGTTAGAAAAAAAATTCTAATATATATATATATATATTTTTTTTTTGAGATTCACCTGTTTGTATTTTTTTATTTACTTTGTTGTAATTAAAGGAGACCTATTATGCTTTTCCATATTTTATGATTTATTTACAATGTAATTATGTTGGATGTTCATGTTAAACGTGGCCAAAGCTTCAGATAATGAGGTTAAAGTATTTAAAGAAATCCCTGTGAGCAAAAATCTCAGATTTCGTCCTGTTCTGAACGCTCAGCTTTGAACTGATTTTTGTACCAATAGCTCCGCCGGAGTCAGACGGAGCCGCTGTTCCATATATGGTCATTTTCTCCCATAGCAACGGCACGGCAACGCTCAGTCTGCCTGTTCCGCCCAGCGACAACAGCAGCCTGGTAACATGCTTCAGGTCTTGGCCAATCAGAAGACAGTGGGCTTTGAGAGGGAGGGCCTTAAAGAGACAGGAGCATCTACAGCTTGTTTCAGACAGAGGCTGAAATGAAGGCCTGCATGAGGAATCAGTATAAGACAGAAAATTATTTTTTTGAACTTGAATCATGCAAAGCTGCCATACAGGAGTCACAGAACTACAATATAGGACTGGAAAAGCAGAATAATGGGTCTCCTTTAAATGAAAAACATTTGGTGTAAGGACTGAGCTTTTTGTCTTTAACACCTGGAGGAATTTTTGCATGATCGTGATCATGATTGCACTGTGGATTTGGTTGAAGTCTGCAAGCTGCAGAGCCCAAAGTAACCTTTGTGTTGCTGTAGATGTTTGCTTCTCAAGTGTGGAGTGGGACCACTGTTGCCTCCACACCTGACACAGCACCAACTACACCTGCAGATCTCACCACTGGGTGTTTTCAGCCTCGGGGGGGGGGGGGCAGTAACGAGCACATTACAGCTGGCTGCAATGAAGCGAAGAAAACGCTGCACTAGTTCACCGAAGTTGAAGATGACGCAAAAGATTAGCATGGATTCACTTTAGTCCCCGCAGCCAATCAGCTGATATCAGTGACTCTATTAAAAAATAATTGATTTCTCAGCAACATTTCATGTTTTTAAATTCCGAACGTGAGTTTTACTTAATTTCCTTGTTTGATTTTTTTCTTAATGAAGCATTTTAAATCTTCCGTATGCAGCAGCAGCTTCAGGTAACCTGCAGTCTGACACACCTGTAATGATGAGCAGCCTCCACATTCCAAGAGTTTAGTTTTCAATATGGTGGTATTGATCAGCTCTACAGTAAATATGCAGCCTATTGGAGGCGATTATATATATGTGTGAGTGTTTGTGTGTCTTTTATTTTGATGTTTCCTGTTCTGCTCTTTTTTTCTCTGCCCTCTCAGGCTGTAATGTTTGTTTAACCATTAAATATCTACGATGTTACCCTGCTCGTGTGTTTTCGTCTTTATTGACGGGAGAATTAAGTGTGTAAAAACCCAAACACTGGGAGCCAGAACGCAGAAGTAAAACATACTTTAACATCCCATTAAACATCCCGACCCACCCTGATCTAAACATCGGTCACAGATAAATATTTCATCCTGAAGCTGCAGCCTGAAGGCCTCATATATCTGAATATATCTATTCAACCAGGGCTGTAGCGAGAATTTAAAATACGAATACAGCCCTACTCCCCCAGTACTAGTGGATATTTTAATCCCATCTTTTTTTTTTATTTGTCCAAAAGTAGTCCAACTCAAATAATAACCCCAGATCCCTTTTTGTTTCTTTGAAATGTGTTGAGATGTGAAACAAAGATGTTTGTATGATTTATTTTTTGATTCAGTGTGATTTTTACTTTAGGAAGATGTCATCTGACGTCCAACACATGGCAGAACGTCCATAAAATCTCATCAGATGCGATTATAACTGCAGAAGTTGCCTGGGAATCATCCTGTTTTTAGGTTTTTCTGTAGTTTAAAAGGAATCCAGCGACAGTTGACTGTATCTGTACATAAAAAACAGAAACTGCTTATTTCAGCATAGATGGAAAAAAAAGATGAAAAGGAGTAAATGTATTTCTGCAGTTATCTCGATTTGCTGCAACAATTTAGGTTCAAATGTCGAGTTCTAGTTGTGGAGCAACTAATTAAGGCAAGGCAAGTTTATTTGTAAAGCACATTTCAACAACAAGGTAATTCAAAGTGCTTTACAGAAAACATAAAGGCAGCAGGGAAATATAAAAAAAACCCCAGCAGCATAGGGAAATTGAAAAAATGCACATTAAAATATAATAAAAGTTACAGTGCAGTGTACAATCAGGGTTAAAAGAGTTAAATGGAAAATAAAAACAGGCTTAGGGGTTGAGAAAATAATTGAGTTACCATTATTTTGAAAAGAGAATAAACAGAGAAGTAAACTTAATCTACTCTCTCTAGCTAGTCTGAGTTAATTTAATAGACAATTATTATTTCTACAATGTTTTATATTTTGGCCTTTAGGTTAGATGCTTTTTCTGGATCCTAAAATAGTTTTTAAAGCCTCCAGCTGGAACTTTTTCAGATAAAACATGATTAGTGAAGGGAGACCTGTGTTTAGGAAATGTGGCTGCTTCCAGAATAGTTATTTTCCAGTAGAATTGGTTTTTTTAACGTTATAAGTAATTAATAAATATACATATATATTTAATAAATAATTTTACCTAAGTAAAATATTTGAGTGTTTTCTGTTTCAGGTATTTGATTGAGTTTATTTATTTTTTAAGTGCGTTTCGTCCGTCGATACAGATGCAATACCGTGAACTGACCAGCAGATGTCGCCATTTCCCCTGCGTGTCAACACCACACAGATGCGTTTCTGAAGGTTTCCCACCTCAGTTTAGCACATTTGACCAAAATGTGTGGCGTTAACAAACCATCTGGCTTTGTTGTCGGCGCCTGTAGATCCATGTATTGAGCCACGAGCGGCCTGACGCAGCTCTGCAGCGGTGAAGGTCGGTAAACCACGTGACTACAGCTGATCTCTTTTTCCGGGATTCCCAGCAGTCACGCCCACCGTTTTACTGTCCGGCAGTTGTCTTCATGCTCTATCTTGTGCATAAGTTTCCAGCACTGTGACACCAGTGTTATTCACGAGCACAACCGCCTGAGCTGCTGATCCTCACAGGGAAGAGGTAAGAACCCAGGAACTACTTCACTCCTCCAGCGGTAGCAGAACTCCGCTGTAAAATACCCAAGTTTAAAGCTTCCTTACATATCGACAAAGATTGGTGTAAGATATAGTATAACTTTATTTATTTATTGAATAATTAGTGGGCTAACTTCAAATCGGCAGGGATGTCGTTCGCCTGGGAGTTTGCCATTTTACAAAATCTTAGCTTTCACAACAGTTTGTCTTCAAAAGTCCCAGCCAACGTCAACCAAAATCATGTTGGCGTCAGACATTGCAGCTGTGCGATTTAAAAATGTTGAATTAAGGCTAATCTGAAAGTAGGACTACTTTGTGTTTATTAATGCGCGCCGTACTCAACGCAGTTTACTATCAATTAATAATTCCTTAGTCAGTGTTCTGTAAGGTTTGAGCACCGCCTAACAGAGAAGCTGACATACATTTGTGGGGTTTGTAATGGGAGTTTGGTGTTAGGTTCTCTCCATTAAATAACCTATTGTTTGGTGTGTATAACCAGGAAGTGGTCTCATGCAGTAACCAAGTTACCTGTATGGTTGAAGTTGAGCCAGCTGTCAGGCCTCTTGGCTAACAGATCAAACTGTTTTGTGAGATGGGCGAGGCTCACAGCTGGAACAGATTCATCTTGTTGACAGGCCTCCAGTGGAAAACCAGCCTGATGCTGTGGGCTGTAAAATTACTTTTACAGTACCTTTTTTAGTTTGTTCCTGAGGAAGAAGCAGGAAGAGGCGCCTCCCATGACTCTGCCACATTTTCTCTTTGTGTGTGTTGGTTGGACGGTCTTAACCTCAGGCTTTTATAATGTTGCCTTATCCATAAATGAATAAAAAACCTGTAACACATCCGACACACAATCTCAAAGTCTCAGCCAGACTAAGAGCCATCATGCAGAAGTTTAACTTCATAAACTGCTTTTAATGATAATTACCTATCATGAATGTTGGAAATAAAATGGCACCATTAAACTGCTGTTTCCTGCTCAAGAATAAACAATCTTTAACATGTCTCTCACCTCCAGGCCTTTCAATCATATGTAACCTGTTTCTGTACATTATGTCTAAATGTACTTATTAGGGGTGCAACTAATGATTATTTTCATTTTCAGTTGTTTATATTGTCTAAAAAGTGTGAGAAAACAGTGAAACGTTACGATCACTACAGATGTAAGGAGGTGAAACGCAAACCAAACTTAAAGACATAAATGAGGCATTTGTATAAACTTTATTCATCATGTGTCCAGCTACAGATGAGAGTTTATATTTAACCACGCTCATTCCAGGGCCGCAAAAATGTAAAGTGACTCCCCACTAACTGTCAGCTGAGCCCATTAAGATGTAATCTATAAAAAAGTAATAAGCAGCTATTTCACAATCGTTTGAGTGGTTTTTTTTAAGGCAAAAGTGCCAAAAACTGACTGGGTTCCGACATCGCTAAAGTGAATATTTGATAATAAAATGTTGTGTTTGTTTCATGTAATGAAGGTGGTACAGTAAGGCAGTGTAAGTTTATTTGTAGACCACATTTCAGCAACAAGGCAATTGTTGTACTTGTACTGTACTTGCGGAGACAAAACGTTCAGCTGGTGCAGTAGCTTGACGTCTTCTGGTGCATCAGAGAACATTAATTAATTAATTAACTTCCTCAATATAACTCTTAATAAATCCGTCCTGATCCACCGAGTTAAATGATTAATCAATCATCAAAATGGTTGCAGATAAATTTCCCGGCAGGCAAATAGTTTCAGCTCTGCTTTGTGTGCAAACTGCCGGACTTTAATCCATGTTTCCTCTGATATTCTGGCTTTTTGGGGGCCTCTCCTGTTTAACATCTTCATGCTTCCGCTGGCTCTGATTATGGAAAACAACAAAATACGAATGCGTGGTTATGCCGACGACACACACGTTTATTTAACCATTTCACCAGGGGATTATAATCCCATACAAGCGCTGAGTAACTGTATTTAAAAATCAACGATGGGTAGTGCCAGAATTTAATTCAGTTAAACAAAGACAGAACTTGAGTTTTTGTTTTTGGAGCCGAGAAGAAAAATTAAAGGTCAGCGCTCCGCTTCAGCCGGTAATGTTGAAAACCACAGACCAAGCCAGAAATCTTGGTGTGGTCATGAATTTAAGGAGCCACATTAAGACAATTACAAAGTCAGCCTACTATCATCTGAAGAATCTATCAAGCATTAAAGGACTTATTTCTCAGCAGGACCTGGAAAATGTGTCCATGCATTTATCTTAAGTCGACTCGAGTACTGGAACGCTGCTGCTCAAGTCCTCAAAGTGGATCACATCAGTCCAGTTCTGAGGTCTTTACACCGGCTTCCTGTCTGTCAGAGATCTGGTTTTAAAATCCTGCTGCTGGTTTATAAAGCACTGAATGGTTTAGGGCTGATCCTCTGATCCGTCATGAACCATCCAGACCTCTCAGCTGGTCTGGGATCAGGTCTGCTCTCTGTCCGCAGAGTCAAAACCAAACCTGGAGAAGCTCCATATATCTGCAACAAACTCCCAGAAAACTAATGATCTGTTTTTTTTTTTTTTATTAAATCAAATTTAAGACTTGTCATAAGTATCTTACACAACTTTACTGTTTTACCTTGTTTTTATTTTCTATTTAATCTTTTTTATATTTCCCTGCTTTTATGTTTTATGTAAAGCACTTTGAGTTGTTTTAGTGTTTACATTCATTCTTGCAAATGAGAATCAGAGAGTTGGATGTGAAGATAAAACACCAAACTTTCATCAGGATCAGTTTTTCTTTTGCTCTATAAGACAAATAAGAAATATATAAGAACAATAGTCATGTGACGGGTTGCGGGTTCCTCGACCCTCTCAGGTCATTTGCTTCTAATCAGGACTCTTGATTGATGATTAGTTTGTGTGACAGTGAGGTAACTTCCTTCTGCAGACTTTGCACTTTGTGTAGTAGGTGTGTCTTGTGTGTTCATACCTGAGGATCTGGCTTTTGTCATTTTTTCTCACAAGCTTTCACGAGTTCACAATGAGCTCGCCTGTTCATACAACCGAAATATGCTTCAGCTCACGTCGTGAAAAACAAGTTTCAGCCCTTTCCACTTAAACCCACTCAGTCATGTTTGAACTTTGCTGCTTCAGATCTGAGTCATTTGTCATGTTTAATTACTTGTGCAGATACTCGAAAAAATCTACACTTTAGAAATATATAAATAGTGTTTCTACAGAAGCTTTTCCACTAAATCCTAACGGCTTTCTAAACGCAAACAAAAAGACTTCACCTCTCAGCACCTGGCGTGTTTTTTACAGCCAGTATTCGGGAATATTTCTCTCCCAACATTGATTGTGATACCTGACACGGAGCATTGTTTTGATACGCATGCGCTCTTTCTATTTTTACCATTGCTATAATTTTAGCAACCCAACCGGTCCAGGCAGATGGCCGCCCACCCTGAGTCGAGTTCTGCTCGAGGTTTCTACCTGTTAAAAGGGAGTTGTTTCTTTGCCTCTGTGGACAAGTGCTTGCTCGTGATGTCAACTGTTTGCTCTCTGTAAATAATATTACAAAGGGTGCATGTTTACCTGCTCTATATGAAAAGGGCAGCGAGATAACTTCTGTTATGAATCGGCACTATATAAATAAAAATGTAATTTCTTTCCTCTCACATTTAAATATTTGTATCAGGTGGATCAAATCGCGACTGAGACAAGATAAGATTGTTTTTATCTTTTTGAAGGCAGCGAGATATTCGGGTATTTATTTTTCTCCTCAGTCGCACAAATTCCTTTCATCAATCAGTAAGTCCAAAAGGTGAAGGTTCCCATTTTAAAGCGGGTTGTTTAGGAGAAACCCAGCAATAATCACCAGCAGAGCATGTTCATTGGATTAATCAATGATCCATTTATAGCTGGAGGTTTCAGATATCACTGACAGACTCTCTCCTCTCTCTCTGCAGTATTGAGTTTACATCATGTCTAGGAAAGGAGGAAACCACGGGTCGGAGTTTGAGGTGGAGGCGTCCATCATCCGGATCCCGCCCCATCACTACATCCACGTGCTGGACCAGAACACCAACATCGCCCGGGTGGAGATCGGCCCGCTCACCTACATCCGCCAGGACAACGAAAGGTCAGAAAGTGCATTTTAAAGGATAAACTCCAGCCTGACCCCGAGTTCAGACATTTGAGTTGCAAAGAGAAACATTTGCATATCAGCCGCACAGCTGCAAGCTCGTAGTCTTGTTTCATTTGAACATGTTCGGTAGCTCCGACAGAACCATTGATGGCGTTTCAGAATAATCACTGTGAGGATAAGAATGTCTAACCTGTCCAGCTTAGCCGTGTAGTGAGTAAACACACGCCTTTTTAAATACAACCTTGTGACTGATTATGATCCCCTCTGACAGATGAACAACGATCAGTTGTTTGTCTAAAAGGAAACAGTGTCACTCATTCAGTGACAGAAAACTGCCCAACAAATCTTTTGTCTGTTTGTTTTGTGTGCTCTCCATCGTCCCCACACACATCTGTTCATGTGGACGTCTTATTAACATAAAGCATTCCCTAACCCTCACCGTAGCCTAATTCTAACCCTAAAACAGCCCTTCAAACTTGTATAGTGGAATCCCAGTTTTTGGAACCCAGAAATATTGTAAAACAAACTCGCCTTTGTGTAAACAAGCCTTCAGGATTGTTGTGGATGCACTGATTTTACTTTAACAGCCCCTTTTTGCTAGCTCCTAACCAGAAAGCAAAATTAGTGTTAAACCTCTTGTGTTAGCATTTTTATATCAATCAATTTATTATTTGTCCCAAGCGGGACAAAAACGCTCGACCTGTTTAAGTCTGGGCTTCCGCACCACGGACAAGCTAGATTATACGACAAATTTTGCGCTACAAACGGAGATATTGCAGATAAGATTTATTTCACTGGAGACAAAACACTTCATATAAAACCATTGTGAACATAACTGCCTCAAACTCTACTGTTGTCGCCGTCATCAACAAAACCCCTTCTCCCCACCGTCACCACCATCTCCCTCATCCACCCAACAACAATAAGGCATATTTGAATATATACATTTAAATACGCTAGTGTTAACAGACTAACGAGCGCCAAGGAACGAGGGAGGCTCCTGATACGAAGCTACAGTAGTTTCAGTATGAGGTTCTGACCTACCGCAATTATCAAACTCTGCGTTTAAAGTTTCCATATTCCTCAGGGAGTAGAGCATTTGAATGAGTTCCTTCTGGCCAGATATAGAGAATAAGATCAGTGTGGGGCGTGGCACTGTGGAATAACCTTTACCTCGCAGCAGGAGGTGGAAGAAAGTATCTTTGAGATTTCTTAATCTTAAAAGTTCAAATCAGCAAAAAAGGTTGTAGAAAAGAAAATGACAAAGCAACTCGCACCAAATATGTTAAAATCCTGAGAGGATCAAACCATTTCTTTTAACATAGTTAAACCTAATAATCATAAACCGATTAAAACAGTTTATGTGTGCTGAGACTCTTTGTCACATTAAAGCTGTTGGTTATTTAAGCTCCTCAGTCCTTTTTATCAATTATTTATTATCTTTATTACGTTCTTAAAACATCATGTTCATCACTTGTTAAAACGTTTCGCACATTTCACAGAGCTGAATTCATCCTGACCACAAAGAACAAAACTCACGCTGTGGTTTCTGCAGGCTGGAACTTCACTTCCTGCGAGAGGCTCCTGTGAGCGGTCAGACTTTCTGTTACGCCTCCAAGTGTTAAAACCACAAAGTCGCCACAGGACAGAAGTAAAAGTAAAAATACATTCCTGCTGTCGGTCCTGAACTCTCTCAAAACATCCTGACCTACACAACATTATTCTAGTGGCGATTTAAGCAAATTAGCAACTACACAGCAGCGTTAGTTTGTGAGGTGACAATTTTACTTCAAGTGATATTAAATTCTATTAATCATAAGATGATGACCCTGCAAATTCTTAAAAATACTTCTTTATATTCCAACTTTATGATACTTACTCATCTGTGCAGTATATTTAAACATTAATATTTCACCAAATTAGGTTCTTTGTTTTTAATTATTTCACAACAAATGTCAGCGACTGTTTTTCTAAGCTCCTTTCAGACGTGCACGCTGTCAAATTATTCCTTTAAACTTTAAAGGTTTTAGTTATTGTGCGTCGCTGTTTGGTTTCTTCAAAACAACTGCATGCTGGGAGTTTGAACTTGTGGTCCCAGCCCCAGTTATAACAGTAGTGAACGTACATTATTTAGTTTTGTAACGATCACGTGACCTCCTCTTCTCTTCCTCAGGGTGCTCTTCTTACCGGTTCGCATGATCATGGTGCCGCCGCGTCACTACTGCGTGGTCCTCAACCCGGTGGCCCGCGATGACGACAAGCAGGTTCTCTTCGACCAGGCGGGTCAGGCCAAACTTCGCCACGCCGACCTGGAGATCCGTCTGACCCAGGACCCGTTCCCCCTGTACCCCGGAGAGGAGATCCAGCAGGTCTGTGAGAAACCCGGTCTGTCCCACAGGCAGCGTTAAACCATCACGAGGACACGGGGATGTGTCTTTGACGTGGATGATTTATTATATAAGGAGGAGAAGCTGGGAGTTTTTAAAATGAAGAGTGTCCTAATTAATCAGTATTATTTTAACAAAAGAAACCACTTGAGCCCGACCGTTTTTTGAGACCGATTTTTTATATTTGAGGATTTTAAAATCCAATATTTCGATATATTGGCCGATTTTCTTGTTTTTTTTTCTTTACTTCTTCTCAGAAACACGTAACCTAAACAAAGATTATCCCTAACATTTGTTTTGTGTACTTACGAGAGTGGTGGTGGACTTGCAGAGCGCCCTCTGGTGGACTAAATATGCAACAACACCACTCATAGATTGACCGATTTTTTTTATTCATCATTTATCGGCTGCTATAAACACCGAGGCCGATCTATCTGCAATTAATTATAATAAAATCGTCTGTTGCTGCATGCCGACGTTATCGGTTGGGCTCTAGAAACAACATCTTTTACAGTTTGTTGTTGTTGGAGTTTGACTCCCGGCGTTTCTGCCTCAGGACGTGACCCCGCTGCAGATCGTGTATCCGGACACGGCGCTGCGTCTGCAGGCTCTGCTGGACTTCGAGGTGGACGGAGGAGAGAAGAGGGTGGCTGGAGACGAGTGGCTGTTTGAAGGGCCGGGTATGTTTTTTTACTACATCTGTCAAACCTGCACCCAAATATCAAAGATTCCCCAGTTCCTGAATTTAACACGTGTGCGTATTTATGACTACAGATGTTACAGAGCATCACAGCTTAGTTTACTTGGTTTTATATGACGTCCTTCAGTGTTTTCCACACAATAAAATACGGGGAATGAAGAAAAAAAAAATGCCATTAATACATTTCTGTATAAATTAGATATTAAAGATGCATTTGCAACAGAAGCGTCATCTCTTGTGTGGGAGATGCAGTGTTTGCTTTCCCTCAAAATTCTTTTCTACTTTAATTTTCCATAAATATGTGTAATTTATATATTTAACTTCTTACATTTGAAATGAACGATCAGTGTTTTCTTTCAGCAGAAACCGATTCACACGGAGTTTGTGTTGCAAACCTTTTTCTAATGCGGGTCGTGTGTGTGTGTGTGTGTGTGTGTGTGTGTATATAAAAATGATGGTATATAGTATTTCAGACGTCTGATGTTTTGTGGCAGGAACCTACATCCCCAGGAAGGAGGTGGCCGTGCTGGAGACCATCAAGGCCACAGTGATCAGAGAGAACCAGGCCATCAGGCTGAGAGCTCGCAAGGAAGGAGTGGACAGAGGCGGAGTCCGCAGGGTCACAGGTAACACACTCCGCCTTGAGATGTCCTGGCCAGACAAAGACAAAGTGTTAATTGTACCATCAGCCTGTTTAACAAGCCTAATACTATATAGGAAGTTTATTTGTAGAGATTACAAATAGTTTGAGGGGAAAAAGAAATTATTTTATATGTTGTCCACATACATGAGAGTAGAAAAAGCGGTGCTCAGTGCAAACGAAACACAAACGTACATGTAACTTGTGTATTTCATGCGTACATATAGCGACCTGTGGACTATGGTTGCGATTTACGATATCGGTACCAAAACCAGTGATAGCGATACCAATAGATTACTTCATTTGATACCTTGCGTAAAATGTCACCTGTTGAAGCCATAGCAGGCGATTGGTAGCTTTTTATTATTTTATTGTTGTTATGGACAAGCAAGGTTATCTATTTTATTTTTATTGTTTCAAATAACTGCCACATAAAAAGTATTGTGAAACTGTATCAGATTAATCATCCTGATTAGTTCATCCTCACTGGCCTGTAAGGGGAAAGACTGCAGCTCGGGAGTTAATTTATATTTGAATGAGAGAGGAGGAGAGAAATAGTTTAGTGACCAAATAAGTTGCGGGAAGCGAATTTAAGGTTTTGATACGTGTGTTTGAACGACGGAAAACCAATAAACTGAATTGAAATATCTCTGCGAGCCCTTTTTTCTGGTTCTTTGCTTGAGGCCTGTTTGATGTCTTTTCCTTTCTCCCTAAAACATTTGTGTTTTTAAATGTAAAGACATCTTGCACGCACATTTGCCATAACGCCCTCTGCTTGTACCTTTTTTTTAAATCAACACATCCCAAAATAAAATTGGAGATGTTTCCTCACTTGCTGTTTATGAAATGTTGCAGAGGACTTTGTTCCGTTATTAACCTGATGCCGCTTGTTTCAGGTGAGGAGTGGCTGGTCAGTAAGGTGGGAGCGTACCTTCCAGGTGCCCATGAAGAAGTCATCGACATTGTGAACGCCTTCATCCTGACTGACAAGGTGACTCTGTTGTGCGTCGCACCACAGTCCGACACAGATTGAGACTTAGTAAAACCAAATTAAGTGTCTGTTGGATCCCAGTTTTGAGGTCAGGGCTGTGAGCCGGAGAAAATACAAAGCAAAGACACATCGACAGCTTACGTGCACAGTAGTGCTCGGGTCATGGACAGGTTTCTGGAGAGCCCTCGTTGTGTTTTTGTGCGTGGGAACATCACCATGGTAGCGACCTGTCAATCAGCTTGTAGCCCCGCCCTAAAGCCTCCCCTGCTTCCTGGTCTCTGTTCCTCTAAATGGGACCATAATTTACTAAATGAACATCATGCTGTGTTGAAGAAGACTTGAAACTAGCGACTGAGACCAGAAACTCATCAGGAAAGTGTTTACTGAGGGAATAAATCAGCTGACAAGTAGAAACAGTTTCTCAGAGACTGCAGCCGGTGGAGTCGCCCCCTGCTGGCTGCTAGAGAGGACGCAGGTTTGTTTTTACAGGTAAACTAACTCCCTGACTTGAAATCTGTAAATCGTCCATTTGTGGACGTGTCTCACAGTCAGATGTACGAGTGTCAACTTTCACCTGGGACGAAACTGTCCGTTGTTCAGAGGCCTTACATAAAACTATCGTGCTCAGAAACTGATGAAACGGCTGCGTCAGGTGTTTGTGCTCATGACTTGTGTGCTGATAAACGCTTCACTTGTCGTCTCTTCAGAAAGCGCTTCATGTTAGAGCCCTGCGGCCTTTCAAGGACGCCGGCGGGCGGGAACGCCGTACGGGGGAGGAGTGGCTGGTCACCATGGCCGACAGGGAGGCTCACATCCCTTCTGTGTCGGAGGAGGTGGTCGGCGTGGTGGAGGTGACCACCCTGAGCAGCAGGCAGTACTGTGTGATCCTGGACCCGGTCGGATCCGACGGGAAACCTCAGCTGGGACAGAAGAGGGTGGTGAAGGTGAGCAGAACCGTCCATCCTCCGTCTTCTTTCATGTACCAAAATATGAGGCTGTCTCATATTTTTTGTTTATGTAATTAGTTAAGAATTAATTAAGAACAACAATGTGACAACATGATGCTGGTTTGTTCAACATCTTCTCCAACATTAGGATGATAAATAAATTTATCCTCTCCAGAAACTGTTTTAATAGATGGTCTAAATTCGTAAAATGCTGAGTTTAAAAGACAAATATTCTAGTTTTGGAGAATCTCATGTATAATGTTTTTATAATTACCATCGTCTCCTTCTTTGTAGTCCTGTGGGTTTTTTTTTTTTCTTGAGCTTGATTGTCTGACTTCTCGTTGTTTAAATTAACTAAACAGGCTTGAAGTCTTTTTCTCACTAGATTTGAACTTTATTTCTTTCGTACCCCACTGGAATTTCTTGTCTTGAAATCGGGAACGTTCACAATTTCACAGAATGTTTTGTGTTGTAATTCAGTTTTATTTTATTTACGAAGCACCAGTTCTTCACAAAGTTATTTCATTGCACTTTCCATGTCGAGCAGGTCTAGACCGTGCTTTTGTAATATTGTTTACTGACCACAGAAATACAAAACAGTAAAAGTGGTAGTGGTACATACAGAAAATAAATAACAGTACTGATAGTGATGGCAATAGTGATAATAATGCTAATAATAGGACTAATGATGATAATAATTGTAGCAGAGGGTGTCGAGCAGGAACATGGTGGCAGCAGGAAGCCTGCAACCACAGATCCAGACCCCACAGATCCAGAAAGCTATATAGATGGAGAGAAAGAGGAGGAGATAGGAGCTCAGTGCATCATGGGAAGTCTTCCAGCAGTCTAGGCCTATAGCAGCATAACTAAGGGATGGTCTTAAGCCCACTCTTAAATGTAGAGATGTTTATAATATTTCACGTGTATCGACTGTATCTACGGTTTCCCCCTGACCTGGTAACCGACGCCCTCTTTCTCGTTGTCAGGGTGAGCGCTCATTTTTCCTGCAGCCGGGTGAGCGCCTTGAACAGGGCATCCAGGACGTGTACGTGCTGTCGGAGGAGGAGGGTCTGGTGCTGAGAGCTGTGGAGGCCTTCAACGACATCGAGGAGGTGAGCAGAGGAGTCTCGGCTGATTAACACCCAGACCTCCGTGTCTGTGGCCAACACAAGCAGCCCTGGAATAATAATGTAATAAAGCTTAAAATGCACTAAAGTACTTTAACTAAACAGTCTTTGACCAGTCGATGCGTTTAAAAATCTGCATCAGAAATGTAACATGTAATGTGTTTGAAGCAGGAAATCAGATCTGTTACAGTAGCAACAAACACTTTCAGTCCTCCTACTCTGTCTACATGACTAAGCAAGAAAAAACATGATAAAACAAACCTTAGAGCTTCAGGAGTTATTGCACCACCAGTGCTGACTTCACATACATTTATAAAATATCTAAGAGTACAACAATAAAATACCAACACAGGTATTTCATATTAAAGTGTCTAATGGCAGCAGGCAGGAAAGACGCACAACGCAAATTTGACCGCTGGACTACTCTCACGCGACAATGTAAAGACATCCCGCCATTACAACAACTGTATGAACCCAAAACAAACAATTTCCTGCAATAAACAGGTGCCGAAATAACGACATCATGATGCCCATTTCTTAAAAATGTTAAGTCATGCTTTGTCAGGTCTGTCGGCAAGATTACAAGCTTTGAGAGTGTATTTATTAATCCCTCTGATAGATACTCACCTTTCCCCTCCAGCTGCTTGTCATTGTGAAATCTCTCTCTGTGCGAGGAGAGTTCTTGACATGGAGAGGAATGAAGGGAGGAGTGAGGTGTAACTATATTTACATTCTGCTGGTTTGTAAAAGACGGTCTTGTGCAACTGGTTGATCCCTGGGCACCGATTACAAAAGCAAACTTCGTCTTCATACAGAGGTGTGTCGGGAGGAAAGCCTTAAAGAGCAGATTTACAGTCTCTGTGGTTGAGAGTTTAAAGTCTTAAAACCGCTGCACCACACCTAGCGTCGCAGATTGGTGTGGCTGGGAGTGCCCCGAGGTTATTGCAGCTATTTGTTCAGGGTAAGGGGAGCGCTGATAAAAAAATAAAAATAGCCACTATCAGGATGGTGAGGTCAGAGGTAGGCTCTGCTGCAAAATCAAGATGGCCGGCTGCTGTGAAGTTGTTTTTAAACACTTCTTATATAGAAACGTCAGGGTGAATCTTTTTTCAGACTCGTTTAGGGGCGTTTTGGAATCACAGATAGCAGAATCAGTTCTCCATCCACACTACTGTGGAGACCTTTTTTGCGTTTGCATCTCCTGTCCAGACTAAAACGGCAAAAACGAAGTAATAATAAAGTATGAAAATTGTAAAATATAAAACTTTCTGTTGCTGGCCTCTTGTCCGGTGCACGCAGTGATGATGCAGTGAATAGTGACCAATCAGCAGTCTGCTGTGTTTTCACGTCACATTTTAGTATCGCCTCAGCTCGCTTAGAACCTCGACGGGGGGGAAAAAGCATCTGGTTGCAGGTACAGGTACAATTTTTACACATTGGAAAAAAACAAAAACAAAGGCGAGTCGAGCTGGTACCGTGCAGAGGGAACCTAACAGGACCATAATTTACTAAATGAACATCACGCTGTGTTGAAGAAGACTTGAAACTAGCGACTGAGACCATAAACTCATCAGGAAAGTGTTTACTGAGGGAATAAATCAGCTGACAAGTAGAAACATTTTCTCACAGACTTAGTTACAATCACACTTCTTTCTGCAGCCGGTGGAGTCGCCCCCTGCTGGCTGCTGGAGAGGACGCAGGGTCCTGCTTGGTCCTGGTTTGTTTAGGCTGGGACATTCCTGGCAGTGAATTGCCAAGAAAGCAGGAATGCAAAGGCAGTGAAGAAGAAGCGTGCTTGCTAGTCTAATGCTGGTTACTGTTGGCGTTAACTAAATCTGTAGAACTGGGTAGACGTGGGTAAAATAAGAGCAGATGGACAAATTCTTCGGGAGATATACTGAATATACCATTAATCAAATGATGCAAATTATTTTAATAACAAAAATAAATCTCATCTTACACTAGTAAACACGGATGTAAACGATGCATGTTTCAGACTTTACTGATGTTTTGTGTGTAAATGTAGTTAAATTCCACCACTGCGCCTTCTTCCTTTCCTAACCTGGCTAACACATTAAACGCCACCTGTTCTCTTCTTCTTCTCTTCCTTCTGTCCTTCAAATCAAACCCCGTCCTCTCTCCCGACGCCATGTCCCATCTGTACCACTCTGTCCACCATTTACGTTCTCCTCTTCCTCTTGAAATTTCTTATACTTTCCTTTTGCATTCTTTGGGTTTTATTGTACTCTCAGTGCCGCTCTCCTCCCTCTTCTCCTCCTCCCTCTCCTCCCTCTTCTCCTCCTCCCTCTCCCGCCTCTCCTCCACCCCCTCCTCCGCTGCTCCAATGCATCGCCACGTTAACCCTTCTCTCCCTCCTCCACCTCTCTCTCCCCCGTTCTCTCTGTCAGCGTGAGGAGGAGGAAGAAGAAGAGGAGGAGGGGATGCAGGAGAGGGCGAAGCGCTCGCGGAGGAGCGGCGTCCTCCGTCGCCCCGGAGACCGCTGGATGCTGCGGGGTCCCATCGAGTACGTCCCCCCCGCCGCTGTGGAGGTGATGCTGAGACGACAGGCCATCCCGCTGGACGAGAACGAGGGCATCTACGTCCGGGACATCAAAACGGGAAAGGTACGAGTTCGAGGCTTCAGGTTCTCTCTTTTAAAGGAGCACGCCGCCGTTTTTAATGGTCAAATGATTTTCTGTGATGTGACAGTAAACTGAATATCTTTAGATTTTGGACGGTTGGTCGGACAACAACCTGAACTGGGAATGGAAATAGATTTTAGAAGTCCTGGTTCAGGCGTTTGTGGAAGTTTAAATCTTAATAAAACAGCCTAACCCTCCACCTCACCGTCGGCGTCCCGTGTCTCTCAGGTGCGAGCAGTGATCGGTCACACCTACATGCTGACCCAGGATGAGGAGCTGTGGCAGAAGGAGCTTCCAGCTAACGTCGAGGCCCTGCTGGCTTCTCCTCTGGACCCGCTGGCAAACCGCTCGGACCGGTTCGGCGCCGGCGATAACGGGCCGAGGGACAAGACCAAAGTGGTCTCCTACAGGGTGCCCCACAACGCTGCCGTCCAGGTCTACGACTACAGAGAGAAGAAGGCCAGGTGGGGGTCCGGTTTCCTGTCCTGGTGGAGGCGAGTGGAGGTAAAACGATGAGCTGACGTGGTGTCTGTGTCGTCTTCAGGGTGGTGTTCGGACCAGAGATGGTGATGTTGGGACCGGACGAGCAGTTCACCATGCTGTCGCTGTCCGGAGACAAACCAAAGAGGGCCAACGTCATCAAGGCCGTCTGCCTCCTGCTGGGGCCCGACTTCTGCACCGACATCATCGTCATCGAGACGGCCGACCACGCCCGACTGCAGCTGCAGCTCTCCTACAACTGGTAACTGAAAAACGGCCGTGCTGGGTTCTGTTCAGCACAAAGCAAGGCTAAAGAAGAGACGAGAGATAGATACCTCACATCTTTACTGTCTGTCTGTCAAACCATAAATTAAAAAACTCAACACTGTTCGATAGTTTATTGCATTTATATTAAATAGTGTAACAACTGCTAACTACAGTGAGTTAGTATGGAACAATCCAAGCGTCACAACAATCCATAAAAGAATAAATACAGGTTGTACATTTCACATTTATTTTTTAATTTATTTCCAGATTTATTTTTTAATTTATTTGTTAATTATTTTTATTTAATTTCATTATTATATCTCTCTCTCTATCTCTCTATCTATATTGATTTGAGCTACCTGTTTATTTATATATATATGTGTGTGTATATTGTATAATTTCCATATGTGTTTTTTTTTTTTTTTTATAATATCAATTTATTTCCGTATATATTTCCCTGTTAGGCAATAGGGAAATGTATATAGAAATAATTTAAAAATATATATGGAAAGAATATATATAGGTATAAATGAACAGATTAATATATAAATAAAAATAAACTTATATACATAAATAAAATAACTTACAAATAGATATGAAATTTATGTATTTATTATTTTATTCATTCTTCTTATATTTTCTCCTTCTGGTGGACCACCATGGGACCTTATGTGGGGAAAAACAATATGTTGGTAGTGAAAGACAACTGATTTTTTTTCATTCCATTTAGAATTGTGCCGTGATTTCTACAGATGATGTTTGTCAGTTTAAAATATAGTATTTGAAAGTAAAGCCTTATCAAACTGACGACTCGTCTTTCCTGCCTGAAAGTCTGCTTTTTTATGTTTGGGTGTTTGGTGACATCTGGATACTGTTTTCTAGTCATATTAAATATAAACATCTGTTCCTCTCCTGTTTTGTTCCTCTTCAGGCACTTTGATCTAAAGACTCCAGCGGACTCTGCTGAGGCAGCAGCTCTGTTCTCAGTTCCTGACTTTGTCGGAGACGCCTGTAAAGCCATCGCTTCCCGGATCAGAGGAGCCGTCGCCTCCGTGCAGTTTGACGATTTCCACAAGGTTCGAATTTCACTGAGTCACCATCTTTCAGTTTTATATTTGAATACGAGCTGATTAGTTTAATCTTCGCTCAACTAAAGCGTCTCTTTTTAAGCATTGTGCTGTTTCTCACTGGTTAAAGATCTTTACGCTGATCATCAATCTAAGATCGTTGTTTGCAGAACTCGAACAGGATCATCTGCTCGGCTGTGTTTGGTTTCGATGAGAAGCTGGCGGTTCGTCCCAGCCTTCGCTTCCACCAGAACAACCTGGTGATCAGCAGTGTGGACATCCAGTCTGTGGAGCCCGTGGACCAGAGGACACGAGACGCTCTGCAGAAGAGCGTCCAGCTCGCCATCGAGATCACCACCAACTCCCAGGAGGCCGCCGCACGGTCCGCAAAACACACACAGACACTTCTGCATCATTTCATTCTGCAAACAGCTAGAGTTTATCTGAAAGGAAAATAAACACCTGTGTGGTCTTTTTTACAGTAGAATCTGACATTTAGTGAAACCTTCAAGACAAGAAGATGGATTTCAGTTTCATTTATCTCCAGTACAGTAATGGGACATGTTTAGCCTAGCTTAGCACAAAGACTGGAAGCAGGAGGGAACTATTAGCCTATTTACATAAAAAGAGAACTACTTGAGCTAACAGGACTTAGAAGCTACCTTGACGCTAAGGGGGACTAAAAGCTCATGCTAAAGGGGCCTGTAGGCTAACTCTAAGTTAAGGGGAACTAAAAGCTTATGCTAAGCTAAGTTAGTGTGAGCTCAGAGTGGCTCTGCCGGAGCTCCGGTGGGTAGTACTTAAAAGCTAATGCTGCTAAATAAGGCACAAAGCTAATGCTGTGTTTATCAGTGGAGGAGCGCCAACGTTAATGAGCGATTAAACTTTAGTGTTTGACGTATTCTAAATATATCTGCGAGCTGCTTGTCTCTAGTTACAGTCGGGGTGTCAGAAGTCATTAATCCCATATTGGTCGGGCTCTAGTGACCGTACGTCCTCTTTTGCCCGGACGTGTCCTCTTTTTGGGACCTAAAAAATGCGTCCAGACGGAATTTGTAAATCGCCCCAAAATGTCTGAGATTCAGCTTATGCTTTCTACAGTCAGTGTTCATTGTGTGCTCACTCATTTTACTGTTTGGCGTAACGTTGCTTCCCACAAGCTGCTGCTACTCGTCTCTGCCCTCAGGCTTTTTTTTAATCCAAACTTCATAAAGTTGCTCATCAATGTCACTTTTTTGAGAAGGTGAAGAGACCTGAAGCTAACTCTGCGCTAAGGGGAACTGCGGCTAAACTAATGGGAACCGCAGCTAACTCTAAGCTAAGGGGCACTGCGGCTAAGCTAAGGTGGACTGCAGCTAACTCTAAGCTAAGGGGTCCTTCAGCTAAGCTCAGGGGAACCGCAGCTAACTCTAAGCTATGGGGAACTGCAGCTAAGCTAAGGTGGACTGCAGCTAACTCTAAGCTAAGGGGAACTGCGGCTAAACTAAGGGGAACCGCAGCTAACTCTAAGCTAAGGGGAACTGCGGCTAAACTAAGGGGAACCGCAGCTAACTCTAAGCTAAGGGGAACTGCGGCTAAGCTAAGGTGGACTGCAGCTAACTCTAAGCTAAGGGGTCCTTCAGCTAAGCTCAGGGGAACCGCAGCTAACTCCAAGCTAAGGGGCACTGCGGCTAAGCTAAGGTGGACTGCAGCTAACTCTAAGCTAAGGGGTCCTTCAGCTAAGCTCAGGGGAACCGCAGCTAACTCTAAGCTAAGGGGCACTGCGGCTAAGCTAAGGTGGACCGCAGCTAACTCTAAGCTAAGGGGGACTTCAGCTAAGCTCAGGGGAACCGCAGCTAACTCTAAGCCGAGGGGGACTTCAGCTAAGCTTCTAGGTCCTGTTAGCTTACAGGTTCTTTCTAGTCTCTTTATCTTAAGAGTTAACGTCTACGATGGTGGTGACTAGCTGGTTAGCTAACAAGATGATAATTGAACAGTTTTGGAGTTGTTTTGAAGCAAATTTCAAAACAATAAATGAAACGAATAATGAACCGGCAGTAAAATCAGAAATTTATAGTAAATTATATAAATAAACCCGAGGTTTTCTCTGTGTGTCCAGGCACGAGGCAGAGCGTCTGGAGCAGGAGGCTCGGGGCAAGCTGGAGAGGCAGAGGATCACCGACCAGGCCGAGGCTGAGAAGGCCAGGAAGGATCTGCTGGAGCTGGAGGCGCTCAGGTAACCGCAGGGTCACTGGGTTAACTGCAAATTTTGAATGCAGGATTTTTTACAGAGTATTTCTGCACTGTGTTATTAATACTTTTGCCTAAGTAAAAGATCTGAGTACCTGTTGCACCGTTGTTATTAACCCCTCTGCGTGTGTTTCAGTGCTGCGGTGGAGAGTACAGGAGCGGCCAAGGCTGAAGCTCAGTCCCGGGCGGAGGCGGCTCGTATTCAGGGAGAGGCGGCGGTGAACGAGGCCAAACTGAAGGCTGAAGCTCAGAGGATCGAGGCGGTACGTCCCGACATCCTGTTTCCCCTTTCAGCATAAAACTCACTACACAGCAGCGGTGGAAGTAGTACTCAAATCCATGTAGAAATACTTTGTTACAAGTCCAGTATCTTATGTGAAAAGTATAAATACCTAAAAATATACCTAAAGTAAAAAGTACTCACTGTGCAGAATAGCCCATTTCATAATAATATATATTATATTATTGGATTTTAATTAGTGATACATTAAAGGAAGTAAGTAAATAGAGTATTTTTAACATGGTGCCTTTAACAGAGCAAGTCACAAAGTGCTTTAGAGAAGTAAAATAATATATATAATCAGGGATACCAATAATAATACGACGTAAAGTAGTGATTATTTATAATCAAACAATAAAACATAAGTGAAAATAATGTAATAATGATAAGTGATTAAGTATAAAGTTGCAGAAAATGGAAAATACACAAGTAAAGTAATTATACTTACTTTCCACCACTTTATTATGTCATTAACTGTGTGTGTGTGTGTGTGTGTGTGTGTGTGTGCAGGAGGCGGAGCTTCAGCGGCTGGCGAAGGCTCGTGAGCAGGAGCTGAACTATAAGAAGGAGATGGACGCTCTGGAGGTGGATAAGCAGAAGCGTCTGGCTCAGATCGAGAGCGACCGCTTCAGTCAGCTGGTGCAGAGTCTGGGCAGCGACACGCTGAAGGAGATCGCCAGAGCCGGACCCGAGCTGCAGGTACTGACCTGCTGCTGCCGCTGAGGGGAAAAAACACAGATTTTAGTTTTTAAGTCCACTTTTCCCTGGTAATGCAGAGAAGACTTTATTTCAAACTTTAATTACAAAGTCTGAAGTGGGAAAGTGACGTTCTGGTCAATTAGTTTCCATCATTAAGTTAAAATAAATATAAAGTATTTTTAATTTTGTCCTAACTGATCATCAGACGTTGTCGTCAAGTGAAAGGATACGACACAGAAGCTGCGTTCAGTCAGTCAGTTTATCATGTTTATGGTGATAATTATGGACGTTCTTTTTAAGGCTGCAAACAACAATTAGTTATTTGTTGATATTTTATGAAATATGTTTTCTCTGATGTGACAAGTTGTCTCCAAGTTGATCTCTCCAAATGTCTTGTTTAGTTCGACCACATGTTCAGTTCATTTAAGTAATTTAGATTTAAATTCTGTGGATAATTTTCTTTTGGGGCTTAAGACTGTTAGTAGGACAAAAGGCATTTGGAGACGTCACCTTGGACTTTAGAGAAACGGCTCTAAAAAGTCATCAAATAGGGAAAAATGTCCATGTTATCAGTGGATTAATCATAAATTTACATAATAGTTTTTTGCAGCCTTAACCTCCATCACAGGTTCCCCAAAGATATTCAGTTTACTGTGATATAAAACAGCAGATAATCCAAATACATTTTGTGTTCAGCAACTTCTAAAACTCAAGGTCCACTTACTGGGTTATTTCCAGAGTCGCATGATGACCTTGGCCTTGACTCTAAATACCATAATTAATAAAACAACTATGAAATAATAAATATACAGAAATAACAACCATTAATCAAAGAATGCTCGTCACATTTTCGTGAGACTTACCGTCTGTTTTCTCCGTCCTCCCAGGTGAAAATGCTTCAGGCTCTGGGGCTGAAGTCCACCCTCATCACAGACGGGTCGTCCCCCATCAACCTGTTCACCACGGCCAACGGCCTGCTGGGGGCGCTGCCGGGCCAGGGTCAGGGCCAGGGCCACTGAGGAAGAAGACAAAAACGGAGAAGAAGAAGAAGAAGAGGGGGGGGGGAAATGTCCAAAAGTAAACCTCAACTGAAGCTCAATTTTCTGACTTTACAGACACTTTAGTCACAAGACGTGTGGTTAAAGCAAGATAACGTGCCTTTTGCATACATGTATGTTCGTGCTGAAACTAAAATACCTCCTTTTACTTCACATCTCTGCACCTTTCCACATAACAGCACTATGATGCAGCTGATCCCGTCTGTTTTCTGTGTTCAGTAAGCTACGAGTCTTGTTTTTGCTGACCTCGGTGGTGGAAGTTGTCACCACGCTTCAGTGATTCACACTGTACAGGTGAAACTCGGTCAGTGCAACACAGTTTATCCGCCTTGTGTTACGGTGGTCCTTCAGGGTGAATGTTGGAATTTGAGCTTTTCAAAGAGAATCAGAGGTTTACTTTTGGACAGAAGATGCTGTGTCGCGGTGAAAACAAAACAAAAAAATACAACTCTCTGCTCCAAGTGAAGAAGAATCGTGCCTACAAGCAACTTTGATGGTTTGTTTAGTAGTATAACCTGACAGCCAAAGATTTGTCTGCTTTGCACTATGTCCACAAGATATATAGATCTGAGTGAACAGTTGATGCTGATTTTAACAAAGGCGATATCAAACTTTAATGTTTCTGTGCTGTTGTTTCTACATAAAGAACTGTGTGAAGCCATTAAAGTGCTGCTGCTGTCCACGTCTTGGCTCTCTGCTGTACTTTATGAACGTCAAACACACTCGTACACCTATCTAAGAGACTGAATTCAGAAGTTATCAGAAATAAAAATTACATTTAAACTGCAGAAATACAAAAATAGCATATATATATATATATATATATATATATATATATATATATATATATATATATATATATATATATATATATATATATATATATATATATATATATATATATATATATATATATATATATATATATATATATATATATATATATATATATATATATATATATATATATATATATATATATATATATATATATATATATATACACACACACACACACACACACACATGTGGTGTGAAAAGTTTAAGGCAGGTGTGGGGAAAAAATTTTGGGAAGTAAGAATGCTTTTAGAAAGTACACCTGTTATAGTTTTTCCTCAGTCTCTTTTGTACATTTCTTGAGTCATCCCAGATCGTAGAAACAGCATCACACCTGCAAAACCCTGTTACTTGCTCAAAATCCTGTGTCCGTCTCTGAAAAGTAAATCTTTGTGTCGGTGAACACGTCAGTGCATCAGAATGACAAGTCCTTGTGTCTTTGTTTACAAACAAAAGTTTACCCCATGTTGTCAGTATAACACAATGCACTTTTTCTGGACAGCATATATAAATTTCAACAGCACAAAGTCTGGGCAGGATTCACAATTCGAATTTTACTTTTTGTGCTGTATTGTGTTGACAGAGCGTGTAACTGTCATACAGAAAAGAAAAGGACTATTTCCCCGCACGTCAGAAACAATTACAGAGTGTAAACATGGGAAACACCACTTAAGGCTGACGTTCGCATCCACATCACAACAGATATCTTTATCAATTCAGGACACATTTACAAAAAGGTCTTACAGACAACTTGTGCAATGAAGTAATACCTGGATTATTTTAGGGGTATTTTCAACAGAAAACAAGTATAATACTTTGTGAATGTGACATAAACTGTAATGATTCAGTTGACAAAATAAAAAGTGAGTGAACAGAAGGAAAATGTAAACCAGATCAATATTTGGTGTGACCACCCTTTGCCTTCAAAACAGCACCAGTTTTTCTAGGTACACTTGCACAAAGTCAGGGATTTTGTAGGCATCTAAGACTTTATGTACACAAAAGGCCCATTTCTCTCAAATATTGTTCACAAATCTGTCAAATTCTGTGTTAGTGAGCACTTCTCCTGGCATATCAAGATGCTGTTTAGACAGCATTTTCACTGTACTGGGGGGGTCCGGGGTGGTCTGGAGACCAGTCAGTATCTGGTGTGACCACCATTTGCCTCACACAGTGCAACACATCTCCTTCTCATAGAGTTGATCAGGTTGTTGATTGTGGCCTGTGGAGTGTTGGTCCACTCCTCTTCAATGGCTGTGCGAAGCTGCAGTCAGGTCGAGACCCCGATGAGGACGACGAGCATGCAGAGGAGCTTCCCTGAGACGGTTCCTGACAGTTTGAGGAAAGATTCTTTGGTTATGCAAACCGATTGTTGCAGTAGCTGTCCGGGTGGCTGGTCTCAGACCATCTTGGAAGTGAAGATGCTGGATGTGGAGGTCCTGGGCTGGTTTGGTTACACGTGGTCTGCGGTTGTGAGGCCGGTTCGATGTCCTGCCAAATTCTCTGAAACGCCTTTGGAGACGGCTTACGGTGGAGAAATTAACATTCAATTCATGAGCAACAGCTCTGGTGGACATTCCTGCAGTCAGCATACCAACTGCACGCTCACTCAAAACTTGAGACATCTGTGGCGTTGAGCTGTGTGATGGAACTGCACATTTTGGAGTGGCCTTTTATTGTGGCCAGCCTAAGGCCTTTTATTCTGGCCAGCCTAAGGCCTTTTATTCTGGCCAGCCTAAGGCACACCTGTGCAATCCCCATGCTGTCTGACCAGCATCTTGATATGGCACACCTGTGAGGTGGATGGATTATCTCAGCAAAGGAGAAGTGCTCACTAACACAGATTTTGACAGATTTGTGAACCATATTTGAGAGAAATAGGCCTTTTGTGTACATAGAGAAAGTCTTAGATCTCTGAATTCAGCTCATGATGAATGGGAGCAAAAATAAAAGTGCTGCCTTTATTATTTTGTTCAGTGTAGTTATACAGCATCAGCTATTGATGCTATTTTGAAAGCAAAGGGTGGCCACACCAAATATTGATTAGATTTAGATTCTTCTTTTGTTCAATCACTTTCTATTTTTTTAATTGATAACTATAATCTATTAACATGCATTTTTGTGAATAGGCATTCTTAATTCACAGCATTTTTTCACACCTGACCTCTTGTACTCTTGTACAGCACTGTATCCATACATACATTATACATACACACATACAAAATAAACAAAACACATATATAAATGCATATACTACTGTATATTATAATTTAATTCTAATTATTGATCTGTGCGTCACGTTAATGAGCTAATTTTAATTATTCCTGGGTATCTGAATGTCAACCTGGACACCAGCACATTCTTATCTTCACCTAAAATAATATATCATAATTTATTTAAAGTGCCTCAAAAGTGCACCTAAGTACAGTACTGTAGTAGTACAGTATTGAGTACTGTAAAGTAAAGTACTCCGTTACTTTATATATCTTAACCTATAATGATATACAATATCATAATGCATTTAAAGTAAAGTAGGCTACAAGTACCTCAGAAGTGTACCTAAGTACAGTACTGTAGTAGTACAGTACTGAGTAAACGTACTGCTGCTGCTAAATAAACTGTGTATCTAACTTCTGCGCCTTCATTCGTGTTTAGTATATTTCCCAGCGTACGTGAACGCAACACTGCGGATGGGAAAATCCCGTTAAATGACTCATTATATCCCACAGTCCATGAACGCATCAGTATTACGGGGGGAAAGAAACAATCATGGCGGACGCGGTGAGTGTTTGACAGATCTGCAGTGCGTTTTATTGATTAAAAGCCAATCAATCGGCGAATGATGTCGAAAAATAAGAAGGATATTGTTGTTGTAAGTCAACTCGCTACTAGCGGAAAGTGAACAGATCGGGCGCGAGGCCACAGAAAGAGATGAAAAGCACACCAAAGAGTGAATAAAGTGAACATTAGCATCGGGAGGTTAGCGCCGTTAGTTTCACTGTTTTTCAAAATAAAAGCACGTTTTTAAACCGCAGGGAGCGACACCGCTTTCGCTTTCGTTTCGAGTCACTGGTGATAGTGACGGTTAAATTTAACGATTTAACCACGTAAACAAAGCTTTACACTTTGTAAGTAGACGTGAAAGTGTAACAAAGACGGGCCAAACCCCATTCAAAACCGTTAACTAGCTATTAGTTTAACGCTTAGCTTAGCTTAGCTAGCTAACGTTAAGTGAAAGTGAAGTTAACCCAGTTTCCACTTTGTTTACCTGTTCCAGCTCAAAGCAGTGCTGTCTAAGGCCGTGATATCCGTAAGGCGTTAGAAATCCGGCCCTGTTGTAATGTTCAGTTTATGTTAAAGTGTGAGAGGTTTATTTTTAGTTGTGGAGGCACTTTGTTGTGATGGGAATATTACAAACGCATCAGCATGACGCCACATGACCAAAACCTGACCCAACACCTTTAAAAACAAAAACTGAGCAGAATAACCTGCATGAAGAGAAGATTTATTTATTTTTAAATTAATCTATTAATATACACACACGTTTAAGGTTTTATCTATTTATTTTATTTTCATTTTTAATATATTTTTCTAACACACACGCTTACTTTTTTATTTATTTATTTAAATTTAATATATTATTCATTTTCTAACACACACGCTTAGTGTTTTATTTATTTATTTAAATTTAATATATTATTTTCTAACCTACACTTACTGTTTTATTTATTTATTTTAATTTAATATATTATTCATTTTCTATCACACACACACTTACTGTTTTATTTATTTATATTAATTTAATATACTATTCATTTTCTAACACACACCCGCTTATTGTTTTGCTTATTTACTTTACTTTACTTTTTTTATATTTTTTAATTTGATTGAATTTATTATTTTATTTTGTATTAACACACACAAACACAACTTTTGCTGTTTTATTTCCTTATCTAATGAAATTAATTGTCCTTATGTACTTTATATGGAGCTTTGGCAATATTGTTGCTTTACATTCATGCCAATAAATCTCATTTGAATTTTTTTATTCTATTACTGACTGCTGTGGACACTGTGTGTGTGACATTTCAAGGTTGCTGCCTGGAGGCCACAGAAAGCTTGTCAAATATCTAACGGGCTTTACAAGGTTTTCAGTGACCTCTTTCAAGGTTGATGTTTGGTTTGTGTTTTAATGTCAAAAATCTTTAGATCTTTTTGTAAATCATTTAAAAATGAGGGGATTAGGCCGCAAAACATCTTAAACCTCTGTTAAAAACTGAAATTGTACTGTTTTATTTGTGTGTGGAGTTAAATTTAGTTTAATGAACTCCTGTAGAATCGCTCAGTTCTACAATAACATGTTATTAAATTAACTGCAGGAACAACACAGATGGATCACATCAGGTTTTCAGGGCAAGGCCTTAGAAAAATGTCTATCGACAACCAAAAAGTGTCACAACATCCCCCTAATCACTCAAACACACTCCAGAGACCATTTAAAAATGATCATTTTAGGGATTAACAATCAATTTAAATCTAATCTGAATCCCAATATGTTAACGGAGGTGCAATATTTGTTAAAGCGCACAGTGTGTGCCTTTGTTTCCCAGGTGTCTGACAGTGATCTGCAGGCTGTGAAGCCGCCGCCAAAACGCCGGCGCATCCTGGACCCTTCAGCTATCGTCCCGGTGCCCGTTTACTCCAACAAGGTAATGTTACGACCCAGCTGGGGAAGGGAAAGGGAAATAGGGCGGCTGTGGCTCTGGGGTTGTCCGCTAACCAGAAGGTTGGTGGTTCGATCCCCGGTTCCCCTGCTCTGCATGTCGAAGGGTGAATTTTTAATTGCCGTACAAATAAAGTTTATTATGATTATAGTATTGTGGTTTTGTTCTCAGGTCAGCAGCAGTCTGCAGCTGAAGCCGATGGCGGCAGTGTTCAGTGAAAAGGAAAACGCAGGTAAAAAGAGTTTAATCGAGAGCTTGAAGTGAAACTCAGCGGCAGGTGATGTTTAACGACTGTTTCTGTCTCCGAGCAGACGACGGGGCAGACGAGAGTTTGTGGTCGCGGTTTTCATCTCGAGGACCGATGGCATCGTCAGCCCCCACCGTCATCACCTTCAGTGATTCTGATGACGACGAAGCAGAAGATGTGGAGAACAAACCAGAACGCCTGGAGAAGAGAACAGAACCGTGAGTAGTGAAGCTCAGGTGAAGCCAGTCTTTTAGTTCCCAACACAGCACAGATCTTCTGCAGATTATATTTCAGTCATGTCTTGTTATAATAACGAGTCAAACTTTTAAGATTCATTTAACATGAAGTTCTTTTCTTCCTTTTTATTTCAGAGAAGCCATTCGCAGCCCGTCTCCTCCTCCTCCAGAGAGTCCGGTCCAGAAACAGTCCAGACAGGTCAAACAGAAGATCAGGTGAGTCTGGAGTCTTTGCTCAGCTGCAGCTCACGCTTCTGGACTAAATATGTATGTGGCGTGATTATTATGGTGAATTATAACTTTGTTTATATAGCTGAATTCATGGGGTGGATGCAGCAAAATACAAAAATAAGGAAAATAATAATAAGTAAGATGATAACTATAATAAAGGAGGAATGAGAGCAAAAGCTTGCAATTTTGCTTTATTTTGAAAAGTGCTGTATATGTTTGAGTATTTTTGTTATTATTTAGGGCTGCAAACTCACGATTATTTTCATTGTCTATCATTTTCTCCATCAGTCGATCACAAGTTTTGTTTATAAAATGTCCGAAAATGGTGAAAAAAGTCCATCAGTGTCTTTCTCAAAGCTCAAGATGGATGTCATCAAATGTCTCGTTGGTCACCACCCAAAGATATTCAGTTTACTGTCCCAGAGGAGGAAAGAAACCAGAAAATATTCACATTTAAGAATCTGAAATCAGAGAATTTTTACTCTTTGTTTCTTAAAAAATGATTCAAACCGACCAAATATCAAGATTCATTTAATAGTTGACAAATAAACGATTAATTGTTGCAGCTCTATCCTCGTTATTATGATAAACAGGTTACAATGCCTAAAATATGTTTAAAATTTTGCATGTGAAATGTTGTCTGGAACATGCAGTTTAAGTTGGGGTGGAAACTGTTGAAACCCGTTGAAGGTCGACTTCCTTCCCCTCTATTTTCTTTTTGACTAATCTTTCCCCCTGAAAAGCCTTTTTGAGTATTTAGAAAAGTGCTATATAAATCCAGTTTATTATTATTATTTTTAAATGTTGAAAGCATGTGAATATTTAGTTTGAAGTTTATTCCCTGACGGCAGTTTAATTGCCTCTGAAAAGTCAGCTGAAGTTAAAATTGACAGAGTAGTTTTAAGTGTGTGTTCACTGTTTATAGTCGGGAATAAAACTGGAAAGTTTGGTGTCTGTAACAACTGCAAAGTGGAAATTTCAGGCGCAGAGGCAAAACTTATTTTGAGAAAACAGCCTGTAAAGATGTGCGTTGTTCAATTCTACACGTTTTTATCGACAATCAATATTTACAGACCCAATATCTAATCAGATCCTTAACAAGAACAGCACCACGTTGTCAGAAATCGACACTAGCCAATAAGATTTCATGTTTAGATTAAATCTGTTCTTTCACGATTGGTTGCTGGTAGAAAAGAAGTAACCATATTTCCGACAGCATTGTGCAGGAGAGAGAGAGCGTGTCAACTGTACGGGGGATGATACGCACACAGACAAACTGCAGTAAAATAAACTGCTGAATGGACTTTTTCTTTCCAGACGTCTGAAAGAAGACGTGTTCAGGAACAAAGTAGTGTGTTGGTGTGTAAGCAGTGACCTCGTGTCTTCCTCAGTGAGATCGACAGAAAGCTCCGGGCGGTCAACTCCCTCCTGTCTCCTGAACCTCACCAGAGGTCCAGACCCCGCCGAGGCCTCCCGTCTCCGGACGACGACGACGTCATCGTCATGAACCATACCGATGATGACGTCGTCGTCATGAGCCCTACCGATGATGACGTCGTCGTCATGCACCCTAACCCCGGACTTCAGGATTCTCCGTACAGCTCCTCGGCCCGGGAGATCCCCCTCAAGATCCGCTGCCGAACAGACGTCCACAAGGTCCCGGTGCTGCCGGTACGTACGCAGACGAGACGTTGCAGAAAACATCGGCATACGCGAAGTAGTACAGGATGATGTCGCCTTTTTGTTTGTCTCAAACGTGCTTTGTGCTTTTAGTCGACAGCTTTAAGAGATGTGGTGACCCAGCTGTCCGTCATCCTTAACGTCCCTCCCCCTCGCCTCCTGCTGATGAGGGACGAGGTGGAGCTTCCGACACACTCGACCGTCAGAGAGCTCGGCCTCGGCATCGCTGACATCATAGGTGGGTCACATGACACACGAGCTCATTCTTCTCTTTCATTTTTAACTTGTTGTCGTCATGATGCTCAAACAGTTTTCATTTTGTTTGATAATGAGAAATAAATTATTGAACCTTGAAGGTTTGTTCTTCAGATTGGAAACTTGCCACAAGGTCCAACTTATTATGTGTTTCCAAGGCTTTCAGCCACATCTCATGGCCTTCCTCAGTGTTTCTGAGTTGTCGCCGACGTTGTGTAGTTGTGAGCCTTAAAAGATCTCTTACAGTGGAAAAGTAGTTTTGAAAACATAAACAATGAAAATAACAATGACCGAAGGGCTTTAAATAAAATTGTTTATTTCTGTTTCATGATTTTGTGCAGGTGTTCTCTGGGAACAAGTCAAACACACATGCAGTTTTTCATTTCTCCACCAGAGGGCAACACATTATTACCCTTGACCTCCTCTCAGCTGAGACACAAACATCTGCTAACATGCTCACAATGTTATATCTTACACACAGTACAGGGTACCTGCGGGGTCTCAAAAGGTCTCTGAAAAGACTGCAGAGAATGTAAATCCATAATCCAAGCTCTTTCTCGTGTGCAGAGTGTGTGGTCATGGCAGCGGAGGACAAAGATGGCGCCGACGACAGCAGCAGCAGCTTCATCTCTGTGAGGCTGCAGAGCAAAGACCGCGACTCTTCACAGGAGTTCTCTCTGCACAGAGTTCGTTCGCTCCTCTTCTTCTTCCCATCATCACCGTCATCCTCCTCTTTGTGTTTGTTTTCAGCAGCAGGACACAAACCGATAATGTTATTTGTGTTTCAGGACGCGCCGCTGGACTCCATCTTCTCCCAGTATCTGTCCAAGATGTCTGCCGGCGCCCAGAGGCAGGTCCGCTTCCAATTCGACGGCTCCAAAGTCACACCCTTTCAGACGCCGGCTCAGCTCGACATGGAGGACGGGGACATCATTGAAGTCTGGATTTAAGCCTCGAGCTTTTTTTGTAAATGTCGATATAAACAATCACTTAATTAGTAATTAATTATTATTATTATACACTTCTAAACTTATTTTAATGTTTTTGTGAATGTACAAAACTTTCTATTTCTGACTTTTTTATTGTTATTGAAAGTAATAATAATAAAATGAGTAGACGTTACTCTGTAAGAAAACTCTCAGGTAATATTAAGTCATTTAGCTTTCAGATGTTTCAAAGCAAAAGTAACTATAAAGTCAAAACGCTGCTGTATTCACAATCTACCTGAACTAAAAGGTCAGCGGCTGTTTGTCTAACATCAAAAACAAACTCAACATAGACTTGAAACCAGAAGACCTTGAAGTGTACGCTGGCAAAACAAATCTATTATTCCTGCAAATGTGTTTTTGCGTCATGTGTCTTATTTAACCTTTGAACAGGTGAGATCATATCAGATTATTTTCTCTCTGATTGACTGATTGAATTGTCGGGTTCACAAAATGTGAGAATGTGAATAATGTCCATTAAAGTTTAAGCTCAAGTGTACAGAAGTGTGTGATACATATGCCGATGAATAAATTGTCCCAACTAACAGTCCCAAAACCCGAAGAGACTCTGTTTTATTATCATGTAAGACAAACTAAATCTTCAGAATTGAGAAGCTGGAACAGGGTAAAGTTTTGGCATCTTTGCTTAAAAATTTGCGTAAATCTTTAACCAGTTATTAACAATTATTTTAAATAATCTTTATTTATAGAGCACTTTTCAAGACAAAACCATGTTACAAAGTTTTTATAAGTGCAAAGACAAAACATCAAGCACTAAAGATGCACAATCAAACCAGGAAACACTTAATTAAAAGACAGTTCAGGAAAGTCTCTCCTATAAAAGGAGTTTACGGACTCAGTCAGGGAAATAACCGTCTGTCCAATCAACTGACTTATCATTGCAGTGCTTGATGTTATAATTGGATTATTATTATTACTGATACATTAACATGTAAGCGGCACTTTAATGCTCTAGCTTGTTTTAAGTACTTTCTAATGTACTGTTGGATACTTTAATCTGTAACAGTACATCAGATTTAATAGATAAGTAAGGTTTAGATTAAAAATCAGAAAATTTAACTGAAATAAATGCAGTGCAGCAGAGAGTACAATACTTCCCTCTGAAATGTACATGATTTTGAATCACTCTGTCAATTTCAAATCAAATTTCAAGTTATTTTGCAACTATTATTACCATGCTTTTATAAAATGTACAAAACAATCTTGATTTATATATAAATAAACATTATTTGTCTATTTTATACCAAGTCTGTTAACCACAGATCAAGTAAATTTCATCTATGTAAATCTATTTCTTTTTAAAACTCTATTAAATCATATCTCGTTTTAAAGTTTGTTTAGCTAGTTCATATATCATATATCTATTATCAGAGATGTGTTTGTGTGACAAACTGTAATGTTTATGCTTAGTGTGTTTCTAATGCTAATCTTTAACAGTCATTTTCAGAAAATGTTTTTTTCCTGGCCCTTGAAGGCAGTAAGATCATCTTAACTTTACACACTGCTTCTTAGGTTTTATAGCGCGACATTTACTGAGGGTTTATTAAAATATCTTTTATCATTCTCATTTTATGTGGCATTTTATCTCTAAATGTGTGTGTGTGGGGGGGGGGTCACACAAGAGTGGTATATTTTGAATAAATCCATGAAAAAAAACTATATTTTGATTAACCTTTCTGTAAATGTCTGGCCATTTGGTATATAATCACACTAAAACAAACAAAAAAAAATCAGTGCATGAGGACTACCTAATTTGCATATTAAAACTGTATTTAAAATGTGCATATTCAAATTGAAACAAACATAACAAAATTTGTAGTTTAAAAAAAGACTATTTGTTTTATTTTCTGCTTGTAAAGTTTCATTGTGATATGAGTAAAGTTTAAGTGCCTCAAAACTCGAGTACATGTACTTTGTTGTGTCCTACGTGCTGTAGAACAATATAAAATTGTATCGCGATAGCCACTGATTAGCTTAATCAATCCGTACTCGCATGTGACTTGAAGATAACGAAGTCACGATGCGCTGCCTCTGATTGGCTAACCCTAACCCTTGTCCCGCCCTGATCAAACGGGTGCTAACCAATCAGAGGCGGAGTTGTCCAAACGGAGGGGGGGGGGATAATAATGCCGGGAGCGGAAGGTCCAGCAGATCCAACATGGCGGCGGTGAAGAAGCGTCATCTCTGTAGTGTTGTGAAATAAACACTTTAAATCCATGCAGGTCACCGGTAAACGGCGTTAACGCGGAAACGTTTTTACTTTAAATCATCAGTACGAGGTTTGAGTAGAACTCACAACTGCGCGTGACGAAGAACGTATCTGGACCGGCGGCAGAAAGAAGGAAGAAGAAGAAGCAGCAGCAGCGTCAGCCCTGACTCATCCTCCCGAGGTAAACAACAACAACAGGCTGAGACCCGCTAACGGTTAACGGTTTAACACGAGCTAGATGGGTAATTAATCGTTAAATGTACGAGACAATAAAGCCGTTTTGCATTTCGTTTCCTCACAAAGGCTTGTAAAAGCAATAAGCACTTAAAATGTTTGAAGTATGTACCTTCCTCTTGGACTTTGACAACTCTCCTAGCTGGATCATCTCTCGCCAGACTCCATTCAAAACACCGCGAATTTAACGTTGTTTTGATTTTTTTGTAACGTTAAAGGAACAATCCTCAGTCAGGACGATGTGATGCATTGTTAGCATACAGTAATAATTGAGCTTACAAAGGAAACTTTTAATTATATGACTTTTAACTTACTTCGGCGTATTTACTATTTATTGTATGAAGGCGTTCTACATTAAAACAGTCGTACATTAACAGACGCTGTTAAGGCTAATTTATAATGAAAGAAAACAACTAACTCATTCGCTGAATTTATCTAAAGATCATTTTAACGCCACTTCAGTCGCTTTAAAGTAACGTGTGGTTTGTATTAAAGCAGGGTACATAAAAATGGCAGAATCCTAAATGGAGTCTGGCGCTGCTTTCCCTCTGTGCGTAACTGCGTTTGGAAAATGACCTAATTTGACTGTCGCATTTATCAGAAGACCCCTTAAACTGTCCCATGACATTAATTTGCCTGAGCCCAGACCTTTTAAATCCACCCACTCCACAGAGTTGACTGAAGATGGACAATGCATTCTGTAAGCAAGCCAAGGTACATAAAACACTCTCTATTATGAATGAAGTGGGGCGTAACTTTCTCTCATGTTGAATTATCTTCCGAACCTGTCACAAGACAACTTAAAACATTTCTCAGCCTTAAAAAAGTAACTTTTAATTGCGTAACGTTTCTTTGCAAAGGGAGGCACATAAAATTGGCACAATTCTGAATGGAGTTCGGCGTGACGTTCAACACCAAGACTAGCTGTAGGTTTGTTTGTTTTTTAGCAGAGGCAGCTTATTGTTTACTCGTGCCTACCTATTGTGTGAGTCTCTTGAGTAGTTGACATGCCAGTGGTCCTATCTGGTACTGATAACTCTCTGATCAATAAGCTGTGTTTGCAACTGAGGCAAAGATCAAGACAAGTGAGTGGTGTTGTGGAAATTATATTCCTGGTGAGGGGAATTGAGCAATGAATTGAGTAACAACCAACCGTTGTCTTAGAAGAATTTATTAAACAGAAGTACTAAAACACATATACAGCTGGCCCCGAGCAAAGGGATGCATCATCATTTACACAGTCTAGGTTTCTATGTTTTGGGGAACATGTTCATTCAAGGCTGAGAGGAACAAAAAGAGAGGAAAGCACCAAAAAAATCTCACAGCTCTGACCTAAACCCTAGTAAATGTGGACAGACCAACATAAGGAGTATAGGAGAGGAAATGTTAAGGATAAAAACACAATAAAAGATCATAAATAAAAGTAATGTAATGTAAGAGGACAATTTTCTGCCATAACAAGTGGCTCTTTAAACATGCAGTCTGTGTTTCCCCTCTATGTTAACTGGACAAACTGTTGGACATGAATTTAACTTGACTGAATAACTGAATATCTCCAGGTTTTGGACTGTTGGTCATATGAAGACGTCCGCTTTGGACTGTGCAGAAATTCTATTTCAGTAAGGAAAATAATTGTAAGTTGCACCCTTAACCCTTTCATGAATCAATGATCAAATCAAGAAGTAACATTTTTTAAAAATGTCCAAATATATTTCATTTGAAATGTGTCTTCTGCTGTGATTTAGAAGACGCTGAAGTTGGCGTCCGATTCGCAGCTTCCGATTTGGCGGTTAAGTGAAAGTTAACTTACTTTGCTGAGCGACCGATTCTGTTTTTTTGCACCTCTTACTGCTGTGAAAGCTGTTGTGCATTTTAAGCAAAACCTTAACGCTGTCTGAAACACTTTTTTTAGGTTTGAGGGGGGGAAAAAAGGCCAATTTCACTGCTTTTTCTCGACATACAGACCACATTAGTCCAGGTCCGGATCCAAAACCACTATACCTAGAGATCTCAAATCTGGACTAGATTGTCCCAGAGAGACTAAAGTTTCTTTATAACACAGTTTCAGATTATTGAAACTTTTATTCCTTTTGTGAAAATACTATAAAGGGCGATTTCACTAAGTTGGGCTACTGCAAAAACTTTGTAATGTACCATGAAGTAGACCTGGTGTCCCGGCGCTAAACAGCCAATCACATGTCTGCTACTTGTGATGCATTCAGGCAATGTCAGCAGAATGGACACAACTGCAACAACACTCCATGGTTGAGGCATTATTAGCATAAGGCTGTTAGCAGAAATGCTAACCTTATAGTCACAGTAAATAAATAAATACTAAATTATATACTCATAAATTACTCTGCATTTGTAGTACTATGTATTTTTTGTAGTTTGTTACAGAGTGAAACCAGATTAAACCAAACAAAATATCAGATCCTTTATTTAAGTAAAAGTACTACCACACTGTGAATATACTCCACAACAAAAGTACAACATGTACTCAGTTACATCCCATTACAGTAATCAATGCATTTATATCTCTAAATGTTTAACTATGTGTTTAATATGTTCTTATTTATTTGCATAATGAAACCTCTTGACTTTGACTGACTCAGAGACTCAAAAAGCACAATAATTACAGAGTTTACTATGTCAACAGGGACAACACAAGACGACATCTGTTTAAACAGATACGGGCTTATGGCAGACAGGAAAAGGCTAAAAACTGGAATACTTGCCTCCTTTCCTGCCTCCTACTCTGATTGACAAAGGAAAGGAGTACTAACCAATCAGAGGCAGAGTTGTAGAAAGGCTGTAAGGCCACCAATGTCACTTGGTGTGAAAAAGCATTCAATTATCACCCTTTTTTCATTTACACGAACAAAATAAACTTTTCCCAAATCTAAAACCATGTTTTAAAGAATCTTTAGCCTCTTTAGGACAATGTAGTCCAGATTTGAGAACTCCAGGTGTAGTGGGGATCTGGACCTGATCTAATGTGGTCTTCGCGTGAAAAAAGCAGAGAAATTGTCCTTTTAAAGCATTTTCACAAATTAAATAAAGGTTTCACAAATCTGAAACTGTGTTTGATTGAAACTTAAATCTCTGTGGGACAATCTAATCCAGATTTGAGTGCTCTGGGTATAGTGGTTTTGGATCTGGACCTGGTCTAATGTGACAAAGTGTGCACACAGTTGCACCCTCAGCAGTGTTTTAGGTGTTACTTCACAGGGCGGCAGTTTAACTGCAACAACTGACATAAATAACCTCTACGTTACTAGTTAACTGTGTGCTCCTCTAGCTACATCAGTTGGTAACCCTCAAGTCAGTTATACTTCCTAATGTTTTGGCATTTTTAACAATAACTTTTATGCAGAGAAGATGACTTTATGAGAGTCTTTACTGTAGCCAGCTACCTAATAGACCTGACATATTTCCACATCAATGTACATGCAGAACAGGTTTTAGTGTTTTAATTTAAATACATGTAAATATACTTTTTGTTCCCTTTTTGTTTATCATTACCATTTACAGGCGGTGCTTCCGTGGGTGCTGGCATTGTTTTGTGACGTAATTCAGCTGCTACTCGTGAAGTCGGGGTACAGATTTTTTTCTCCGAGTTCACAAGTAGGAAATCCGGCGTTCCAGGGTAGTTTTTCAGCTGACTGCAGTCTACTGGAGCTCAGAGCGGCTCTGCCGGTGTTCTGTCGATTCATGCTACCTATCGAGATGTGCTACTGAGCGGTTCAGTGCATGTGTATGACCCACAAGCGTGGTCTGTTTCCACGCCCTTAAATCTGTGCGACCTTGCTGTTGGGCACGCCGTCGAGACAGTGTTGGCAAAATCAAAAAATAATCAGAATACGCTACCTCTGATATCTTAAATAAAGATGTCATATAGTATTTCAACATGCTCCCCATCTCCTTACAGTGCAGACGGAGCGAGTAATGGTTCTGTAGTGGGAGTATTGTATTATTTGATTGGGGATATTAGTCTATCAGAATACGCTACCCCTGAAATGATGATATAATATAATCAAAAACAGAACGTCATAATACTTAGAGAGTTATACCTGTATGGGAATGGAAAAGGGAACACATAAGGTAGCATTTTTCATCAAGGCAGCATATTAAAATCAGCCCTCATCACTTCTGCTCTCCTGAAAACATTCATACCAGACTTGCTAACCCTCCAGTGTTTCACTGCCCTCTCCCGGGTCACAGCAGGAGCAGCTGAGTGGTGGAGGCTGATGTTACGCTGACAGACGTGATTGTAGATTTATTCTGGTGATCTGTTCTCTCGTTATATTTTATTAAACACAAGGTACAGCAGCTAACGCTGCTAAATTAGCCACAAAGCCAATGCCGTGTTTATTAATGGAGGAGTGTCAATGTTAATGAGCGATTAAACTTTAGTGTTTGTAGCGAATACCTGTGAGCTGAACAAGTATCTAACACGGCTTCCTGCCTAACAAAGTTCTCTAACGTTCCCTCTTCGTCTGAATGTGAAACGTTGGTGTGAAACCTCAAAGTTTCAGCTCCTCCTTGTAGTCATTTATTAAACAGCAGCGTTTCCTCTGTGTCACTGTACCACAGACGAAATGTACATGCCTAATAACTACTGCATTTTTTACAAACTGTATATATATTAAAATTACTTGCCTATGTAGGAGAGCCCTGTTATTATTATTATTATTATTATTATTATTATTATTATTATTATTATAGCAATGACATTAGATATGATATATGGTATTATTCGTAGTATTAATAGTAGTAGTATATGGGTCAACTTTAGTTTCTGTTTTCCTGCCCCCACAATACACTATTTACTTAATGTTCATTAGTAGTATTACTCTATAATTTATAACAAATCTGTCAATCAGAGGAAGTGTTGTCTGAAGAGCTTCTTCGAGCTAGAGAGGGACGACCCTGCTCTTCCACCATCCTCGTGTCACAGATGAGAACAGGGCCAGCGATTAGCAAACTAATTATAGACAACGCTTCGGGGATCGGCCAAGTGGCGGTTGAGACAAGATACTAAAAGGCTTCAAAGTGGCTTCTAAATATGAGATATATATATATATATATATATATATAAAATGTCTGCTGTAACGGAGGTCGAGCATGAAAGGGTTAATGTTTCAATCCCATTATTCCACATTGTGTTCACAGTGAGCTGCTCTGGATGAGTGATTTCAGTACAATCAGTACGCCAAGAACAAATCAAGATGTAAATCATTAACAGCTGATACGGTCGGTCAGTAAACCAGCTCCAAAGCAACATCCCTTTTTACAGGAGCAGCACGTGAGAGGAAGTTTCCCAGGAAAACTAAACCTAACGTAGAAGCTTTAGAGGAACTGTGACTCTGTAACTCTGCAGATGTCCGGACCAGGAGAGGTTTCAGTCATACTGCAGAAAGTTTCCTATTTAGGTCACAAGGACGCAGGAAAACGCCTTTTGTCATGAGCTCCTCCTTTTTTTTTTCCTGAACGCAAACTAAACTGATTCATGCACCGGCAACATGTTTGAGCGCTCACATGACGTGAAGTTTCATTAAGGCTTCTCCTTTCACTGCCTCTTCCTCTTCTTCTTGAGCTCAGGATCGTCACCTCTTTATGTTCTTCTTCAGCTGACGGGCAGCTCGTTTTGTTTTTTTTAAGGTAATCTGTGTCTGTTTTCTCTCAAACATCTAATAATATGTACCTGGTGGTGGAAGTACATCTACTCAAGTAGTAGATGAAACAACCTTAAAGTACAATATAGCGTTAAAATTCACTCCACCTTCACAACTGAAGGAATAAAAGGAGTTCAATCATAAATGTATAATCAATAACGCACTTTGAATGGAGATGTTTTTGCACTACAATTTGCTGCTAATACTTGTGTGTTTTTCCTTAAGATTTTGAAGGCAGGACTTTTTACTTGTTACAGAATACTGTGGTATTACTAAGGTAAAAGATCTGAGTACTTGTCGTCCCGCCGGGTGTATCTTTCTGTTCATAAGTGTAATAAAACATTAAGTCTACTTTAGTTCAACGTTGTGAGACAGCAAAACATTCAAACTTACAAAGGAGGGGGTGAACACTTTGTACAGGCAGTACTTTGTGCTGTATAATGAGTATCATCCCGTTTCCATGTGAGTGTCCGGTGTCACCACAGTCGCTCAGGATCACGCGGCGTTGTGTTTGTTGACACCAGCAGAAGATAGACAGGATTTTCCAGTAGCTGCTGTTCAGACTCCAACATCCGCGTGCTGGAGCCAAACTCTGCTTTACATGTTGTTTGTTTTTTTATGTTTAACTTTTGAATTCGATGATATTGGTTTCTTGAACAAACCCTTTTTTATCAGAGATGCCTTCTACTTAAAAAATCAATAGTTTGTGCATCATATTAAACTTTTGTATGTTCCAGTTTTTTCATATTTATTAATAATAAATCAGATTGATGGAAGTTGCAGAGCTGTGAAGTCACAAACTTAATCACCTTAATTAGCTTATCAATACTTCTAGTCTGTTTGACCTCTCTTAATGACCAGTCAGTGAAAAGAATGGCTGATTGATTGATTTGTTTATCTGAGTGTCCTGCACCGGTGTTTGGAGTTAATCAGCTGATCAGAGCTCTTCTCAGGTCGACATTTCTGTTTTATAAACTCTTTATTCTAAAATTCTGACACATTTTAAGATACTGGAGTTTCCATTAAATCCGTAATCATCAAGATTAAAATTTAATTATGGAAGAAAATTAACTTCCCCACGATATTCAAATTTTATCGAAACTCACCTGCACATTTTCATAAATGCATAAAAGGATATTTCAAAATCTCTTCAAAACAAATGTCTTCATCAAAGAGCCGACTGAGTGTTTCACCTGCAGACACTGTCGGGCAGGGACGCTCAAGCTCTTCCTCAGAAACCCCCGAGATCACAGAAAACACAAACGCTGCCCTTCAGGAAGGTGCCGGCTCTAAACCGAGCGCATAGAGACCTCCGTCCTCTCTGGAAAATACATTTTATTTTTGGTTCAGTCAGAAGTTTGTGCAGCACTTTAATGCTTCCGTGTATTGCAAAGAGCTCACAAAGTAATGATTTATTATAAGCATGATTAATAATGATAGACAGCCGATCCACCGCAGAGCCTGTTATGAATAATAACAGTGAATAATAATTCGGGTGTAGTATCGCTGTCACACATGTTTTATGGACTTAATGAACCGACAGGGTAAACGGAGTACTACTTCTTCTTCTACTACTACTACTGCATCTTTTTTTTTTTTTTAAACAGATTTTAACCTATTAATCAGGGAAATACCCGCGCTGACAAGTAGGCTATACTTTATAAAAATAGCGGCTTATACAGATCAATTATAAGATGGATGGATTTATTAGTGATTTAGCTTTGGAAATGATGCTCAGATCACATCTCTATCATAAAATGGTTTGTTTGCTTTTTCACCACGAGCAAACCGCACCAGAGTTCGTTTGAAGACCACCTTGAAGAGGAGGTCTCGGTACGTTTGTTTGGTGCGCACCCGAGTGCGATTGCTGCATTCACACCTGCCCAAACGAACCGCACCAAGGGAAAAAATGAAATTCAACCGAACTAAACGAGGCAGGTCTGAAAGCACACTTAGGGGCTGAGACCAGGACCAGTTCCCCACATTACATGACACACAATAAAATGTGGAACCAGATCACAGGTACTTCTCTAATTGATCTGAAAGATCCGCATTCTCATTAAATTGATATTCCCAAAGTTATGGGCTTGACTGGTCTTGAAATAAAATCCAGAGTCCTCAATGTCCGAGGCCGAGACAAGTACAAATGTGGTCTCGAGTACTACAACCTTATGACTACAACACTAGTTTCGTCCTCTTGGCTGTGGAATGTTCTGACATTTAATGAATCAATACAACGAAAAAAACGTCCTGGCTCACTGATCAGTAATAGAGTTGATTGCCTGCAGTTGTAGTAACGCGTTGGAAGAGGTGTATATGAACGGGTTTCTATGTGTCTGATTTGTTGTACTTAATTTTGCCAACAAAACCCAAAACTGCATCTGTCAGCATCTTAACGGTTGTGACTGATCCCTCCCCTCAGCGGCGGGCATGTCTCTGGGCGAGACCACGTCGGACTCGGCGCCTTTCTTCTCCGATGACAGCGAGGCGGAGGAGCAGGGCGGGCCGGCGGGTCAGGGGCCGCAGGAGGAGCCGCCCAGCGGGGTGTCCGAGGTTCGGGCGCGGCTGACCGTCTTCATCCTCTGCTACATCAACCTGCTCAACTACATGGACAGGTTCACCGTGGCAGGTACAGCACGCCACGGCCAATCAGAGCCCCCCCCCCCCAACATTAAAGATCTGGATTCCAGACACACAGTATCAATAATCTGATTTAGATGTTTTGGGAAGACAGGAAATATATTAATAAGGGGATTTAAGAAGAAACGTAAAGAAGGAAAACATCTGACAACCAAATTACATTGTTATTTTCTGGAAACTTGGATTTTATTAGGAAACCATACAGGCTCCCTTTTTATAGAAAAGAAAATCATTACAGAAAGTAGTTGAATATATTAATATTAACTTGAGTTTGTGGAGCCAGTCGAGGGTGTTGGTGCTGCAACTAAGGATTATTTTTGTCCATGGTTAATCAGTTTGCCAGAGTCCGAGGTCCCACAGTTTACTCTGATATTACAGACAAATACATATCTGGAAAACAGAAAAATAAATCCATCATTAATCCCATTGAAGTTTGACTGTTTAAAAAGTAAAATGTTGTGCATTGACTCCACCAGGTGTTCTCCCTGACATAGAGCATTACTTTGGGATCGATGATGGGAAGTCTGGCCTTCTTCAGACAGGTGAGAAGAACTAACTAATCAAACAACATCCACAGAAGGTTATTTAACGCTCATCAGAAATGTCTGCAGATACTACCACAAATCAACTTCATGAGTCATGTGGATGGTGATGGCGCAATGGATAAGACGCATGCTTTTGGTGTGTTTTGTTTTTCCTCTGCAAAGATGACTTTTTAGGAATTAATGTTCCAATCAATGTCAGAAATTTGGATTTAAAGAACCATTTTATATTCAATTATCTGCATTTTTGTGTTGAAACTTAATTTATGGCCAGATGATAGATTTCAGGGCAGTACTGGTTTTAAAATCGGCTGAATTTAGGGCTGCAGCTATCGGTGATTTTAATAATCAAGTATTCTTCAGATTTATTCCATCGAGCAATCGGATAAGAAATACTTTAGCTTAGCGCCCCCTGTACCGGGATCAGCTGTGTAACTCATGTCACTCTAACGTTAACACTCAAACTCACGGACGAAGCAGTCGGAGAACATCAACAAAAAACACACGTTTCTACATTTACAGCTAAGAACTGAGCCTTACTGTTGCTAGCCTTAATCACAACTATACAGGTGCGGACTGATATATTTCAAGTGTTTATTTCATTTAATTGTGATTATTAAAACTGACAACTAATGAAAATCCCAAATTCAGTATCTCAGAAAATTAGAATATTGTGAAAAGGTTCAATATTGAAGACACCTGGTGCCACACTCTAATCAGCTAATTACCTCAAAACACCTGCAAAGGCCTTTAAATGGTCTCTCTGTCTAGTTCTACACAATCATGGGGAAGACTGCCGACTTGACAGCTGTCCAAAAGACGACCATTGACAACTTGCACAAGGAGGGCAAGACACAAAAGGTCATTGCTAAAGAGGCTGGCTGTTCACAGAGCTCTGTGTCCAAGCACATTAATAGAGAGGTGAAGGGAAGGAAAAGATGTGGTAGAAAAAAGTGTACTAGCAATAGGGATAACTGCACCCTGGAGAGGATTGTGAAACAAAACCCATTCAAAAATGTGGGGGAGATTCACAAAGAGTGGACTGCAGCTGGAGTCAGTGCTTCAAGAAAGACGTGGGTTTCAGCTGTCGCATTCCTTGTGTCAAGCCACTCTTGAACAAGACACAGCGTCAGAAGCGTCTCGCCTGGGCTAAAGACAAAAAGGACTGGACTGCTGCTGAGTGGTCCACAGTTATGTTCTCTGATGAAAGTAAATTTTGCATTTCCTTTGGAAATCAAGGTCCCAGAGTCTGGAGGAAGAGAGGAGAGGCACAGAATCCACGTTGCTTGAAGTCCAGTGTAAGGTTTCCACAGCCAGTGATGGTTTGGGGTGCCATGTCATCTGCTGGTGTTGGTCCACTGTGTTTTCTGAGGTCCAAGGTCAACGCAGCCGTCTACCAGGAAGTTTTAGAGCACTTCATGCTTCCTGCTGCTGACCAACTTTATTGAGATGCAGATTTCATTTTCCAACAGGACTTGGCACCTGCACACAGTGCCAAAGCTACCAGTACCTGGTTCAAGGACCATGGTATCCCTGTTCTTAATTGGCCAGCAAACTGGCCTGACCTTAACCCTATAGAAAATCTATGGGGTATTGTGAAGAGGAAGATGCGATACGCCAGACCCAACAATGCAGAAGAGTTGAAGGCCACTATCAGAGCAACCTGGGCTCTCATTACACCTGAGCAGGGCCACAGACTGATCGACTCCATGCCACGCCGCATTGCTGCAGTAATTCAGGCAAAAGGAGCCCCAACTAAGTGCGTAGGGTTAGGGTTGAGTGCTGTACATGCTCATACTTTTCATGTTCATAATTTTCAGTTGGCCAACATTCCTAAAAATCCTTTTTTGTATTGGTCTTAAGTAATATTCTAATTTTCTGAGATACTGAATTTGGGATTTTCATTAGTTGTCAGTTTTAATCATCACAATTAAATGAAATAAACATTTGAAATATATCAATCTGTGTGTAATGAATGAATATAACATCCAAGTTTCACTTTTTGAATGGAATTACTGAAATAAATCAACTTTTCGATGATATTCTAATTATATGACCAGCACCTGTACATCATGATTTGGGTTAAATGCTATCATTAGCTTGTTTGGCTCCGCTCTGTGGACTCTATGTGTAGACCGGGTCTTTCTGCTCAGATGCTGAAGCTGTGGTGCTGTTGTTGTCAGCTGGTTCTGTTTTACAGCAGACACTCTGTACAGAACTGCTGTTTTCTGTTAGATTCAAATTATCCCACACTTCCTGTCTTTCTCTCCGTCTCTCCTTAGTTCCTCGCTATTTTCTCTCTCTTCCTCCATTTTGCTATCAGCGCCATCAGATCAGGTCGACTTCATTTATTGCAACAGCAATAATCATCCGTGCGAAACAGTGAGCTGTATATAGTTATATGGATTAAACGAAGCATCGACGCAAAGAATAAAAGAACTGGACAGCTCAAGCTCTCTAAAAGGGGTGTGACGATACACTTTGCTCACGGGACGATACACGAATACTGGGTTCATGAAAACGAGATATTTTAACACTTTAATTTTTTTAGAAATCTTCACTGAGGAAATACACGAGTGAAAGTCACAAAATGCAAAACAATGCATGCATTAAACGTACACTTTTCTTGCGACGTGTTCTTGTGTCTGAGTTGGGGCTGAACGATTAATTGCATTTGTGATATTATTGCAACGTAACAAATCGCAAAGGCTGCGACTACACTCTGGTCACATGACACCCAAGAGTAAAGCAGTCTGCAGAGGAAGCATCGACTTTGCACGTTACGCTGCTGTACCTTCCCTTCTTGTTGTACAACGACCTTAAGCTTGACAGAAGCTGACATGACAGAAACTTTAGTGTCACACAGGGAATGAAAGTAGCACCCGCGGGTAACTTGGTGGTGGGTGCGTTGTGGCGATCGGCGCCTGCGTCACACACACAGCCGCCACTCAGTGCAGGAAATATCTGTGAAACGGCGTTTCAAACCAAACGCACAAGTCCGAAAGAGGCCCTGTCTGTCCCGAGTTACAGCCAGAGCTGCTGACCAGCATCAGAGGCTGCGGGGGAACTCCGGTGTTGTCGGAGAATTACTAAGCTTGTACAGAATTCACTTTAAGTACCTGCTGCAAAGTGTGTAAACAATATATATATATTGTTAGTCAGTTCTGAGAATTTGTGTGTTTCCTTTCAGTCTTTATCTGCAGTTACATGTTCCTGGCTCCGGTCTTCGGATACCTGGGGGACAGGTATAACAGGAAGTACATCATGAGCGTGGGCATCACGTTCTGGTCTTTGGTGACGCTTGCCAGCTCCTACACTCCCAAAGAAGTGAGTCTGGTTTCACTTTCCGCCCCTGCAGAATGACAAAACACTGAACCCCAGTGGTATAAAAACAAAGGTCACTCGCTCTTTGCTCCCAGTTCAAACTAAACCTTTTCCCTTCCCGATCGTCCGGCAGCATTTCTGGGTCCTGCTGTTGACTCGAGGCCTGGTCGGAGTCGGGGAGGCCAGTTACTCCACCATCGCTCCCACCATCATCGCTGACCTCTACGTGAAGGGAAGGAGGACAAACATGCTCTCCATTTTTTATTTTGCCATTCCCGTCGGCAGGTGGGTTCAAAAACTGACTGTCGCTTTAACTGAGCGGTATATTGGCCTCTCTGGAGTCTGGAGAGGGCAGATGGAGTGATTTTAGGATTTTTATGTGTCACTGAAAGATCAATAATAGTAATGTATCGCTACGAATGCGTGACCTCCACACGCCAGCTATACCAGCGGGGTCTCGCCAACACTTGGAAATAGAAACTGTAAATGTTAAAGAGAAACTGTTAAGTTTAAACATAAAATGCCGACATGTGAGTACATTGAACAATGAAAGGTCCAATTTAAAAGTATGCGACTCCATTTTAAAAGAAAAGTTTATTAATTATAAAGATTATTATAAGATTACATAGATTAGGTGTTATTTGTTTTACGTATTATTATTATATAAAAATGTGAAAAACCTTGTTCAGCATTCAGCAAATTTTTTCATCTTTATTAGCGCGTCATTTTAAATGCAAGTTTAATTACACAAATTATAGTAAAACTAAGTATTCAGGTAACTACGGAAGTCCTAAGCGGCCATTCATTAGATTTTATTTTTTTTTTACTCTATTTTCCCATGATAATGATATAATTTTCTTGTGATCTTGACATAACAAACCATAGCTGAATACACGTGCGTTTCTTTAGGACAATTTCAAAACAATTTTCAGTGTCACTGTTTAGCTTAATTAGTAGAGCACGTAGTTCAAGGGTTGCATGTCAGATTCCCGCTCTCAATAATAAACTTCTTTTGTGTGTTTTTTATTATCCTCTTCAACAAAGGATATCAGGGGAATCGAATCACACATTTCAAAGGTTCCAAAATAGCTGTCTGGAAATGTGTAACGTTAAATGGATTCCCCTGAATGGAAATGATGATGAATGGGGACCAATTGCCAGGATGCACACAGTGCAGCACGTGCTTTCTCTTTTTGAGAGCATGTGAAACGGTCTCTACATAAGAACTTTGTTGAAGAGACTTATGAAAAAGATTAAAAAAACAAAAGATTTAATCTTCTCAGAGGATCGAACACACAGCCTCAAGAATGAGTCCTGTGCTCTACCAACTGAGCTAACCAGTGACACTAAAGTTAGAAACGTTCCGGTCGACCCTTGTGTTAAATTACTCTTCTGTTATCTCGAGAAAATTATCCCGTTATCACAGGAAAAGGGAGTAAAAAAATATTTGAATAAATGGCCGATTAGGCTCCGCTGCAGGTTCCACGTGTTCGCTCTCTCCCATTTAGGTTTTTATTGTTTTTATCAGGGCTGCAATGATGAATCGATTAGTTTTTAACTATTAAAGTAATAATTAACTATTTTGGTTAGTCATGGTAGAAATGTAGGTTGTTATTTGTCACATCACAACAGGTTGTAGAGTGAAACTGAGCTTTGTAACTCTCTCCTGACAATATACAGTATTATAGAAGCAATTATAAAAATGATAAAATATAATCCCAGCAGTGCTGAGGATGAAGGGGGGGGGCTGCAACAGAAACTTCTATATCTCTTCCCAGCATGCAGCAGGGTGAACAGGCTGTGGCTGGGTGGGTACTGTCCTTTAATATCCTTCAGGCTCTATAGGCACCTCACCGATATCACTGACGCTCTGGAGATGGGTACCAATGATCTTCTGAGTAGTTTGAATCGGCTGCTGCAGAGCCCTCCGGTCCTGAGCCGTGCACGTCCCCTGTTAGTGATGAAGAACTTGGCGGGGGAATCTGGACTTCTTAAGCTTCCTCAAGAAGTAGAGTCGTTTCTGAGCTTTGTCGTCCGCAAACTCACAATAGAGTTCTCTCTCAGTGTCGGTTGATGCAGTGGTGGGTTTATTAAATAATTGGTTCTTAAATGTGAATATTTTCTGGTTTCTTTACCTCATTTTATTACAGTGAACTGAATATCTTAGGGTTGTGAACAAGACATTTATGGATGCCATCTTTGGGAAATGCTGATTGACAATTTCCCCATTTTTTATACAATAAAATGTATGTTTGTTGCAGCCCTAGTATTTATATTTTAACATTTGGATTTATCTACTTTTATTTCTGTTTTTACTGTAAAGCACAGTAATAAAGTTGTTATTTCGTGCTAATGTCAGTCAGCCTGCCTTAAAATATGTGACCTGTTGAGCTGTTGTTCCATGTTGGTGTTACTAGTGTTACTTTTTCGCTACAGGAGTGAAAATGGATATGTTTCCATCTGACCTTCATATCAATGTCTTTTCTTCCTGTCAGCGGTCTTGGATACATCGTGGGCTCACAAGTCGGTAACGTAGCGCAGGACTGGCACTGGGCTCTGCGGGTAAGTCTGGCAGAGTTCCTCATTTAGTGCCCACATGTGGCCGGGACTGTGTTTGTGATCCTGGATGACGTTCGCGCTCTGGTGTGCCGTCCTCCCCTCAGGTGACTCCCGGACTGGGGCTGATCGCCGTGGTGCTGCTGCTGTTCGTGGTCAAGGAGCCTATAAGAGGAGCTATTGAAGCTCGATCAGAGAGCGACCTGCACCAGACCAGCTGGCTGGCGGACCTGCTGGACCTGAGCAACAAGTACGTTTAACACCACTCACTTCTAATAACACTCGAGGCTGGATCTCCAACTGGGCCTCCAGGTTTTTGTGCTAATGCGATTAACTGTAAAAGACTTGCTCCACTAAAATACAATATTAATGAAGGTGGGCATTATTAGCCTATCCTAAGGCTTCGTACTGTAGTGCTGTAGTTTTAAAACTTTTTATTATTTAAAAACCTCTGGAGCTTGTTATTCTGATTCAAGCACTGGTGGGTTCTGGGACTCTGTTCGTGTAATGAAGCTGCTGTCTGCGGTCTCTTAATGGGAACAAGGAAGCGACAGGGTACATACCGTAAAACTTTAATTAATAGCCGAGACCCAAATAGCCGCCTATCTCCTTTACTGGCCTGGTGTGGGAACACATTTTGACAAATAAACGCCTTCCTCAATTTAACGCCTGGTCTGGCTTTTTATAGAAGTTCTTTGGATGTCTAAAAATCGTCCTCTTTAGCTGCTTCTAAGCTGCTTAGATTGTTAATACAAATATTAATGTTTAAACGTACGATCAATATGTCAGTGTGGACATGTTGAACATCGTTCGATCGGTTAGATTCTCCACAATTCAATAGTTCAGTTCATTTAAGGGAAACAACAAGCCCCAAAGTCTAATTCTTATAGATTTACCGGTGTAACCTGCCTGGTACAAGAGAGGAAAGGAAAAAAAGTGCCGACTGCCGTCACCTTTGAAGCGCTAGTTAAGTCCAAATGTGTCCGTTCCTTGATTATGTCTCTAAGGGTCCACCGATCAAAAGAATCCAAACAGCTTTTCATAAATATTTATCCAAGTTGTGAATCCTGTCATGTGAAGTCCACCGCTCTCTGTCTGCTGACTTCTCTCATCCTGCACCCTGTTGTTACTTCAAAATAAAAGCCGTCTGTCGGAGCTAGATCAAATGAATGACGTGTATTTGATATTATTTGATCATTTTTATACAAGCATTATTCTGTTTGAAATAAATAAACTATTTCATAGTAGTTTCTGTTTTGTGCAAAGGGAATTAAAGGCCTGTCCCATATGGACTGCTGTCCCAAATATAGGCGGGGTCAATTCAGTGATTTTTAGCAAATAAAAGTCTGGGCTATTAATTAAAGTTTTATGGTACATTTGGGCTGCAACTAACTAATATTTATCCCCAGAAATTACAAAAAAAACCCCAGCAAATCTTTACATGTAAGAAGATGAAACCAGTAAATGTTTGGCAATTTTGCTTTAAAAAAATGACTGAAATGGTTAATCAATTATCAAAATAGTTGACTATTAATTTCCTTTCCATCGCTTAATCGATTCAGCTCTAACATACATCAGCAGATACTAAGAGATAAGATACTCAACAGTCTGGTATCAAAGCTTGAATTAAACAGAATTCCTTTTAAATTAACTGTGCAAAGTCGTTATTTTTTACACCTTATAAACATAAACCTCCAGTTTGTTTAATGCAAATGACACCTAGCTAAACCACATGCAGTCTAATTTAGTAAATGTTCCCTCATGAAGGTCGTAACGTGTTGATTTCACGCCGGTTGGTGCTGTTCAGCTGTTTGGTGTTGCACTGAAAGGTGTCTAAACCCCTCCGCTCCCTCTTGCACACCAGCGACATTCTCACCAATTCTCAACCTGGTGTCATTTTTTTCTTCTTGCTCATTTTTGTCACCAGTAAAACTGTGCATGAACATGCGACAGCCCTGAAGGAATCAAAAAATGAGTGGTAGAATTCACCAGCAGCATTAATTTGTAGTAACACGACGCTGTTTGCAGTCTGCAGTGTTTGCAAATGACTTTTGTGAAACTGCTCCAAATGTTGCCTGAACTTTGTGGCTGTTTCTGCAGCCTTCCTCCGTCATGTGTGAGTCATCGTGGAACATGTGCGTAACTGAAACCTGTGTCTGATTGACAAGAAGCCAACAGATTAAACCAATTTAATACACATTGAACAACATTATAACGCAAACACAGTTTTTGGCACCATTCATCATGAGCTGAACTCAAAGATCTAAGACTAACCACACCAGCCCAGGACCCCCCACATCCAGCATCTTCAGACCAGCAATCGGTTTGCAGAACCACTCCAAAATGTGCAGTTTCACTGTATTGGGGGGGTCCAATACAGTGAAACTGCACATTTTGGAGTGGCCTTTTATTGTGGCCAGCCTAAGACCTTTTATTGTGGCCAGCCTAAGGCCTTTTATTGTGGCCAGCCTAAGGCACACCTGTGCAATCCCCATGCTGTCTGATCAGCATGTTGATATGCCATACCTGTGAGGTGGATGGATTATCTCGGCAAAGGAGAAGTGCTCACTAACAGATTTTGACAGATTTGTGAACAATATTTGAGAGAAATAGGCCTTTTGTGTACACAGAGAAAGTTTTAGATATTTGAGTTCAGCTCATGATGAATGGGGGCAAAAAGTGTAGCGTTTTATAATTTTGTTCAGTGTATAATATTGTGAATCTCCTGTTAGAAATGCTTTTTGTGTTAGCCAGATAATGAATAAAACTTCAAACGGTTCTCGCTGTTTAAGGTTTTTTTTTTTTACCAGCTGATCTGTTTTCCCTACAGCCACAGCTTTGTGTTGTCCACCTTCGGATTCACTGCGGTGGCGTTTGTCACCGGCTCTCTGGCTCTTTGGGCGCCAACGTTCCTCTTCAGAGCAGCCGTCTTCAACGGGGACCGAGCTCCCTGCGTAGAGGGAAACTGTGCCTCTTCAGACAGGTAACATACTCGTGGTCGGGATAGCTGGACCTTTTACTCCTGCTTTCATGCAGATCCCTGGTGGAGGGAAAAAAACTCACGCCATGTTTCTCTTCTCAGTCTGATTTTCGGGGTTATCACCTGCATCACAGGTGTGCTGGGCGTGGCCAGCGGCGTGCAAGTGAGTCGACAGCTGAGGAAGAAGACGCCCAGAGCCGACCCGCTGGTCTGCGCCGCCGGTCTGCTCCTCTCAGCGCCTTTCCTCTACATGGCCATCATCTTCGCTCAGGCCAGCACCATCGCCACATACGTGAGTTCTCTTGGACCCGACAAGCCGAACAGAACTTTACGTGCAACACCTTTTTTAAATTTGACTTTTATTTGACCCAGAGAGAGGGAACACCTGACGTAGTATTTTCACCACTGTACACTAAATAGATCACGTAGGAGAGGTTACATGTGTGAACACGTGCACACAGGTTTTAAGTTGCTCTCAGTGTTATGGTGTGTTCACACTGAAAGCGAATTTGATATTCGCCCCGCTTTCCTCGCGCGACTTTGACCGCTGGACAACTTGGGTGTTCACACACACAACACGATAAGCGAATAAACACAACCCGCGAATACTACAGCTGTATGAACCCAAAGTAAACATTTAGCAGTGATTTAATTGCAAAAAATGGTTGAAACTGATGCCGAAATAACTAGAATATGATGCAGATTTGTTAAACATATGAATTCATGCTTTGTCAGGTCTTTCAGCAAGACAGCAGGACAACAACTTTTAAAATGTTTGTTTTCTGAATGGAGTTCGGATCGATCGTGGCTATGCTATGCTAACTTGTTCACAGTAAAGTACAATGATAGCTGGGATAAAGTAACAGACACAACAGATAGATAAATCAAGTTGTAATTCCAAAAACTAAAGTAAAAAGCTAATTTTAATAAAAACGGTTAACTCAGAGCTCCTCCCGCGGGTAAACGGCGTAGTTGTCAAGAATCCAGACCGACTACGGGTGTTTATTTGTCCGAAAGCTGCAGCGCTGCTCCCTGTAAACTTCCCCGTTCTTTAGCAGCTCTCCGTCGGCCAGCGGGTTGTCATTACACCGCTCGCCAGGTCCTCTCCAAACAACGCTCCGAAGCAGTTTGGACAATCTCACTGTTGATTGGCTTTCGCAGCAGAGCGAAGCCAATTTCACGCCCAAGTTGAAAAATTTGAAATCGCGCGAACCAGCGAATGTTGCGACAAACTCCTCTTTCTCGTAGCCCGGAGCGAATTCGCATCTTTGCATTGACTTTTGTAATCAAGCCGCCCAAAACGCTGGATTCTCTTTCAGTAAGTTTTACAAAACTTACAGGAAGATAGAAACGGACATGCAGCTAAAAACAAAGACGAGTGAACATATACCTCTTGTGTACATACAAGTATCTGACTTCTGCTTTGCTGTAGAGTTGAGGCCTCAACCTGTCTTCACCGACTCCTGAGAAAACTGTCACGCTCTGCTTTAAACTGCAGATGATGACCTCTGTCTGTCTGTCCCCCTTTCAGATCTTCATTTTCCTCGGAGAGACGTTCCTCTCCATGAACTGGGCCATCGTGGCTGATATACTGCTGGTGAGAACCCAGAATCTTCAGTCTGTTTGTTCCCTCTGATCGCGTTATGTGGTCACGGAAGAAACATAATCAATGTTTTTATGTTATTAATAGTTAAATCAGCCACTCCAGGATTTTGCTGTCTTTTATGTGATTGTTTGGGTCTAAAATTGTGGCGTAAGAAAGTGTTTAGAGGTAGATGTTAGATGTTATTTAATTATTTATTTATTTAAACTCTTGAATTGTAGGTGAATCATTTAAACCAGCCGGTGTTGATTCTTTCTTGCAGCTGTTCGGGATGCAGCAGCCTGTGTCTCAGGGTCTCGTCTGACGTCCTCCATGTGTTTCTGACATTCTCTCCCTATGTTTTGTGGCTGCAAAGTGTTAATCAGTACACTAGTAGATTTCCTTGTTTGACCACAACACTGCTGAACAGTTTCCTCGCTTTGGTAAAGAAGATCTGGATCCTGGTCTCCACGGTCCTTTGCTGTAATTTTTGTAGGTAAAAGTGAGATGTTGTTATCTCACACGTCTGCTGCGTCTTCTGAACAAGGCAGCAATAGGTCGGATTTGCGGAAAAAGTTGTGGTGATTCCTCAAAATTGCAAGTCTCCGCGCTGAATTCACGGGGATTTGTGTTGATAGTTACGATCGCGACATCGTGAAACCCTGGAGGGAGTGTTTAAATCTAAAATGCACGCTGAAGCTTTTCTCATTAGCTCATCTCTTGAAAAGCAGGTTTGGTTTCATAAAAGTGCGACGACTCTGTTCTCATTGTCTTCCCCTGTTTTCTCAGTACGTGGTCGTTCCCACTCGTCGCTCCACAGCCGAGGCTCTGCAGATCGTCATCTCGCATCTACTGGGAGATGCAGGAAGTCCGTACCTGATAGGAGTGGTATGTACACGACACACACGCACAGCCTTGTGGCACTATGCTCATTGACATAATGCAATCTGTAGCCCTTCACCTTCAGAACTACGTGCCTAAACTTAACACTTCATTGTGGCGTTCGCACTACGTGAGTGATCGGTGACAGCGGGACTCACACTACACGAGCTGACGGCGGCTGAGTCACCCCTGACGCTGGTCTCCAACCCATGTTTTGTCAAGAAAACACCATAGACAGGATATTACTGGTTTGAATGGAGCGCAGTGAAGCCAGTTTTGGACCAATAAAATACAACTACAGGGCTACTTCCTGTTGGCACCAGCGTCTACTGCGCATGATCGCGCATGAATCGTGTAGTGTGAACGAGGCTTAATCTGGGAAGGGGATTAGGGGAAACTGGGTTTGACCATCTGGATTTCTCCTGTATAAGTCTGATTACTTGAAGAGTTACCGTGTTTCTAATTGGGTTTTTACAAGAACGCATGACAAGAGAGGTGGATGAAGGGAGATGTGAAACAAAACCTAAATATCCTTTTAGAGGTGCTCGCACGTGGATTTCCTTCAGACTGAGTCAGGCTAGTAGTTTCCCCTTGTTTCCAGTCTTTATGCTAAGCTACGCTAACAGGTTGCTGGCCGGAGCTTTATGTTTTACTGAATGAGAGTGGGGTCAATCTGAACGTCTAAGTTGAAGTGATGAAGGCAGGTGAACGTCCTGTCACTGTAGGTAAACCTGGTCTCTGTGTGTCTCAGGTTTCGGACGCTCTGAGGAAGACGGACTCCTTCCTGTGGCAGTTTCGCTCTCTGCAGCTCTCTCTGCTGCTCTGCTCCTTCGTGGCCGTGGTGGGCGGCGGTTTCTTCCTCGCCACCGCCCTCTTCATCGAAAAAGACCGCCATCGTGCCGAGAACTACGTCCCTACAGGTGAGACTGTACGGGTCACTGCAGCGGTTTACAGTCCTGTCACAGATATTTCTCTTACATCCTTTTTAATGACAAAAAAATCTTTGTTTGTTTCAAAGCTCATGAAAATAAAATTCAATTCAATCAACTTTATTAATCCCGCTAGGGCCAATTAGTTAACATACAAGCTGCCAGCAGGCGAATATTTAAAAACCCCAAAGAACCCTACAGGGAGTTTAAAAGTTCGATCGCCGAAGGGATAACAGATTTGGAGTGGCGGCTCGTCGAGAGAATTCACCTGCGTGTCCTGGAGAGGCTAGGATACTCGCTGCCCTCCGGACTATTTCACTGTTTCACACCGATGATTTTAGAGCAGATTTTTTACAATGTTGTTCAGGCTGTTCCTGTCTTTAAACGTCAGATTGTGAAACCAACATATCAGAGAAAAACTTAAAAGACTTTCAATAAAAGACTGATACAATCTATAGAGGATGTCCGGCGTGACGGAGAAGGAGTTTAGATAACACAGTTATCTAAATCTAAAATCCACAAAACAAGTTGGTGAGGAGAGATGAAAATCTCACAGTACACAAGCTGTGTGTTAAAATATGTGGTTGCATTGTATTAAATGCAGAAGAACAGTCTGCAAACAGAAGCCTGGCATGGGATTTAGGTTCATCTAAATGCTTATATAGGCTATTAGAGGTAAAAAGCTTTGCATCCTCTACTCCCCTCCACGCTCAATACGCAAATTTACAGATGATGGCACCAGGTAAAATAAATAATACAAACTAAAAAATAACAATACAAAGCTTATTTTGTGATTGATGACCTGCCGACAGACTGTATTATGCTGTTATTGCAACTTAAAGAGCTCAGACCTTCAGAAATACTCCACATGCAGTAAGAATTATTTTAGGCAATTTCTGTAATTTCATTAGAGCTAATTAGTAAGTTTGACTGTAGTCTCATAGAGAAAGTAGCCTTTTTCCCAATTTGCTCTTTTTTCAAATGTAAAATACATGAAATGAAACATCTGGAAATACTTGACGCTGACGTTTGTTCAGTTTGGTTTTAATTCGTTAATTGACGCTATAGAAAGGGGGTTTCACGTCATGATTGACAGCTGAGTCCAGCTTGTAAATGTGGACGGCCGTGTGTGTGTGTCGGGGGGGGGGGGGGGGGGGGGGGGGGGCGGGACCTCGGTTCCCCGGCTCCACCCTCCAAATGGTGACACCAGTGCAAGATGGCAGCGCCCGTATCTGGGATATGTTCGCTTGCCATCTTTTAAATACAGTCTATAAACCCAGAAATACTTTTAATTTCAAGAAACTAGACGACCAGTCAGAAGGTGTTTAAACAGTATTTCTGTGAAAGTACAGAAGTATCACAGATCTCCAGTCCTTATTGCTTTCTTTGTACTACATTCCCTTTTTGCTGCTGTGCCAAATTAAATTTACCCCACAGTGAATCAAACATGTACCATAAATTAGACGCCCGTCCCTTTTATTGTCCTGCTGTGGCTGCATGTTTTGACAAATGGAAGCGGGTCTCAATTAGAAGCCTGGTCTGGTTTTTATAGAAGTTCTCTGGATGTATAAAACTTCTTAACGCTCGCCGGGTCGCCTGCTTTAGATGATGCTAAACTGCACAGATTGCCCGTACTAATATAAATGTTATATATAAATTCTCCACAATTCAACTGTTAATTTTAAAGAAACGTTCAGATTTACAGGTATGGTAAACAAGCGAGACGGAAAAAAGTAATATTCATAATGATAGTGGCCTATTATTTCACATGTTTTGTGCGAAAGGAACTAAAGGCCTGTCTCAAATATAAGGCTGGGTGAGTTCAGCGATCAAAGCAAATAAAAACTATTAATTGAATTGTTTTATGGTACAGTCTATAAACCCCAAAATACAAGATTGCAAGACGGCCTAACTACCAACCGGAAGGTATTTTAACAGTATTTTCACCATATCGAGGCTGTAATGTAACGCAGAAGGAGGTGGAAGAAACATCAAGCTCCTTTACTTCAGTAAAAGTACTAAATACCACAAGTCTTCTTCATGTAAAAGAACAGAGGCAAAATGTACTTGGGTTTGTACTCAGAATTGTACTTGTACAGGACCACCACTGCTGATTGGTAATGAAAATCAGTGGGGGTTTTTTACCAAGCAGGAAGCTCCGGGTCTGAAAAGTGAAGCTAACGCTGAAGCACATTTAAACCTGCGTCCTCTCCAGCAGCCAGCAGGGGGCGACTCCAGCGGCTGCAGAAAGAAGTGTGATTGTATAGAAGTCTGTGAGAAAATGTTTCTACTTCTCAGCTGATTTATTCCCTCAGTAAACACTTTCCTGATGAGTTTATGGTCTCAGTCGCTAGTTTCAAGTCTTCTTCAACACAGCATGATGTTCATTTAGGAAATTATGGTCCCATTTAGAGGAACAGAGACCAGGAAGCAGGGGAGGCTTTAGGGCGGGGCTGAAATTTCAGAAGTAATAATCATGTCTGGTGGTGAAGATGCAGAATGAATAAACTTTCTCTTGATGTCTGTTAACAGATGACGAGCCGATTGTTGTACCGAAAAGCGGCCGGTCCACCAGAGTCCCGGTGTCCAGCGTTCTGATCTGATGAAGCCTGAGGGAGGTTCTTGTGTTCTGCCTGGTCCAACAAACACCTGTGGCTATTTTTATTTATTTCTTTTAGGACCGTGAACACCGATTGGACTATCTGCCATGCAGACAAGGTTTATTTTTACATTTTTGACATTAATTTTTTTTTTTATACGTTGCCCGGGAACGTGCCGTCGTCTCAGGGAAACTTGTTTTCTCCAGATGTGATTTTTGACGTGAGCTCAACACGAGGCTCATTGGAACTGGAAAGAGCGGACATGACGTTGAAAGCGAACATTAGGGACTCAACAGAAGCTGCTCTGTGGGTTTAGTTTTACGGTTTATTCCTCACTCGGGAGCAAAATGACCTGACCCTTATCTATAAACTGATAAATATCTATCTTACCTTCAGTGGAACTCTAAACCAGCTGATCTGGGATCAGTCAAACATCCATAAAACATAAAGACGACATGAACCACATCATGTAACCACGACCGAACACAGGCTGCGGTCCCAAACCTTTTTATATACAGCACAAGCTTTATAAATCAGATTTCAGAAACATGTGTTTATATATGTTGGAGCAAGTTTTAATCATAACACTAACCTACTTTACAGTTCATGAAGAACCTGAAAATTATAATCCAAGCTGTCAGAGAGAGAAGACAGCTCTTACCTCTGTACTTTTTTTATTCATCTGTTTGTCTTTACTTTAAAATGTTTCCAGTGAACGACACCTCTGTTCTCGCAGGTCTGTTTCTGGTTTTCTCTGCGTCTGGGTCGGAGCTCATTGTGGTTCAGAGTGCTTCACCAAGTTGACCCGCGTTTCATAGTTTGCCTCCAGCGAGGGCAGGTAGAGCACACGCAGCAGAGAACATGGTGTGAACAGCGATTATTTAAAGAAAGGAACATGGCTTTTATATGAATGTTTAATAATCAAAGTTGTTAACCTCAAATTATTTTAGCAAGTCTTGTTTTTTGTGATCTATTAAAGGAGAATTAACTTGTCACATGTTTGTGTCTGTTTGCACTTGATGAAGGCAACATGTCTGCCTTGGAAATGTGATGTTAACTATCTCAATTTTTTATTAATTTAATGCCCTTAAAAATCACCACAATCCAACATTTAGTTTTATTATTTAAGCTTTGTTTTATCAGGAAAAGTTCCATTGAGACTGAATCTTTTTTACAAGGGTGACCCGGCCAAGAGGTCAGCACCAATAAAAGACATGTCAGCAAAGTTTAAAATAAAAACAATACAAAAAACCCCACAAAGAGACGCATCCATGTACTTTCTGCTTACAATCTCACAAAGCAGTCTCCACATTTTATAGGTTTAAAACTAGGGCTGGGCAATAAAACAGTAATGATAATTATTGCAATATAATTTTCCTCAGTAACGATATTACAAATGTTCAATATATCGTCAATAAATATTTGCTTCATTTCATTAGAATCACAAATTATCACTTAGTTTTTCTATTAAGATGTTTGTTTTGTTGAGGAAAAGGACTGAAAAAGGATTTACTAATCACATTTTTTGAAAAAAGCTTTTATTGGAATTGTTTTGAATGTTTCACCTCAGATTTGTGAAGTGATCCGCTGTTTGTGTTAAACCACAATTACCCATGGGGTTTCTTCAACTTTCACTAAGGGAGAAAAATCAGCCTCGAAAGAAATAACGATTGGACATTTATCCTGACAGTTATCAATATCAAAAGATACCGTGATAACATTTTTGGCCAAATGGCCCAGCACTATTTAAAAGTTGCAATTCAACAGCTGTCAGTGTTGAAGTAAGATGGTGATTAATACATTTCCTAAATGACTTAAGTCACAACTCCCTATATAATATATAATATAATATAATATAAACATAAAAACTCAAATTCTCCAGTAGCAACTAACAAGAAATTAATATATTTATGTCTATAAATAAGGATGATATAACAGGAAATCGGCTTTACTGGAAACAAAAAAAAAAAAAACTCAAGTGGAGAAATGTGAGCATCATATTTTCCTGCTGCTTATCTGGGCATGGTGGTCCAGACTTTTGCCCCCCCCGGCAGCGTTTTCCCGCTTCTCTTGGTGGATCCTGAGGAGTTCTCAGTCTAGACGAGATCCAACAGGTCTGGTACTAACGCTCGCATTAGTGCTGATCAGAGCCCTTTGCTGCAGACGCCGCACCAATCTGCCATTTTTACCCTCACTTATGAACGCACCCCATGATACAACTCCATCACTCGGGGCAGTAACTCACTCCCAACCAGGAGGGAGCAATCCACCAGTTATCTGAGAACCACGGCCTCAGGCTTGGTGCTGACGGTCGAGGTCTGATGACGCGAACAGAACCACATCATCTGCAAAGAGGAGAGACGCAATTCTGAGGTCTCCGAGGAAAGCGGAGCAAAACGGCTCCTGAAAACCTGTGAGGAACTTCAGACCGGGGGACCAGTACTGCTGTTGCTCAGGAGGTAGACCGGTGTCCTTGGGCAATGTACTGAACCCCAAATTGTGAATGTGTATGAAGGAGTTTTATTCTTTTACGCCTCTGCTGTCAGGGTGTTGAACACTTTGAGTGGTTGTAAAAGCTAACACGGTGCTACGCCAGCACAGACCATCCACCACAGTAACAAGAGCAATGAAGATGAAATGATTCACTGCGTGGGAGTCGGTCCCGGACGGTTCTCATAGAGAAGCTCAGGGAAGCGGCAGCGGCTGCTCTGTCACGTAGGTGGGGGCGGTTAACCAGACACGAACATTTACCAAAACAACCGGTTAGTCTTCATCCTGGAAGTCTTTTCTGCCGTAAAACCCCAAAAAAAATACAGTTTGACAACCCTGATAAAGCGGAAATCTTTAGAACTTTTTCTTGTGTCTGTGACATGGTTGTGTTTTAACACTCATTTCAAACTGTATTACAGCCGTTTTTCCACATGATTAAACACCTAAAAGTTTAAAAATATTATATATGTCACTGTTCTTTACTGAACACAATTTTGTCTTAGTTTAAACTGCAGGTTTTGGACTTTTACTTGCGTCTGTGACATGGTTGCGTTTTATCGACTTTACTAAAGTATAAGTACACATGATTAAACACCTAAAAGTTTAAAAATATTATATATCATCACTGTTCTTTACTGTTGTCTTAGTTTAAACTGCAGGTTTTGGACTTTTACTTGTTTCTAAGTTGTGTTGTAAGTTTTCAGAACATTTTACTCATACTTTAGTGAAGTCGTGTATTTCCTTAAAGGATCATTTTTAAACTGTATTACAGCCGTTTTTCCACATGATTAAACACCTAAAAGTTTAAAAATATTATATATATCACTGTTCTTTACTGAACACAATTTTGTCTTAGTTTAAACTGCAGGTTTTGGACTTGGACTTGTATCTGAGTATTGTTACATGGTTGTGTTTTAACGTTTTGGAACTTTAACTCCTAATACTTTTTACTTAAGTAAAGTTGTGTATTTCCTTAAAGGATATGTTTTAAACTGTATTACAGTTGTTTTTACACACGATTAAAAACAGTTTAAATATATATATATGTATCACCACTGTTGATCTGTATACCTCCCTCCGCTGCCCAAATCCACTATCTACTATAATGTCTTTCTAATTTCACTACATTAAATCTAACAGCCTTCACTTTGGTTTAACAGATGTAGTGTTTTACAGAGCTTTTATCACTCTCTGAGACGGGAGGTCGTTGTTTTAACTTGTCTCTGGGGAAAACGCCCAAATGATCAGAAGCCACATTTTTACCTGTTCAATGAAATAAAAAGAAGCTGATGTGGGCAGAAAAACAACCCAAACTGGTGTCCCCCCCTCTCTCCTCCCTCGTTCATTGGCTGGGGGGGGGGGGGGGGGGGGGGGGGGGGTTCTCTGCTCTGCTCCCCCCTCGTCTCTCTTTTCTCCCCTTGACAGAAGGAGCAAAGAGAGGCGAGGACAGGAGAGGAGTGAAGAGGAGAGGAGGACTCGGCTTCCTTCCCTCGTTGTGGTTTCCTGTTTGTAGGTGGGAGGATGTTGAGACGGTTGCAGCAGCGTTCACACAGTGCTGCAGCTTTTTAACACCCGGCGACGCTCTGAGGTGTCACAGTTACATCTTCTGATTGGCTCGATGTGTTTCTGTTTGTTTCTGGCATCTTGAGCCTGCAGGCCCTCTCGTACCAATTTCCACCAAACCAGCTGCAATTTTGCGGCTGAAAGAGGGCAGTTTGATCAACCCACACGCACCAAATCACTTTTAGTGCAAGCTGGTTGGTTAGTGAGTCACCTGCTAAGTGAGTCAGCCTTTGCAGAAGTTTGTCACTCTCTCCCCCACTCTTTACCTGTGATCTTGTGCTTTAGCTTTTTTAGTTTTTTTTTTTTTCCCCCTGATTTTACACCCCTGACATCTCTTTTAGACAAACGTGACCCGAGTTGGTGGTCGAGCGTCACCTTTCTCATAGGAAGCGCTGAGGAAAGATGGCAGAAGTTAAGGGGGGGGGGACCTGTGGCGGGAGGTGAAACGAAACCCAGCGTCTCTGCTCAGGAGGTGATTGGGTGCAGCGATGACGGAGGAGAGAGAGAGAGAGAGAGGGAGGGAAGAGCCAAGTAGGTCGCTGAAGGTGCAGAGCAGACACCAGATCAGATCATCAGGGAGGAAAGACAGACGAGGTAGACGGAAAGAGAAGAAAGTGAGCTCCAGATATGGCGGATGTTTGGTTACAGTAGTCGCCTCATGTGGACCAGATACTTTGGGAGACACGAGACCAGCCGAAGGCCCCGAAACTTCACCCATCCTCCTCATCACCGCACAACCTTCTCTCCAGTCGCCGCTTGTCCTCAGGTGTAGGTGAGTCTTCTGTCATTTTTTTTATATTCTCAGCTGTGAACTTGTGACTTCTGTGTGACGGAGGAACTTCAGTTTGTTCCCAGCATGCACAAGGAGGAGATGCTGAAGCTGAACACCGCAGGGGGCCCTGTGCAGGTATTCACCATTGGGGCCTTGTGAAGGAGCCAAACCAGCTTCTACTTGTCGGCCCAGAGGCTCTGCACGCTCGAGTTTGAGCCAAAATACGCCGACCTCTGTAACATCCATCCGGGGGGGAATTAACAGTTTTAATTCTTGTGTATCTCTGAGCAACTCTCTGATCTGACCAGGACTCCAGACTAAACTATCCACTTTTGTGTAATGGGTCTTTAGTTTATTTGAACCTGACTTGATGGCTGCCTGTGTGTTCGACAGTCAGCAGAGGTTACTTGTGGTGTGTATGGACGACACCGCAGAGGCCTCAGGGTGAAGCTGCTGACCATAAACTACAACCTTTCATGTCCGGCTGAGGGATCTTTTGTTTCATGTCATTCCTCATCTCTCTCTCCCCTCATTTCCTGTCACCTCGCTTCTGTCAGCTCTGTTCACCACCAACGCTAATGAAAGAAATGTGGGTGGGTATACAAACACTGCCGGCTCCTATTAGTAGAGCAGCAGAGTATTAGGAGCCGCTGGGGCCAGTTTTTAGAAATGCAGGTATTAGATGTTCAGATTGATTCCCCTCATGTGTGCACGGTAAATATGAAGCTAGTTAGCTTAGCTTAGCATAAAGACTGGAAACGGGCGGAAACCGCTAGCCCGGCTCCATACAAAGGTCGCAAAAATGCTCCTGCCAGCTCCTGTAAAGCTCGCAGACACACACGGGTTTCTTGTTTATTTCGTCCGTGTGAAGACTGAAGTGTAAAATCAGTTTTGTTCAGGACTGTTTCTCGGCTGGGAGCAGTGACTTCCTGCAGTCTTGTTGTCACGTTGAGGTTGCCAGAAAGGAAACCATTATCACACAGATAATGACAACGTCCTCCTGACTAAACCTGTTGCAGCTCAGTGTTTGCATCAAATGTCACATTCTAAATACTTCAGAATAACTTTGAGGTACTTGTACTTTACTTGAGTCCATTTTATTCTACTCTTTTTACACGTCTACATTTATCTGACTCCACATTGGATAAAGTGGTTAGAATTAGCGTCGCCTC